TTGGATGGGGAGGAATCACGGAAAAACTTTTTGATTTCTTGTCTGTCTCGAATCACATTTAAAGTGACGACTGCTTGGTAACTGATACTGGAGGAAACACCAATGCTGCAGTCAAATGAATGGGAAGGTTCGATAGCTGTTTTTCTTGAGTTTGGTTGCGTTCGGTTGGCTTCAAGTTTGAGCCACCCACGCCGGTCTGTGCGTTGCCTATTCATCTTGGCTGCTTTTCGCCGAAAAAGCCTCTGGACCACACTGAAGGAGTTGGGCAGATTTCGCAATTACTTGATTCGGGAAAACCTGCTCGCTGCATACGATTAATGAGGAAAATTATCCGTTTTCAAAAAGTGGGGGACGAGTTTCGCGACGTTAGAAGCTGTCACGGCATTTTGATCTATTGCGCCTCTTAATATTTATATTATACCCCCGTCAAAGCCAGCAGCAATATCCGTTTACAATGCTCAGGTTGACCGGCCACAAAAAATACTCATTTTCTCCGTTCAGGATTCGAAGCAAAGTTCAATTCAGAGAGGTTCTGCGTGAATTTCCGATGAAGACTCTCTTCAGTTTGTCTTCGTGCTGCCGGCTAGAACTATATGGCTGAGTTTAGGTAGTATCTCTCTTTCTGTCAACTATACTTTTATCCAGCAGTTCACCTTATAGCTAGTCAACTAAGCTCATATTTCAACCCGAAGAATATACTAATATCGCTTTAGTGGGACATAGTACGTAATATAATACATAACCCGCTCGTCAAAATGACTTCTCGATTGCTACTAAAACCTGAATTGAAATACGAGTATCAGCTGCTTATTGGGGCGCCGGCGGGTTAACATGGTCCTTGGATCAAGAAGCGGTTGCTTAATTTTCGTAATTTTCCTGCAGCCTGTGTTGTTGGCCGAGCAGACTGGAGCTGTTTTGTAAACGCGGATACGCACAAAAGCTCGATTTCGCGGACAGATAAGTCGCATGGTCGAGGCATGCGAGTTAGCTGTAAAGTTACTCTCTGTGGAACAATTCTATAGTCATCGCCGCTTTCCTTAGATGATCAAAACTGATTAGTATATTACCGTCTCTCCGGAGCCCATAGTTTCGGTTTTGAACGAAATCTCCGAAACAAACTTTTGACTCGAAAAGAACAAAAAAACACCGGCAAAACAAAACTATGCTTTGCAAGTTCATCTGCACCGGCTACACTTAACCGTCTCAGTTCAAATACCTATAAAATTGGGCATTAAACAAAAGAAAATCTGTTAAATTGAACGCGCCACCTGTTCAGGCGGCCCGGCCGAGCCGCCGCGACCTGGACTCAGCCGCCATGTTTGTTTGGTGGGGGCGCCCCCTATAGGTCGCTGGAGTCGCGAATACAGCAGCGTCAGCACCTGGGCTTCCTCCGACCTCTCGTTGAGACCCACGGCGTAGCGGAAATCGTCGAATTCTTGAATCCACTCCGGCCATTCTGAAGTTCGGTCGAAGTTGAATTGTTTGGGCGGAGGAACTGCCAGAGGAGGGACCGCTGTAGGTACTTCCATCTTGCAAACCGAGTGCAAGACGAGGGCCGCCAAAACAACACGGGCGAGAAGCATCATCCCACTTCTGACACCATGTCGTGCGTCTCGCGGCACGATGAAGAAAGTGACAGCCAACCAAGTAGTTCCCAGCAGAACAACCCCCAGCCTTTATTTCGCGCGCGTATATATCGCCAACCGCCGTATCACTGATAAGCGGAGAGCGAGGCGAGTCACGTACGCAGGTCAGATAGTGAATGACAGTCAGTGATGGTACAGCAATATTATGATGATGCGGTCAGGATGACACCACAATCACATCACTGCAAATGTTAAAAGGACCTAGCCTTTTCTAGCCTTCGCTTGTAGCATTGGGCCTCTCACTGGGGCGTTCTTGGCTCACACTTTGCGAAACCACCTAAACAAGGCTTTGTCGAAGTCCTCATACTTTGGCGCACGAATCTTCTTTCTTGAGAGTGATGTAGAATCTTGCTTTAGCTGCTTCCGTACCTGCTGCCGGTTCTTCCAGACAGTGAGAACCGTTGCGTCAGCGGCATTTTTCTTGGCCGTGACGGAAGTTTTTATCATGCCACTTTCGACATCTTTGACTATGCTCTGTTTAGTTTCGAGAGAAGGGGCTTGTCGTTTCTTTTTCATCTTGGGCTTGCGAGACAAGGACAGATCGGCGATGGATGGTTGATTTTTGTACGATATGCTTGACACAGTCCAAACATCAGACATGAGAGCAAGCCAGCAAGCTGCAAAAAGCGAAACTAGAAACTATCCAGCTATTTAGCCTTCCCTTTGCACATGGTGTAAGAAAGGAGGTTGGTTTTCGTCACTCGAGCAAGAGGTCGAAATCGAAAGGGCAAAAGGCTTGGGTGGCTCGGGGCTTGTAGAGTTAAGAGGTTGGGAATCGGGATTCGGCTTGGGTGGCTCGTTGAAACTTTCAGGCTTGAGCGTGCGCGCGTGTGTGGCGTACCTCGCTGTGTTGTCATTCGTTTCTCGCCTCTCTCTTCGCTTCTTCTGCGTAACCTCCTTGCCCCCACGGGTGACGCTTGCATTGTTATCTGGTGTCATACAGGGAAGCTTGCTTGCTGCGCTGGTCGGTCCGCGGGCTGTTCCAGAAATCGCACTATAACCGGTATTTCCCTTGGCACGCCTGCATTTTAAGTGGTATGTAATTACATGGAGTTGTATGGGAGGCGGACCGGTGGTTGAAAAAAGTTGCGTTACATCCGGTCCTGCACTATAAGCAGTTACGTGATAAGTGATCTATACTGCGCATATTTCCACCTCAGGTCCAAGCAAAGCCAAGGCTACGGCGTGAGCCCCAATGCTTTGTGCGTCCCTGTCTCGCACTTGGCTTTGTGGAGCGTCGGCACCTTTTCAGGCTGCATGTACGCGCTTGTGCCCATGGGATCGCTCCCACGAAAGCCAAAGCGAAGTATCAAACAAACAGGCCCAAACTACGAGCGAACTCAAACTCTTCACTGAACATTGTAATTGACTCTGAACTGACGCAGACGTCGGGACCGTGTAGCCGAATGTAATATGCTTCATCAGTTTCCCTAGCCATTAATTGTGACTGTCTAGTCAAAATTTCAATGTCACCGAGCCGAGGTGAACAGCCACATTTATTGCAGTGAACAGCTAGGTGACCCGAAGGTGAATATCTCAAAGACAGAGAATGCTCCCGAGCTCTATTGTTGATACATCTACCCGTTTGCCCAATACATACTTTACCACAGGAAAGAGGTATTTTATGGACGACCCCGACAGCACATTCTACATATTTGAAACTATGCTCTATCTCACATTCTACACGTTGAAGGCCTGCTCTCAATGGAAGCACACAAACGAGATAATTTAGAAGGTGCTGAAAAGATTATGGGGACTTTGTATTTATCAGCCACTTGCTTAATTTTGTGGGAGAAGGTGCAAATATTACCACCGGTCGAGAAGCAGGTTTTTGTCTAACGTCAAGTATCTGATGTGCCCTCGGGCGTCCCCCAGGGGTCAGTACTCGGGCCAGTATTATTTTTAATCTACATTAATGATATCGCGGCGGAAATAAATCAAGGGGTTACTGTGCGACTATTTGCGGATGATTGTCTGGTATATTCAAAAATCAAGGAGCAAGACGACCAGCGCAGATTAAGTGCATCTGTTGGGTCTATTCAGGACTGGTGCTCGAAATGGAAGATGAAAATTAATACACAAAAAACTGTTTTCGCACGAATAACTAACAAAACTAAGAACGTTCTTTCTTACACTTACGAGCTTGATGGAAGTCCTTTGGTTGAAGTTGATAGTTTTAAATACTTGGGTGTGACACTTTCTAAAGACTTAAGTTGGAGTAAACACATAAATGAAATATGTCACAAAGCAATGAAAAAGCTTTGGTTTTTAAGACGGAATCTGGCCAGTGCTCCGCCTAAAGTGAAGTTAATGGCCTACACAACGTATATTAGGCCTACCTTGGAGTACGCTGCATCGGTATGGGACCCCTATAGAAAAAATCAAATTGGTGAACTCGAAAAAGTTCAGAGGAAGGCGGCGCGATTTATTCTATCCAAATACAAGCGACTTGATTCTGTCACAGATATGCTGAACAGCCTCGACCTCCCCTTACTTTCTGTCCGTCGAAAAATTGCTCGACTAAAGTTTTTCTTTGTTTTCTCATCACCTGTATAACATTAACCCGGATTCTAGATTAACACATCGCGCATCGAGAGAACTCAGATACGTTAGCACTATTCAGTTTGAAGTGCCCAAATGTAATATTGACGCTTATAGGTTTTCTTTTTTCCCTAGAGCTGTGAAAAACTGTAATGATCTCCCACAAAATATATTGTCATTGGACTGTTTAGATGATTTTGAGAGCGCCCTTTTGAATATGACTGGTTTGGAATGATAAATAGTAGTTAAATATTTTTTTGGAAACTTCGTTAAAGATTTCGAGTGCTGAGAGTTCATTTTGTTGAGTGCTATATAATATATTGAATGTTTGTGCTATTTCAGCCCCTTTATTTTAAGTGAATGTCGCTGAATGTGTACTGTATTGTAGTCCTGATGTTGTATGCTTCAGTGCTCTTCTATACCCCACACCTGTTAAAGCCCCATACTTGGGGTGAACAGTATTCATAAATAAATAAATAAAGTATGCCAAGGAGATTCCTGAACAACTTTAAAAGGGACTCCTCTACCCTTACTATATGACATGTTTTGGGAAGCCCACTGAAATTAACCTATCAACTTGAACGAGAAAGCTGTTAAAACTTCTGTGAATACTTGACCCCTTGCTAATCTAACTTGTCCCTCAAAAAAAAAAAAAAAAAAAAAAAAAAAAAAACTGCTATATGGTGACACAAATGTTTACAGACCAAGGGACCCTGATTCTGCCTGATTAACTGAAAAAGATGAAAGAATATAACGGTTTAGTTGCCCTTAATTCTGACGCTCCACAATTGTTTTATTTTTTTCTTGTTTCAGTGTCCTACTTGGCCCATCTTCTGCCGGCTGAAGGTGATAAGAGACGCACTAAAACTCTACGATGACTTCCATGAGAGTTCTGGGTAGGTCATTTACTACAGTATGCTCGTGACAATTCAAACTGGTTGATTCAAACAAATCTGAATATTTTGGTTTTCCGCTATGTTCCTAATGTATTTATAACCAACTTAAAGGGCCCCTGAAAAGAAAAAAAAATAGTTTGTTTTTTTAACAGTTTGGTTGGGATACTTCTCTAAAAAAATTTTTTTATGCATAAAAATGTTTTTAGAGCAATATTGATGGCGTGAGACGCAATTTAGTTGGCAGTCACCTCCTTTCCCCTTTTTTTCGCGGCATTTTGGGCGCGTGGAGGAGAGGTGGATTGGCTTCACCTTCACGACTGAGCTGGTCATTTTGGAATGAGGGAGGAATCCCGCTTTCAAATTCTGTGGAGGTTATACTCTCGTTTCGCGGCAGCTTGCGGCATTGCTCGCATCTTTGTGTGTGGTCTTTCGACGCTTCACCTGTCTCCACCTTACATTTCTTGTTGTCACCATTTTGTAATGGCGTCAGTGAGGTTCTGTTGCAAATTTGTGAGAATGTCGACAAAGCTTCCGACGACGATGACATGTCTGGAAGCTCTGACAATGATGAAGTTTTTGGCATCGCGCTGTGATTTAGCTGAAAGTGCTGTAAATAAAGGTTTTTTTTAGGGGCGTGCGAATACTCGAATATACAAATTCGAATCGAATAGAAAGTTCCCGAATAATTCGATTCACGAATCGAATTCCTAGTATTCGGTCACTCGAATATTCGATATATTCGGCCAAAGACGCGCGGTCGGCGCGGAGCTGACAAAAAAGCCGTTTTTTCTCCCGATGTAAGCGCCGTGATGTTAGACAGACCATGCGAAAAACAGCTCTTGGTCCTACCATTCCACAAAAATCTAACACACAGGTTAGAAAAAGGAAAAGTAACAAACGCCACAAACTTTATAGCACGCAGATTTACTCACGATCGCGACACAATCTACCGTTGAACCACAACCGAAACATCCCGTTTGCGCCGTTTTCAGAGAGGAATTGTTGGGAGGCCGGAATCCCGGCGCCGTGCCTATGGTAATTCTTTTCTCGAGTAAAGCCCCTCGTTTCAAATTGAAGCACCGATGTAAAACACACTTTGCCGCACTCACAGGAATCGGCGACTGCACGATCACAGAAAGAAAACCACGTTAACCATGCCGATGAAATCAGCAGAGTTATCGTCGTCATTCTTTTGGAACCGCAAGCCGCAAATTCTAATTCGGAACGAAACGGAACGGACAAATAGTGTGCCTAGATTTGAGAGGGTTTCCAACAATTCGATAGCCGCGTTTGAAACACAAACTGCGAGAAGGTGACGAAAAGACGAAAGCGTCGATCAGGATAGGGCAGGCGTCGTCGCCTTTCTGTTTGCTCGCCTTTTTCCACGCGACAAGACAAAACATGCACACTTACGACGAATCTGCGCTGGAGCCATCTCCGTGGTTTCAGTTTCGCTTGCTCCCTCTTTTAAATTAAGGCTCTGTTATCAGGATAGATAGACGGAAATATGGATGCCTCGCGGCAGCTAGACAATGTCTTGTGCCACCTAACCCTGTTTTTTTTTTTCTTACTTCAGATTATATTGTTTGAGCCTGTTTACTAAGATAACACCTATCTGTTTATTTATGTGAAATAAAATCCCGGGTGCCCTTTTTCTTGCTTAAAATGAAAACCAAATATTGCAAACTGCCCTTTTTCTGGGATATACAAATATTTATAAAAAAAAGTCGCCGTGTTAGGTTATGCTTTTAGCAAGAAAAAAAGGCATGCGTGGCTGTAACTTTTTTTTTATGTTTAGGGTAGATAGATTATATTTATGCCATAAAATCGGATCTTTAGTGCCCAACATCCAACAGCAACTGCTTTTATTTTTTTTTTCACCAGAATTTTTTTTTTTTTTTTACATTTTAGCTTTTGTTTTGTACAAGATGCATATCCTGCAACAGGCGCATAGTCTGCACGTATAATATTCTCATTCGCCGCACACTTTGAAAAATTCCTACGAATAAAATCACTATTCGATATTCGATTCGATATTCGGCTTTTTTTTCTTGATTCGATTCGGTATTCGATTCGAAAACCACTATTCGGTATTCGCGCACCCCTAGTTTTTTTTTTTCTTTCTTTTGCCCAAATTTTCTTCTCTTCCTTTAAAGAAAAAAAAAAAGGTTGACCTATATTCAACTTATTTCTTTCATTCAGGGTCTACTTATTATCGAGTAAATATAAGCGACGCTGTCAGCCACATTGATTTGATCGTAAAACAGTGTGTAAGACACCTTTCGAGCTGTTGTAGGATTCCGGCTTATGCAAAACTTGCAATAATTTTGTTTCGTGAATACAAACTTGTTCTTAGGTTTTGTCGTATCCACATTTCTGGCGTTAGGTTTTGTGAATCTAGCCTCTTTTCTGCTTTATGCATTTTTCTTTCTTTGTGGGGGGGGGGGGGGGGGGGGGTGAGGGAAGATTTTTGGCATTCTATATTGTAATGGTGGCTGTAGACAGACACATACATTTAAATAAAATTTATTTTATGTGTCTTGCTTAGAAGAGTAAGAGGGATGTTTTTGTTTTCTTGTGCTTCTGCAGTAACCAGAGCAGCGCCGCATTGCCGAGCTTCCCAAAAGTAGGAGGGCGTGCAATGCTGGAGTTTTTGCAAAATCGGGGCAGCATCAATTCAGGGAGGTAAGTACATTGTCTCTCTCTCTCTCTTGTTATTTTGGTGTTAAATGCCGTCCTGAGCACTTTCAGAACAGTGCACCGAGAAACTGAGGAAGAGGAGGAGACGGGAGCATGCGGGAACATCAGGACTCCGAGTTCTGATTCAAATGATTAGTGGGTAGACGTAAAGGCTAGCTGCCATTGTCTCCACTGCACTTGTCGAACGCGTTCGAATGCGAGAGCCAAATGCTGGACGCCTGCGTTCTGGGTTTTAACGCATTCAACGAGTGCATTGCAGACAGGCTGCCTTTGTCTCCACTGCTCTTGTCGAACGTGTTCGAGCGAATTCCATGAGTGCATTGGGACAAAGGCAGGTAGCTTTAAGGCGGCCCACTAATCACTCCAACCAGAGCTCGGCGTTGTGATGTCCCCACGTGCTCATGTCTCTCCTCTCCCTCACTTTCTCGGAGCATAGTGTGGTGGTGATGCATTGCGTATTGTAATGGTAGCTTTAGACACATAGGCTTAAATATAGGGTGCCCCAAGTCACCAGGCTCGATCTAAAATGGACCGTAAAACTCGGTGCCTGCACATTGCAATCTAGACTTTTCCTCAAACGTGTATTTCACGGGTTGGTTTTTCCTCGTAAAATTAGAAAGCGTAGCTTCCTCTGGTGTAAAAAATGGGGCCAAGAAACTTGCCAGGGTCAATGGCGGGCGGCAACGCAGACGACCAAGTTGAGTGGCAGGGCGCATTTGGCGCTCGTATTGATAGATGGCGCTACCTTCTTATCAAGACAGCTCGCGACCACTGTGGTCTACTAAAATGAGCACAATCTTTTATGTTATGTACCTTTGGTTTAAAAGTAAATGCGGACAACAAAAGCAAAACTTAAAGGGGCCCTCCGGAGTGTTCTGCGATGGTCTATTTATGGCGGTAACAAAATCTACAGGCCCTAAGGATCCTAAGAATTATAAAATTACGGTCATGCGCGGTGGATTTCCCTATTAAAATTGCTATCAAAGTCCCCGGCACCACCCCCCTTTCTGAGATGACCCCGGAAAACGGGAGGGGCATCTGTTTACGCGTCAGCCAATAGCAAGCGAAGGATTCCGGCGGCACTGCGCGTCACCAACGCGGCCGACCGCCGACCCACGGAGGAACCTCTCGAACACGCGCGGACCGTCGTCAAGGGGCCCGGACTTTGTGCTCGGCAGTCGTCATTCGTCGCACCGCACCGTCGCGCTGCTACTGCAATACACAGTTGCATTCCACAGATGACAAGGAAAAGTTTCACTCATTGACGTGGAAGGATCACTAAGCTGGCTTCGGAATCGGGATCCACGGGATGAAGGAACACGTGTCCCGCAAATTGGCAAATGTCTCTAAATAACCAAAAATGTGCGCATATGATGATAGCTAGGAAAAAAAAAAACACTGAATTTTAATTATACTCTTTAAGAAACAGCTTTAAATACGGTATGTGAATACAAATACCTAGGATTAATCATAACTTCAGATCTGCGTTGGAACTCACATATTGACTTTATCTCTTGAAAAGCAATGAATAAATTATGGGCATTAAAAAGGAAACTGAAAAATTGCTCGAGCAAAACGAAACTAATGGCGTACAAAACGTTTGTTAGATCTATACTCGGGTATGCCGACGCTGTGTGGGATCCTTGCACAAAACGTAATAATTTTCGTTGTGTGTCGCTATGATAACCCAGCACGTACTAGAACGGAAGATCCACCTACTCGTGCGGCGATGTCGTTGCGGCGCTCTCAAGACGGCAGAAACGCCCGTGTCGTCGTGTTTGTTTACTTCGACTACAGTGGTGATTTCTAAGCATTTGTGTTTTCGAACATCGCCCGGATTTCTTATTTGGCGTATTTCATGCGTGTGCTCAAGTTCAAGGTATTACTGGCGCGTACCGTATGAAGGATGCAAATTTTTACGCGTTTTCATCGGCGAAAAGTGATTAGGGTTAGCAATCCTGAACGCTCGCAACGTCCGTCCGCAACCCGCGATGCCGTTAAAAGGCTGCGCCAGGCAAAAAGCCGCTAATTTCTTTTAAAATGTGTGACACACTTGAGACATAACTGTACTAGTCTATTGAAATAAAGACTTTCCTCAAACTAAGCTTATTTTTTCATCTAACATAAAATAAATTCTTTTACAAAGGTAAGTTGTCTCATGTCACGTATTTTGGCCTGAAAAATTGATGTTTTGGTTATAGTGCGGTACCGCTTACAGTGCAGATTTTCGCGACTCCCGAGACATACGTTATATGCGGTCTACACTCAAATTAGAAAGAATTCAGAAGAAGGTGTTAAGATTTATATTTAATAAGTATGGCAGAAACACCTTGATTTCGGAGCTTTATGTACAGGCCGGCCTTCCGCTTTTAGAAAAACGTAGGAAGATCAATCGGCTGAAATTTATTTTTAATCTAATAAATGTGAAGTATAACTTAGATTATCAAGATTACTTTCTCTTCAACACATCTAGGGTCACAAGAAATAAACACAGTAAATCAATCACTGAAATAAAGTGCAGGACCGACGGTTACAAGTACTCTTATTTTCCTCGTACTATCCATGCCTGGAATGCGTTGCCCGAACAAATTGTCTCTTCAAATTGTTTAACGTTATTTCTAGCATTGATAAACGAATTACCAGAGTTTTGAGGTTTCAGGCCTTGATACCCCTTAAACGAATATTTTTCTGCTCTTTCTGTGTTCGCAGAAAATGGGGGATTGTCTTCCAAGAGAAAATAGTCCCGATATATTTCTTCTGCCATCTGCTTAATAAACGGTTTTGTAATCTAAAACTTTGTATACATATTAACTTGCACCTACTACGCAATATAACAACAGAAACAGACGATCGCAGTAAGTTCCGGAGGGCCCCTTTAAAAGGGTAGGGAAACGAAATTTCAGCGCTCTTTTTCTAGCTTTAATGTGTTGCACGTTGTACCCTAACCTCAAAAACACCAGTCTTCCGTTGAAAGGCACGAGAAAACTAATTTTAAAGCTAAATAACGATCTTTCAATGTGCACCTGGTGGATGCATGCGGAGCCTATTTGGGAGGTAGTCTAGCAACGTTGTGGAATCTGCTACGTAGTCGTGACGTAGCAGATTCTTTCGGAGCAGCGCCACTCTTTGGCATTTCAATGTTTTCCTTCTTAGCTTTCCTCCTGAACTCGCAAATCGCGCATTGTATCAAACGGTCCAAGAAGACGGAAAGGAAGGACTCCCTTCTTTCTCGGAACCTCGTTTGTGCAACCGGAAACAGCCATTCTCCCCCTAGAAGATTAGCCCGCCGCTCAAAACTCGAACAAAGGTTGCTTTCCCCACCCCGTTCAGCCCCAAGCTGACAGTGTTGTGGAAGGTACGTGCTCTTTGGGCCAGCCACACGCTCGTCACCCCACGGGTACTCCGAACGGCTCGGTTGTAACGCGCTGATGCTACTGACAGCATCACAACGCTGACAACGCCACCAAGGGCAAAACTGATAATCACGCCAGCCTTGCTACGTCATGAATGCGGGGAATCTTTTCTTTCTGTTTTTGTTTGCGCCGGATATCCCATGACGCGTTGCGCTCTCCGTTCGCTTCTCTTCGAGCGCTTGCGCGAGTGCACCGTTTGGAACAAAAAATATAGCCAATCGTTCAAAATACAAACGTGCGATTATCATTTACGGTTATTATCCGTCATGCTTGACTCATTTCCGAACAAAATTGGAATATTTCAATTTTTGTTTCCATACCCCTTTAAAGTAAAACAAATGCATCTGTATAATGACGGCGCTTTTGATGCCAACGAATTGCGTCTGCGTGTCATCTGCTTCCTTCCGCTGGTTAATTGCACTTTCCGACGCTGCTCCCGACTCCATCTGTCAATACCCGCACCAAATGTGCCCCACAACTCGACTTGGTCGTCTGCGTCGCCGCCCGCTGTTGACCCTGGCAAGTTTCTTGGCCCTATTTTTTTTACAGAAAGGGAGCTACGCTTTGCAATTTCACAAGAAAAAACCAACCCGTGAAATACACCTTTGACAAAAAGTTTTAGATTGCTACGTGCAGGTGTCAATTTTTACGGTCCATTTTAGATCGAGCCTGGTGACTTGGGACACCCTATAGAAGCTATTTTTTGTGTCTTGGAAGGGTAAAAGTGATGTTTCTTCTCGTTTGCTGATTGTGCATCTGCAACAACCAGAGCAGCGCCGCATGTCAAACACACAACCTTCAACGGCAGGCAAAAGTACTAGTTTCTGCCACTGCGACTTCTACGCTTCGTAACTCGAGAACAAAAAATCTGGGGAACATGCGGTTTGCGCCCTCCTTCATTAGAAAAGACGCCTCCAAAACATACATTTTTTTTTTGTCAAAATTAAAAATTAGAGCCTTTAGCTTGCCCGATTTTTTTTTTCCACAATTTTTAAATTTAAAGAAAAAAAGCTGTTGGCGGTGCCTTGCTACTCCGCAGGAGGGCGGAAGGCATCACTCGGGGAGACGTCGTAGTGTCAACTATCCTGTCCGACGGATCCACGTCCAAATTCAAACTTGTTGTCTTTTCTTGAAACTTGCTTTGTAACAAGTGTTCATATCCGACATAGTCCAAGAACTTTGCTTCTGGGAAGTCTATCCCCTGGTTGCAGTATGAGGGCATGCTTGAGACCTCGAAAGGAATACTTTTAAGATTTTTTTAAATCATACACGTCGGAATTTCCGTGCTTCATTCTGTCCAAGAAGAGGGAAAAATTTGGACTTTGCACCATGTTTACGCATGATGTGAACATTTCGCACGGTGGAAAGGCTGACATTAGGTGTATATTGCTTCACATAAGCATCAGGGCTATGTGCCTGCCGCAGATAACCGAACAAATTTAATAAATTTTTCACATTAAAAAAAAAACAAAAAAAACTTGCAAAACTTATTTTCTTGGCTTGCCCCGCCACCCCCCCCCCTCTGCCGCCGTGGGAGTTTTACGAATTTAGTAGTCCACAGGTTGGGCAGGTATGTAAATGTCGCAGTGTCACGTACATCATTGCATCGCGTGCCACGACAACCCTACGTGAAACGCACATGGGGATCTGCCAAGAAACTTGGCACATGACGGCTTTTGCTGGAAAATTGACCTCGAGTGACGAAGGAAGGAGGGTAAGGCGGGAATCAAGACGGTGTTAAAGCTCTCTTTTTATTTTATCCAGCATCATTCCAAGCTTACCCGACCTTCCTGGCTCCCAAGGGAACGGAAACACTTGCCACGCATCGACCTCATCGAACAACCCTTCCCGCCTGGACAGTGCAACAGCCGTGCTTGCATCCATGAAAGTGGAGCCGGGAACGTCAAACAGCGGTCCTGGCCACCTCACCGTCGAAAGGTTCCGTTCCCCGTCCTTCTCCAGATTTGTTTTTTATGCGAGCGAACACAAACGGATCTCGCATTATGGGGCTTGTCGTGGTCGAATGCAAACGCTCGAGCCGGCCTTGGGGTATCGAGAATGGAGTTTCGGATCCTAATTGCGTTGTAACGCTATTCGGGTGACGACCGGAAAGTTTAGTAATTCATGACCTTCACTACACCGTTTAACTTTTTTTTTTCTTTTTTTGCTTGCACGCTTCCTTCTGCCTGCCAGGGTTTTAGCATCGTTTGCCGGAACGTTCTCGCGGGAAGTCGCCAACGTCTCACCGATGTGTCTTGCTTCTTTTGGTGACACGTGTTGTTTTGCAGTAATTTTCTCCTTTTGCAGCTGGCTGGAGTCCCTTGGTTTACAGCATTGCCAACAGGCGCTCGTGGAGAATGGTTACTCCGACATCGGCAGCTTCTTGGAGATGTCCTATCAGGTATGTCCAAGAGCTTTGACTTTCTTCTTTGCTTCGAGCCAAGCAGCCAGGTTGCAGAGGTCACTGCTAGCTTAAAGGGCCCCTGAAAAGAAGAAAAAAGTTTTTTTAAAAACAGTCTGGTTGAGACACGCGTGTCAAAAAATGAATTTTACGCGAAAAAAAAATTTTTTTAGAGCAATATTGACTGCGCCAGACGCAATTTAGTCGGCAGTCACCTCCTTTCCACTTTTCTCTCTCTCGGCATCTCGGGCGCGTGGAGGAGAAGTAGTCCCCGCCTCTTCGTAGTGGATCGGCTTGGCTGCTTTCCTGGCTTGGCTGCGCCCCGCACGAGAGCCATTGCTACTTCCTGGCCGTGTTCCAAAATTGACTCGATCTTACCCCAGGGTGAGGGTTTTGTACTCTTGGCGTTCTAAAACCTACCCGCGTACAGCGTTTTTCAATCTGTGCTGTCACGTGATACGATCCGCCGGAGAAACTCGGATCCATTTGGAGATTGGGAACACAGCCCCTGGCCGGCTGTCTGCCGGTCGAACGACATACCGCTGATACCGCGTCGTATCGTGCACGTACCGTGGTCGTACACACAGTACATAGTCGTCGCGGTGGACCCCGACCTGAAGCGTCGGTTGCTTCAACGCTGCCAGCAGCTGGGCCTTCGCCCGTACAAGGACACGCCTCGCCAGCCGGAAGGCGTCCGCTCCGATCGCCGCGAGACAACCGCTCGCGAGGCACCCGCTTCGCCGCGGCGAAGCGGGTGCCTCAACGAGTTCGTTCGAGCCGCACGATCCTTCAAGCCGCCGCGAGGACACGCAGTGGTAACTGATTTTTTGTTTATTAAACGTTGAGTGCGGTGCCGCGTGCCTCACTAAACTCTTTACGGGAACCACGGGAACCGACATCTAAACAAAAATTGGCACTGGCGCGCGCCAGAAAACAAACAAAAGATGAGGTAAACGGGACACACGAATCGCGCAAAGAGCAGAAAAACAGAAACCTGTCACCCCGCGCCACTTCCTAAGTACTTACTATGACTGACTAACTAACACAAGCAACAAGCCCTCTTCAGAACGCGAAACGCGAAGACGGCGAGCACGACAAAAAACAAAATGGCGAAGCTTTTGTTTGTTGTTTTGTTGTAGTATCCGAACGGAAGTTACGATTTTGTAAAACGTTTGTAAACAATTGCGACATTCATTCGATGGATTGTTTCTTAAACCTAAAAATATGTAATTCAAAAGGCGATTTCAAGAGATCACGAAGATTTTAGAACCAACATCTAAGCTGTCACTCATTCTATTGGCCAATCAGAAGCTGATTTGAATGACCATGGTTACCAATGAGAAGCCGAGCTGAATGACCTGGAATTTGCGCGCAAATTTTCAAATAAATCTCTCGCCGTCAATATTGCTCTAAAAAAATTTTTTTTTTTTCGCGTAAAATTCATTTTTTGACACGCGTGTCCCAACCAGACTGTTTTAAAAAAACTTTTTTTTTCTTTTCAGGGGCCCTTTAAGGGACGCGGGGCAAGGATTGCTATCTCGACGCTTCTTGCTTCGCGATTCGTTCTTTGGCATTCTTGTCAGCTAATACCGCAATCTCATTGGCTGGGAAGCAATGTGCAGAGGCTCAAGACTTGCCGCATCTGCATTTGTGGAGCTGCCGGTGACCACGGTGTCGACTATGTGAAAGGAACACAAAACTGAGTGTTGCCCCAATTACGGTAGAACTTGCACCCTGGGTTCCATGTTTTTTTCACAAACGCAGTAAAATTTTTTTTTTAAATCTTAAAACGTGCAGGTTAATTAAAGCAGGTCCTCTGTGTAAGAACTGTGATGATGGCAGAGCTATAACAAAGTTGTCCACCAGAGCGGCTTCTGTGGATGTTGATGCAATCTGCACCTGTTCGCCAATACTTCCTTCACCATGCTTATTGTATGCCACTGTTGGATGCACTCAGTGCGGCGATGGTAAAGAGGCTTTTGGTCACATCTTGAAGCTGCCCATTGACAACTTACTTTGTTTGCAATAAAAGTTTGCCTTAGAGTGCTTCCTTTGTTTTTACGTTTTACAAAGACCTGCTTCCCATCTGCACCACCCAGGCGTTGCACTTACTATGTATCTGTGGCTTCTCACTCTGTCAACTTTCCTCGGAATATTTAACTATGTCGGAGTTCTTTTTCTGACAGGATGTGCTGTAAAGTGTGTCATCTCATGTCAAACAGCCGCAGAGTTTAGCACCCGAAGGACAGCATGTCGTCGGCTGGCAATCTATATTTTTTGCTGTGTAACTTTGATAAGAGTTGTATCTTTCTGGTTTCACAATCTTACCAAAATTCAAAGCAGCCTTTCGGATGGTTAAAAAGAAGATGCTTGAAATGTAGGCTAATTTAGTTAGTGCAAGTTTTGTGCTGTTGTTTACTTTGGATTGATGAGAAAAGGGGAAATCAGGGCAGGCTATGCTTCTATTGGTGAGACAAGTTGCTATGTCGCAGTTGGATAAGTACACTAAAGGAGAGGGATCAGGTGCTTGTCATTAGCAGGATTCCTTCATAGTTTACATTGGCACTCAAATTAGACTGCCCTCTTTGAAACACAAAACATGGTGACTTTAGCACAGAATGTGTCATCTGGCTGCCACCTTACCATATCCGTTTAAAGAGGCCCTGCAACAACTTTTTTACTGTTTCTTAATTTGCACTGAACCTGAGCGCACTGACTTAGTAACTTAGTGAACTTTTTATTTTCTCAAAATTCGTTTTATTTTAAAAGTTATAGGCATATTAAAATTACAAAAACGAGCAAAAAATAACCTCCCTCATGACGTCCTCGTGTGTCGTTCACGCTATTAATTGGTCATACTGAAGCCAAGTGCTACTACAGTCGAGCCCGCTTACAACGAACCCTTCTACAACACGAAACGCGTTCGCTAGAAGAGAAGTTCGTTATAAATGGACTTGCCCTTAAAATTCAAGATAAATAAGTAAGCACGGCACAAATTGAAAGCGCAACACCTGCGATCGATGCGCATGGCGTTTATTCAAGGAAGTCCGTAATCGCTGTTTGCTTCCGCAGTGCAGATCCAATTATAGCGCTCTCCAAGTTGCTCAGCTGATCGATGTGAACATCGCTCAGTCCCCGTGTGTAGACCAGCTGCTTCAACGAAGCTATGTGCCCCAAAGCCATCGCTGTCGAAACCGGAGGTGAGGGAGCAACCCCACCGCCGACGTCGTCTTCGTCGTCATCTTCGTCGTCGGACACCGCGATGTCCTGCCGCACCTCCCGCACGATAGCTTCGTCGGAGGCGCTCTCCGAGACGATGACATCTTCGTCGGCGTCAACGAAGTCGTCCCACGTCTGCCCTTCCTCTGTCAGACTAGCAGGAACGGCTTCGGTCCACAGGGTCAAGTCGATGCTTAGCGCATCGTCTTGGCTTGCTTCCGCAGAAGAAAACGAAATCCCAGCTTTTCGAAAGCAGTTCTTGATGCTGTCAGACCTGACCTCCATCCAGGAGGCCTTCAGCATTTCCACCGCGTTCATGAGAGAAATTGTCAGCTGAGGCCCTTGCGCACTTGGTCGGCCGATTGCGATGAGCAGCCTTTCGATGACGCGGCGGCGGTAGCACACTTTGAAATTTCTGATGATCCCCATGTCGAGGGGTTGGAGCTTGGCAGTGGCGTTTGGAGGGAGGAACATCAAAGTCACAGCATTCAGCTGTGGGTTCACGTGATGAGCTGAGCAATTATCCAGGATCAACAGGATCTTCCATTTTTGCTTGACCATGGCATTGTCAAGCTCCGTGAGCCATTCGGCAAAGAGTCCCCGAGTCATCCAAGCCTTGGCACTGTCTTGGTACCGTACGGGCAGGGGGTTGGTGAAACAGCGCGGTTTCTTCGCCGTTCCAATCACAAACGGCAAGCACCTGTCGCTGCCGTCTACATTACAGCACAGGAGCACAGTTATCCGCACCTTGCTGTGCTTCCCACCGACGCATTTGTCGCCCTTTAACGCGTGCGTATGCACAGGCCTCATCTGGTAAAACAACGCGGTCTCGTCCGCGTTGTAGACATCTTGCTCACTGTGGCTGTAGATCTCTTCGAGGTTGTCAGCAAGCCACTGCTCCGCTCTCTCTATGTCCACGGATGCCCCTTTCCCGACGATGGACTTGTAAACAATCCCGTGGCACTCCTTGAAACGATGGAGCCATCCGTTTCCAGGGCTGAACTCTGTGAAATTCAGGAGAAACGCGAAGTCCCTGGCTTTCCCAAGCAGCAGGGGTCTGCTGATGGGGACGTTCATAGTTCTTGCGTCGAGAAACCACTTGAAGAGAGCGTCTTCGACGTCTTTGTACGCGGCGTGCTGCAGCCGTTTTCGAGCACTGCAGTCGCCATTCATGCTCATTGCTGCCATGATCTTCTCCTTTTCCTTGGCGATCGTCGAAATGGTGGACTTCGATAAGCCATATTTCTTGAACAGGTCTCCGTTTTTCGCCCCGGCGCTCAGCTCCTGAAGGATTGCAGATTTCCTGCCCATGTCGATAGCCTTGCGTTTCTTCGCAGTTGAAGCAATGTCCGACATAACGATCGATGATTCGGCGAGTGACCGAAGACTGAACGATTGCGCGAAGGTCGAGCCGAAACTGACGGAACCAAACGACAAGAGGCAACATGCTTCAGACGGAACGAAAGACAAAAGACCGCAAAACCCCAGCACCCAAAATAAAGAAAGCAAAAAAAAGAAAGGGCTTTGCACACGGCCCCAACACTTCGAGCAGAACGCGTGCAAAACGTTGGGCTGACAGGCCTGATTGTCTTGCTTTCCCCTTTCGTTCCTCTTCCCTCCCATTCCCCTCCCCAAGAACCCGACGCTGTCGGGGTGTTGCGATGCCGGTGCTCCTTCCGCGTTTTGCGCCTCCTCTCCTCCGCCTTATCTCCGCCGGCAGCAAAGGTCGTGGCGCCGTTTCGTTCGTTCTCTCCGAGAATTGCGCTCAGAAAGGGCCGTTAAAAGTGGGCCGTTTTGTGCAGGATTCTTGCGAAATATGTTGGGGGATGAGAAATTGTTCGTATTAACCGAACGTTCGTTTTAAGTGGGGCCGTTATAAGTGGGCTCGACTGTACTCCCTTATAGCTTGCTTTGCTGTGTGGTAGCCTCGCAGCTTGCCAAAACTATTTTCTTTGAGTTGCGGGTCACCTTGTATCACATTGTACATGAAAATGCAGTTTGAGGTATGGACTCACAGTGCTAACGTTTTCTATTTTTTTTTTAGGACATTTTGAAGGTGAAGATGACCCCATTTGATAGGAGGCAATTGTTCCAGGCCATTCCACTCCTCCACCAGCAACTCTTTGCTCCGGAACAAGAGGAGATTTCATCGAGTCCGGTAACGGAATACATTCTTTTAATTGTGTAGACACTTGCTGTCTCAAGCCAACGAGAAAAGAACAGTAAAATGTGTCGTTAGATGTTTACACAGTGTGAGGTTAGTCTGCCAGAGTTTTTGGTGACCTAGCTACATGCTGTAGATAAGAAATTTTGCTAGTGCAGTACAACTGCTAGCCCGAGGTCTTAAAGACCGACCGGCACAAGCACGCAAATGCCCATAGCTTTGGCTTTATTGCCAGAAAGGTTATCCTGCCCTAGCAGTCTCGACTTTGCCGAATTTGAATGCAGAAATAATCGTCGTCGCTATGGCTGGTCGTCGATTAAAAATTTCAACCCGATTGATTGCTACCCTTTAATCGATTAATCGTTCGATTGCCTTCATTGGGTGTGGGGATGCATCATAGCTCTCCAATTATTGTTACTTCACCACAACTAAAGCTATTCCGACAGTGCTCAAATCTAGCACCCGGAGACTGGTGGTGAGGGGCTTGGCTCTGTGAGGAACGGCCGACTTTGCCAACAATGCAAAGTAAAAAGGATTCTTTCTAAACGTTTGTTGACATTGGGGGAGAAGAACGAAGGATGTCAAAGAGGAAGGGGCGAGAGCAAAATCGTAAGAATGTTGACCATCGCATAACGACTGTTTCTACGTTAAAATTCGGCAAGAAAGCCAGGACATCAGGACGAGACAACTTTTTCTGGTGATAAAACCAAAGCTACGGAGAACTAGGTGCTTATCGAAGAAGTTCCGCACGCGCGGTCTTCACTTCTGAAATGTCAACAAAAAGGCAAAAGCCGTGCGAGGAATCGGAAGAGTCCTGGAGAAGTCACGAGGCCGCTGTGGCACCCTGCCACTCAATATTGGCTTTTCTAGGCTTACAGTCTCGGAAGATGCCACCGCAAAAGAGGCCATACCCAAGCTATTGCTGCAGAAGGGTAGGAGAAAAAAAAAAAAAGTGTTGATAAGGGCTTTCGGCCTGGTCAGAAAGTATACTTGCTGGTTGGCTATCTGCTTCCCAAAATAGTGCCACACTACCTCACGCCGCTATAGCGCTCATACAGATTAAAATAGACGGGCGAGAAAAAAAAAAAAAAAACACCATCATCTCCATAAATCTTTGTTTAGTAAAGAAGAGGATGATAAAGTGCTTTTTCTTTTTAGGTGCTGGAGATCTCAAATATCTCCTTATCCTTTCTTACCTTCTTGCTTCGATTCCTATGTACCTTCATTACATGGGTGTTACCTACTCTCCCCCTTTCTTTTCAATTTTCGTTCCTTTCACCCCAACTGTTGGTATACTTGGTGCATCCACTAATCTTCACTTTTCTATCCATCTGGATTGCAATCACTTATGGAGGATTGGTGGCCGATAGTGATAAACACCGCAGCTCTGAGCTCAGAGGCAAAAAAAAAAAAAAAAAATTGGGTTGTGTGTGTGTTTATACAGCCTAGAACTTGGTCTGCCTCACAGGGGCGACGAGTCTCCCAGCTGTAGATGAGAAATTTAGCCAGTGCGGTACAGCCGCTAGCCTGGGGTCTTTAACGTGCATCACGCAGTAGTGATACACGAACGCACGCCGGTACGATGCTCATCCAGATCGAAACGGGCAGGGGTGGGGCTCGAACCCAGGATCCCCGGGTTCTGCAGCGCGAGCTTTCGCTCCACGTGCTCCGAGCTGGTGTGCGCTAGACCACTCGGCCACCGATCCCTTAGCTCCGAGGCAAAGGCAGTGTTACCACTGCCTTTGCCCCGCTAGAAGGGCAAAGGAGCTAATCTTTTTTGTTCGTTACAACTGAACACATATCATTTGTTTTTCAGGAATTTTCAACCCAGGAGAGTCTGCGAGCCAGCCAACTCAGTGGTTCGTCCTCCGGATCCAGCACCAAGAGCTACCGCGTGACGCATGTGAAGATCATCCGGCACCTCAAAGATGTTTAAGGCTAGACGTCTAAGGCTGGTTCATGCACTTGCGTTGGAGTGTGATAGAGCGTGTTGCGCCCGCTCGTGACCGCTTACGACTGGAGGACACACTGGCACAACTGATGCCATCTGTTGAATAGCCGGGACCAGATGAACACTGCGCCAGAAGTACATGGACAGAGGTGACAAAGCACCGCCTGCAGGTGATGTGGGACAGACTGTGTCACACCGTGGAACCTGTGCACTGAACTATTCTCGGTATGAAGCAGAACTAACACTTTTATTTATGGTACCAGAGGCATTCTCACGAGTGCCCGCCCTGGATTCATATTTATTCTTCAAACCTTTTACAATGGCAGCTCTTAGTGCCCCATCCCGGCTTCCCGGCACAAGGTGCTCATGAACGAACTCACAACACCACCCTGCAGCAGAGGCACTGCTCTCCCTCTTGCCGTCATTCCTTGCTTACAGCGAGGCTCTCTTTCACTCCCGTCCCCCTTTTCTTCCCTGTAGGCCTCCACTTTTTCAAAAAACCCACGTGATCACAGGGAGAGCGCCCCCCTCCCCATCGTTCCTGCTACATCTACATACCCTCCTGCGACGCACTCCCTTCCTCCTCCTCCCTCCTCCCTTCCTCCCTCCGGCAGCCGCGGTTGCAAAATATTCGGATGGACGCGCTGTGCGGACGCGCTCCCTCTCCAACCCACTGCCGCCGCCCAGGTTCCATTGTGTAATCTATGTGCCCCTACAGAAAGGCTCACATACATACTTCCGCTTCTTCCACCGCAGGTGCGGTCACATTCTGAAAGAGCATTTCAGTGAAAAAAGAAAAATGCATGTCTCTGTGTTCTTCTCCAACACATGCAACATCTAGCACAATCGTTCCACCGAAGCAAACATCTCGTTACCCACATCTTCTACATCAATTCCACTGAAAGCAAAGAACCCCCTGCCAACATTGTGTAGCACACTGATTGAAGGCAAATCTCCTTCATCGTGCCTTTCCACGACGCAGTAGCTACCGCTGTCGATCGCAGCACACTCTGGTTGTTTTTGTTTTTTTGTTTTTTTTTTAGGGATCCTTTCACAGTCTTTTTTAAATATGTTGTAAGCGACCATTTTTTGTAGATAGTGCATAGATTTCATTTCTGAAACACTGTCAAAGCCTTTATTCCACAGGGTGTCTCAAATAGCGGCCAGGCTCTTTATATCGGTTTAAAAGTCGGTTTCTTATTTTATCGCACTATGATTTTGTGCAGCGTTGCCCACAGGTGGTGCATTTTTTCTATAAAATTTGCAAGGAGCGAACTTACCTGAGCAAAAAGTAAAAAAAGAAATAGGCTTAACTCCTATGGATATGCAGCGAATCCACCGGTCTTCAAATAATAGGGTGCCGTTTGGCAGGGGAGACAAGAGATGGCGCAAGCGGTCACGACGCCACCTGCCGCCAACGAACGAGCATACGAAGCCAACAGTCGGCGTCGTTAGCAGACATTCTTTTCGACTCAAAAGCGGCACGCGTTCCGGAGGCGACAATAGTCACATAACCAAAAAGGTGTGCTGTAACAAGTAACTGCAAAACAAACAACACAAATACCCCGGAAAAAAAAAACGCAGTTAAAGTAATTTGACACCCTATTTTTTAATCGATAGTATCTATTCAATGTCTTTTATTAGTAAGGAAAATAAAATCATGTATTGGCAAGTGATATCGAAAAAGCTTGCGCCGCTTTCGAGTTGAAAGTACTGTCTGCTACGTATTTGATGCCGGCTCTTGGCGCCGTATGCTCATTCGTTGGCGGCAGTTGGCGTCGCGACCGCTTGTGCCATCTCTTGTCTCCCGTACAAAACGGCGCCTTATCGTTTGAAGACCGGTGGCTTCAATGAGTTTCCATAGGAGTTAACCCTTTTTATTTTTTTTACTTTTTCCTCAGGGAAGTTTACTTTTTTGCAAACTTTATAGAAAAAATTACCACCTTTGGGCAACGCTGCACAAAATCGTAGCGCAATAGGTTAAGAAACCGATTTTTGAGGTTGATTTAAAGAGCCTGGTCGCTATTTGAAACACCCTGTAGATTGGAAGATTGGACACAGATTGGAAGCATGGCAGATACGGCTACCTAGTAAGTTGCACCAGTGTGCTTGTGTGTTTTCTGTTGTAAGCGGTCACGAGTGGGCAGAATGCATTCGGTCACTCTCAATTGCAGATGCGTGAACCAGCCTTTAAAAATGCAACGCTAGTGTTTTTTTGTTTGTTTTTTTTTTTTTTTTTTCGTTTTTTGCTCAGGTTTTACCATTGTGGAAGTAGTTTCATAAAGTTTATTTGTTGTTCATGAATGTCTTGCAAGGTCGCAGTGCTGCCTTAATTGTGCAATCCCGTGTTCACTTAAGGGAACAAGGACTTTGTGCATTTTCCCTTTCATGAAAAAGAAAGGGTTAGTATTACTATTTTTTTTATATAATTTTTTGTGATATAGCAATATTGCTTTACTCGGAACATCAAGAGTGGCTATATTGACACGCAGTCATTTGTTCCTCATTTGTGCATGCATCAAGAGCATTGTATTTTCTATAAAACTGTTACAGTGCCATAGCTCTTCGGGGCTTTGTAAATAAATATATTGTTGCAAGATATATGTATTCTTTATGGTGCATCGCTAAAGGTTGTTTGTAATAGCCATGCAGATGCAGGGTCCGAGTAGAAACGAGTAGAAGATTGGAGGGGACAGCTTTGGGGCTAGTGTACCGATTTCGGTAGTGTTCTTATTTTGGGACAGTTCATGCTTTTAGCCATAGTTTATGACTAGCGTATTAAAACAGTGAATAGTAAGAATACCTTGCTGTTCAGTCTGCTCGGGGGGAAAGGAAAGGGGAGAGAAATGTTATTTTAAATTTCTTGGTTACTGTTATTCCGGAGGTGGTTTTCGCTTATAAGCCGCACAAATCTTCCTTCCTCTTACTCAATTAGCTTCAAAATTATTAGCCTTTCAGGTATTTTATAATGCAGGAGCTCGCGAGTAGCTTCGTGCTGTGTTATTGAATAATATAAGTTTAATTTCTTCGTGCTTCGAAGCATGAAGCTTCAACCCAACCTGGTTGAACCAACTGAACAGCGAGGACCAACGTTAGCGAGGACGCCCCCACCCAGACTGCTTCGACCAAGCAAGCAACCAACCCTGTAACAAACTACACACAAACAAACGAATGTGCCACCGCAAGTGCCTTCCTTCCACTTTTGAAACTTTATAATTTACGGCGTGGAAATGAACCAATATCGGTGAAAGTCAGCGCAAAGCCAGCTCGGACAACTCAGGATTCAGTCGACCGTTCGGCAGTTCCGCTTTCGTGCCGACACGAAACCGAGCGTTGTAGACGGATCGCCAACGTTGAGCTGCTCCTCCGCGTAAGTCATTGACGTCTGCATTCGTGTGCAAACCTCGGCAGCAATCCGGTCCTGCGAAGGCGGGCGGTACGCCAACGCGGTCAAAGTTTTCGTTGCCTCGACTGCCTCGCCGTGGTCATTTTAAAAAGGTCCGTGCGGTGTTCTTGCTCATCGGAGTCGTCCGTTTCCCGACAGTCGCCGTGGACACGTGTTAAGCTGTCACTGGCATCAAATGCCGTTCCGAAGTTGTCCGTAGCTCCCAAGCTTTGATCCCGGTTTGAGCATTTGGGTTGTGTTTTCTTGATCGAGGGGATGAGGGGTTTGCTCGTGTTCTTTCTCGATGGACGGTCCTACGCTTGGAGAGATGTGGGGCAAGATTGTCAGCGGCTTGTCGTAAAAGTTGTAAAGCCGCTGCGGTGGAACGCATATTGTGGGCCTTTTAATTCTTCGACGTGTGTTCATCGGGATACTTCATTTCGTTGTCACGTTATCTGGCTAATTCAGAGCACTAAAACAGTATCGTGTATTTTTTTTTTCAATTATTTTTTGTTTGTTTGTTTGTTTACAGGCGTTACATTTTTGGGGATTTCCTCTAGCACCATGGACCGTAATATTTCGCGCAATTTTAGTGGCTTTGAGTAATGCATATTTAACGACAGAAAGCCTTCATCGATGAGCAATAAGATGACGAGCGAAGAACTCTTTGGCGTACCTCGCTGATGCTCCACAAAAGGAGATGCGAGGTGTCAATTCTTCCTTGGGAAAACTCGGCTCAATAAATAACACACACTGTTTACACACACACACAAAAAAAAAAAAAAAAAAGCGGAGCATGTAATGTTTTTTTAGACTGGCCTGGCTCATTGAGGAGAAAATTAAATATACTGCATTAACATTTTTTTGTTGGATTTTATCAACATTGATAGTAAAGCAGCCAAGTTAAACTTCCATATCTCTTGGTGAGTGATTTAATAATTTTTTTAACATTTCTCTCTAAACATTTTATATTTGCTGTCATTATGCATTCATTCTGATTTGCCTTTACATCATATATTCTATATGCTCATTGCAACCTTACTAGAACAACTCGGTTGGGAAACTGCCATAGAGCCTGCTTTGCAAAAGTAGCTCCGATCCATTCTCGAGAACCGAACTAAAAGCGATCGCAACAGTGTCATTTCTCCCGCAGCAGCTAGTCAGAGAACCGCAAGGAGAACTAGAGAGGAGTAGTGGGTCCAGATGCTGGCCGGAGAGGTTACTCTTTCTGTGGATGCTAGTAGAGGGTGCCACCGCCGCCTTCGCTTGAAGTTCTCCAGCCCTGCCAGCTCCGCCCCATTGACTTATGTAGAGCTCTGTGCGATGACCGCCGTTTTAATTTTATTTCTTTAAAAATAATATTTCCGAAATTATATGTTTCAAGAGTATCGTAAAACTGCCTATTATTCTCGTGCCTTCCACCGTTTGGAGCGCGCACTCGCTACGGTGCCGTGGAGACGGGAAATGACCACCCAATGACCCAGCTGAGGTTGACATTCTCAAAGATAAACGGAGCAGTTCACTTACGTAATCCCTACCTTTCTTTGCATCACTACTCTTTCTGTAGTTCTCTTAAAGGGGTCATGAAATGATTTTTCATCTTCTTCCTCCTTAGCTTTAATCCTCAACTCAAAAGCAAATTGAGAAATCACGTTGTCTTGGCATGCTTGGGCACCGGTGCATTGACTCCAAGCTTTCACCATGCTTTTTAAGCGCACCATATAACTTGTCATTCGCAAGTGATGATAAGTACCGTCAAGGCACCCATTGGCCACGAACGCAAATCCAAATATTTGTTGATGGTTTGGTTGCGTGAGCTGGGGTCAGCTGACGTGCTTTGGGTACAGCATATGTTTCATAGTGTAAACACAGCTTGCTTTCGAAGGAGAGAAGGTACGAAATAGTCCGCTGTGTCTTTAAAGGGATACTTCAACGAAATTTGAAATATTCCCGTCGTGTTCAAAAATAGGTTGAATATGATCCACATTATCCGTAAATGACAATCGCACCTTTGTATTTTGAGCCTGGTGGCTGTATTTTTCGTTATAAGCGGCCCACTCGGGCAAGCGCTCGGAGAAGGCCCAGCGGAGACCACGTGACATCCAACGCAATCGTGACGTAGGTCGTCTCGGGACGAGCAAAGCTACGGCGAGGCTAACGTCGAGAGGATGGCCTAGTCGTTCCAGCCACCGAAGTGGCTGCTTTTGTACGAATTTTGAGTGACGGGTTAATCTTCTATAATCTTGTAGGGGGACAATAACAACTTCTGCGACACACAAAAGGCATTCTCGGGAAGAGGGGAGTTCCTCCTTCCCCTCTTCTCTCGTCGTGGCCGGAGGCAAGACACTCACCGTCACTAGCTGTCAAGGTTTTTAGACGGGCATTACAAGCGAGGTGTTAGCGACATCCACCAGGTGCTCTTTGCTAATCATTTCATTTGTTTTAAAATTCCTTTTCATGACTTTTTTAACAAAATATTGGTGTGTTCGATGTCATACTGCTCCTTTGAGAAGCTGACTTTTGACTTTTTACCCCCTTTCTTTTGGCTCGCTAAGCTATAGGCAATTAGTAAAGTCCCAATGTAAAATCATTTATCCCAGCCCAAAATTTATCCTATGACCCCTTTAAATATGGAAGTCAAAACAATAAAAACAATGCAAAAATCTTTTTTTTTTTTTTTTTAAAGAGGCCAATGTAAATTATTTTGATCTGCAAATTCGGAACTAAGAGTATAATTTTTGACATTCCCGTTTTAGTGCAAAAGCATTAACTGTCCCATGGAGCGAAGCCAGTGTTGCCTAGCAGCAAAAACGGCACCTGAATTTCCATTGGCCAAAATCACAGCAATGCAGATGCTTCGTCACGGAAGCCAGCGGGGCGCTCAATGTCAGAGCGGACGCACCTCGGGAATAAAATACAAAGAAAAGCACAGCAACACAGGTGCATCGTCACGGAAGCCATGAGCCGGTGTAGCGCCGCACCTGCATAGTGGGGGAGCGTGATGTCACTGCTGGAGTGCCGTGTGAAAAAAGATGTGGCACACTGCTTGTAGGAATGCACTGCATGTAGGAATGCGAAAGCATTTTTACACGTAAGCAGTCTTAAGTGTCTTCGTTTTTTTGTGTTCTGTGAGGCAGTCATGGCACATGAACATTCAAGACCACACTGCACAGCCTATCTGATGGAATCTTGTAGACAACTCCAGAATGCAGTCTGGTGAAGGAACCTTGCATTTATTGTTCCATCCCTGTTTATGTTCGAAGTAAAATGGAATAATCTAACTCATCCAGAAGTCCGTTTTATAAGCAGTGCTGAGAAAAAAATTTTCAGCAAAAGCTTTTTTTTGATTTGTACAAGAACCCAAGAAGTAAGGAAGCACAATATTAAATCTTGAAATACTTTGGAGGCTTTTGTAATTGAACTTTGAACTGTAGCCAGCTGACATTATAATTGAACTTCGAACTGTAGCCAGCTGACATTATAATTGCCCGTTTGATTGCTATGTACTCCTCTGATGCAATGAATACAAGTAGTTTTTAGTGCATTGCCTATGGACGACCGGCACCTACTTTGACAAACCCTGAGTGGGCACAATGCCTAGATCAAATTTTCCTAACATGCTTTTCATAAGACAAGCACAATCCTTTAAACTGTATCCCTCTCCAAGTGGAAGTTATTTGATTATTGCCCAATATCGTACACAATTCCCGTTTTGCTACCGGAATATTTTTTTTTTTCGAGACATTTTTGAAACGGCAATTAGTAATGCTTTTCCATTAAAGATAGCCTTTGTACCCTTTGGGGACTGCTAACAATAACCAGTTTAGTCAGTCTGCAGCATGGCCAAAGACTTGTCCTTCCGTACCCCTTCCAACGATATGACACCCATGTGATATTTCCCTTCTCAACCTGGAAAGACGAATCCCCAGATCACTCAATCTGTCTAAAGAATCACAAAGAAAAGTGGTCAGATCTTCTGGGGTAGAGAACAAAATAGACACGTTTGTGTTGTGAAGGTGCCTGACCAAACATAATGAAACATGTAATTTATGTGTACGTCCCGCTTTACGGGAGACATACTCATTGGTATAGCTTATTTTAGGTTTATCTATTCACTGTCTGTTTCTCTTCATTGCCCTTACTTCCGGTTTGATGTTAAGTGGATTGTAGCAAGAAGAAAATTAAGGGGGTTCAGTCAAAAGTTGGCATAGCAGTTGCTCTTGGGGGATGTTTTCTTTTTGGGCCTTTGTGTGCCCATTTTCTGTCTTAAGTGGTGTGGTGAACCTTAGAGGGGATTAACCAGCTGGTCTAGTGCCCATAAACACTCTTAAGCTTTGGCACACATTTTTTTTCCCAACCTTTTTCCGGAATGTGTATCTGCTCGCATTTTCTGGTCAATAAACCCCCAGCTGCATTTGCCTTGGCGGTTTTTGTTTTAATTGCTCATCCCAGGCTTAATAATTGTGTATTCGCAAAATGTTTGCAAAAAGCGGATGTTCTTTAAGTTTATTGAAAGGCCACGAACACTAAGTGACCGCAACACGCTGGCAGTTCACGAGATTGTTCAGAGAAAGTCGACTAGAGCGCCACGGCTATCCTCTGCTTTTTACCATGTTTGCGGGTCCCCTCATTAAGAGCGGGGTCGTAGCCAAGTGGACCAACTACCGCTCTCTAGGCAACTGTTGCAAGGCTGCAAGTATTGGTTGAGGTCAATTGCCATGCAAGGGCAGGTGGCACCATCTTGCAGTGTCATTTCACACTAGCTACATAAATCAACTTTCATGTTTTGACTCGTGGCTAAAGCGTGGCGCTGTTATCGTATTTAGTTTGGTCTCGGTGGATGCAAGTGGTCCGGGTTTCAAGGTTGAGCTTCCAAACTGAGTGTCTTGGCAGTGTTGGCTCATGGGTACTATATTTCTGGCAGGAAGTTTGGGCATTGCCACCTGGTGGAATATTTTCACAACCCAGAGTGAGGAAACTTCGACTTCCTCTGCTGGTGCAAGCATGTGCAATACCAAACTTCTTTGCACTATGAAAATTAAAACATAACCGCTTGGTTAGCCCGTGCATTGCCCGTAGTGAGGAAAACAGTTGCGCCCTTAGCGAGCTTCCCACCGCAAATAGCGTATATGGTATCCTGAAAGCCTGCATACCTTTGCATGGAACATAATATTTTGGTCGTTGGTAGTGTTTATGATAAGGCGACCCTCGATGGACTTGCTTAGTTATTTCATTGCTTAGCTGTTGCATTTTTATTCTAACTGGCACAAATACCTCGTATCAAAGTGGCAGCTTTATACTTGAAATTGTGTCTGATGTAACTCATTGCCTAACCCCATGAAGTACATCATTCAACACGCTTGTGTTGCATTTAGTTCTGGCTTTGAGCAAAGCACAGATGTTGTTGTTAGCAATTTAGTTAGAAAAAAAAGTGGAGGCAATTGTGTTGTAGGCTCGTAGGCCCGTCTGTCACTGCCTCGCAAAGCATAGACGTAAACTTACTTATGTTCTAAAATACGCCTCAATCATTAACACCCTTTCCTAATATAAGCCTTCTTTTTGTGCAAAGTGCATGTCTGGCACAATATCCTGGTAGTCGGCCCCCTTCCCCCTTAGGGTTGGTTCTTGCTGAAAAGACACAGAAAGATAGCCCATCTCTAGAAATACTGTATTAGCTGGGTTCAATTATCTGTTGTGAAGGGATGGGCGGTATCTGAGTTTTCAGTGATATTGATTGCTCCTTTGACAGCTCAGGAAGCGAGGGAATAAACAAAGTCTTTTCTTTGTTTTTCAAATCACACAATGTTTGTCATGTGGTCTACCACAGCTGATGTACATAGGAGTGTGCGAGGGTTCAAGCCAAGCACTGTTCTTGGGGCCTTCATGCTCACTGAACATTAACTTACTTTTTTTTTAACTTTTCACATCTTAGTTGCCCTTTGTAGGAAGTGAGTTAGTTTTCGGGACATTGTGGTTTACTTTGTCATATTAATTTGTACATTCAGAAGACTCTAATATGGCCTTTTGGGACTTCTATCGATAGTAAGTCGACCATCATAAAAGTGTCTTGCAAGTCCTGACATGAATCTTAATGCAGTGATGTGATTGCTGCGCCAATTGCGCCAAACTGCGCCAAGGGGCTAACCCTGCTACATCCTGCTACATTTTGCCAAAATATGGGTAATCTGCACCAAGCCTGCGCCAAAGGACTAATTTCGGTCGCCTTTCAAAACCGAAACTAAACTAAGAACGTAATTGAGCATGCGTGAGCTAGGTGGCACAAACGGCCCCCGACAAAAAGTACACTGCATCCATCCTGTCTTGCATGGTTTCTGCCGCCGTCTCGTGCCTCGTTGTCTCGGGAATCTCGTCTCCCGTCTTTTTTAAACTTTTTTAACGATAGACGTGGGCGTGTGCGAACGCTCCGACGCTAGTGTGCCGGGCGCCAGACATGCCGTCATGCTGTGAAACAAAACCACGTTTTTGCGCGACGAGAGTTCCTTTCTGAGCTGAAACGCTGGTCGCGCGACGTCGGGTGTTGTGTCCCCACGTCTCTGCAGATAAGGTACTTTCTAAACGTGTTCATCGACATTCCTGTCCTTGTTTAAATCATACTCTACTACAAAAACCCCTCTATAAAGGGATACTACAACGAAATATCGCTTATCTCTTGGTCTATTTGTGTGCCAGGGAGCACTATGACATCAGGCACATCAAGCTCTTGTTGAAAAAGACACGAAAAGGAATTTCAAAATGAATTAAACGATTAGCAAAGCACCTGGTGGTTGTCGCTAACGCCTCGTTTGTAATGCCCGTCTAGGAACCTTGCCAGGTAGTGACGATAACTGTCTCGCCTCCGGCCACCACGAGAAAAAAGGGAAAGAAGAGCTCCCCTCCTCCCGAGAATATTCTTTGTGTCTCCCAGAAGTTGCTATTGTCTCTCTACAAGACTATAAAAGATTAATCCGTCACTCAAAATTCGTACAAAAGCAGCCGCTTTGATGGCTGGAACCGTTAGGACATCTTCTCGACATCAGCCTCGCCGAAGCTTTGCTCGTTCCGAGACGAACTACGTCACGATTGCGTTGGGTGTCACATGCTCTCCGCTGGCTGTTCTCTGAGCGCTTGTCAGAGTCGGCCGTTTGTAACGAAAAATACAGCCACAAGGCTCAAAATACAAACGTGCAATTATCATTTACGGATATTGTGGATCATATTCAACCTATTTCTGAACACGACGGGCGTTTTTCAAATTTCCTTGAAGTGTCCTTTTTATTCAAAAACCGCTTTTCTAAATAATAATTACCTAGGTTTCTCTCGGTGGGCTTTCTTTCGAGAGGGACCCCGGTACGTAAAAAATCTGCCTCGAAAGGAAGTCGGTGAAGAGAAGTGAGCTAAAGGAAAGAAGGCAGTGTCTGCACGCTGAACCCGCACAGCGCGCTTGTTTGTCTCGAGTTCAGTTGTTCCACAAAGCGCTCCAAGAAATGTTTGACCCTGGCTCGCGATGTCTTGCATCGATGCGCTCAGGTTCTTTTGTCCTGTGTGTTTAGCTTGTACCTCACCTGCCGGTCTGGCAAGCACGCGCCGCTGGAGTGTTGTTTTGTCGTATGCTAGACAGTTACATTTTGCATACTATTTTGGGAACCAGTTGTCGACAGAGTGGAGTGGCATTGTTCCGATTTCGATTGAACAGCCGTTGTCTCCGCTTGCCCGACGAAGCACGTACCACTGCAAGCCTGCTGATGTTGCCCTCACGTGTGCATGTGAACATTAATGCACGACAGAGGCACCATTTGGGACTTTTGCAATCCATTGTTTTACGTTTGCTTACTTTTGACGAAAATCTGGCACGTCGGGACCCAGTAAAACGGTGGCAAGCGTTCTTTTCGGAATCGCTCGGCAACGCCTACAACACTGCACACTTGTGGGATGTCTCAGCAGTAAAAACTTAAAAAGCGAGTTCCGTCACAACTCAGCACAAAGTGCCCTTCGTTTGTCCAGAACTTAAAACAAAATTTTTTTTAAGAATTTTTGCTTTAAAAGCTACCATTGCTGCTCCGAAACACTGTCTTGGTTGCTCCAAAAGCCACGTTTGCTGCTCCAAAGCACTGTTCTGGCTGCTCCAAAGCTCACTTTTGCTGCTCCAAAACACTGCTTTGGCTGCTCCAAGAGGTGCTCCAAAATGGCTTAGGCCAATCACATCACTGTTAATGTTGTCGAGCTCACTGGAGGTGACTGTCTACAGTACTACATCACTGCCATCGTCCTGGAGAATTTTTGACTTTTTTTTTTCCCAAGTTGGCTAATTTTGGGTTAAAGTGGTCGGGGAATGGAGAAATTTGCTTTTGGTGGATTTCTGATACTTTTAAGGTTACAAATGTGGTTTATTCTACAATCAGTTAATTTGGGAATATGGCCTTCTGTTACAAGTTCTTGCAGTGTCATTTTTCATTTGCAAATAAATCTATGTGGCTTCCGTAGAGAAACCTTTATTAGTGCATCCAGTCCTCCTAAATTGGCACCAAATATTTTAAAAGCTACCTTCACTAAAGATAATTATGGCCCTTTGTAAGCCTTGGAATAAAAATGTATTCAGTAATTGCTGGTCTCTATGCTGAACTGACCTTCAACTTGTAAAAATAAAATGAAAAGGATTGAAGCTCAGCAGTTAGAGCTAATTTTTGTTCTATCGGAGAAACAATTTTTAAGTATTTATGACGACTGAAATTTTACAGTAACCACGCTAGGCTAATGACACTGAGGCTATTTTTTGATGATTGTAGTAGACACGTGAAAGTAGGTGACCTGTGTGGCCTGAACTGGTTGGGATGTTAAAGATATGCATGTGTAATCTCTGCTTTTGAACCTTAATAAATTTTAAGAGTAAGCAAGCCATCCTGAGGTTAATTGCAGAAAGTTCAGAAACTTTTGCAGTACCCAAACGAAGCATACAACTTCTCCGCGACGACATCAACGCAATTGTATTCATTTTCTCTTTTGGAATATTTCCAGGCATAATCAAAGGGCCAACTGTGAGTTTTGTTAAAATAGTCCAGGATTTGCTGTGGGCTACTTGCTCTAGCAATACACGATTCTAAAAATGAGAAAACTTGCTGCGGCTTGAGCTTCCCGCCTTCGATAACACTTGGGCGTTCTGCTAGAGTCCGGCGGGGAAATGCAACCAGCATCTGCTGAAGGCCAGACGCTCGAAAGAGACTCCCTGCCATTTTCATCTTGTCAGTGACTGTAACTAATAACACCATCAATATACTGTACGCGAGGATTGCTCACTTCCTGAATTAAATTACCGTATTTTCCGGTTTCTAAGTCGCACGTACCGTTGCTTGAGTCGCACGCCCCTATAAATGACTGCATTTACAAAAACATTGGTGTATAAGTCTCATTGTTGTATGAGTTGCACTTCAATATGCACAAGGGGAGCCAGTTCCAATATCCTTTCCAACCGATCAAACGAGAACTATAACCCCCGCTGCAAATTCATTCAATTAATGTCTATACTTACAGAAAAAAAAAAAAAGAAAAAAATTGTATAAGTCGCACTGTTTTAAATGGCAAATCAAAAAAAAAAAAAAAATTTGGGAAAAAAAAAAAAAATCTCAACCTATAAAGGGGAAAATATGGTACCTGTCGGTCTCAGCCGATATCAACCCCCTCTTCCCCGTTGCTGCGGTCCCCGGTATTCCAGCAGGTGCCAGGGTCAGCAGCGGAGCCGTAAACTATGCCAGGATGCACGAGCTGCTTGCCCAAGTGCTGGAGAACTGTGACCTGTCGCGCGCCGGCGACCTCTTCTCGGTGGACGACCAGAAGATAGTGGGCGACCTGTCGGAAGTGCTCTCCAAGATCCGGGAGATCGCCAGCGCCTCCGACTTTCTGCACAGCAACAACATCCAGAGCGTCGTCGAGATATGCATCACCAGGGCCACCTCCGCCATCCGGTGAGGCACGCCGCAGACAACGCTTCTCTCGCAGAGCTCGGGTCGTCTTGCTGCAGATGTAGATGTCGTACGTGAGACTGTCACGAGATGCGGGGAGTCTGTCACGGGAAAAAGCTGTAGTTAAAGACTTCTTCCTGCGAGGCTCGGGTTTTTTTTCTTAGTCAAGAAAAAAAACAATCGAGGGTTTTTACGGTTTTCCGAAACTTTGACGGTATTGGCTCAGGGGTTCATTTTTGGGACTTATTGGTATGTACCGAAGACGCAGAATCCCATGCATACGACATTGGCAGCACAGCGTCGGCCATACTGCACATCGGCGACTAAATTAGCAGAGTTTGTCGACTTTGCGCATGTAAAACTTTGTTGATGGTTTAAATAGACATTTAGCTGAAATTGCATCGTAATTTTTTGCTCGTAGTCCTTCTAACTAAGGAGGCCAACAGTGTTTTCTAATTGATCATACTTGAGCAGTGTTGCCCTCTATTCTAGATGCCAGTCACACTAGTACTCTTGCCTGTGCATATGATCATCAGAAATCCCTGAGAAACCCTAAGAATTTGAATGCATTGTGTTGACTGTACCGATGCATATTTTCCTGCCTCTCTGCATTTGCCACAACTCTTTCATCATTTCTGTGTACCTAATCTATGTCCATCCAGAACAGATGCCAATGAACTATACTCTGTTTCATACTTAGTGTGCAATACTGTCAAAGCTGCTGGCACAAGTGTGGGGTTCGATCTTGCAGATCATTCACACACACTTTCGTGCAAACAAAACCGTAGCTGAAGCCATGTGCTCGCGCCAGTAGATTTGACAGCATTGCATACTAAGTATGAAAAGGAAGTATAAGTTCTTTCTTCCGAGAAATTGAGTGATTTATTGATCCAAATAAACGAGGAAAACTAGAAGGAACCGTGCGCTGCATCTTGCTTCCCTGACCTCCCTCATTGTGTACTCGCACGGCAGTTTTTCTCCGACGAGAGGATTAAACGTCAAGTTTTGACATCACACACACTGCGTCACGGATGTTCGCTAATCACCCGAGCCCGCGGGGAGCCACGGAGAACCTGTGACCGGCTCGCAGAATATCTACTGTCCCATCGAAGCTACCAGTACCCCTTTTTTTGGTACCTGTTTTGGGCTGTGCAGTACCTTTTATTTTTTTCCTGTCTTTTTGTTTGATAACCTGTGAAGGTCACAAACACATGCATGAAAAGAAAGACTCCGCCAACTTGACTACAGTGCAATCCACTTATAACGATCAGTTTATAGAGTTTTTAGACCAGAAACGACCAGTTTCTAGTCCAGATACAATGATAATCGGTTATAACAATTGCATTTTCGGGTTTTCTTATCGTTTTAAGTGGATTGCACAGTACACGCCTTCTTCGTTATGCGAGGGTCTGCTCGAATTTTCTGAGCTGCCGCCTCGTACTCGTGGCTTTTCCTAATTGCAGCTCCGTGACATACTCAGCCTTCTCCCCAGATAAACATCTGTAGTGCGAATACATCAGCCTCGGAACTATGTCCTTTTATAATAAGATGGCAGCGAGTGTCTGTCATTTTGTGTGCCCACACTGCCGCTGTCTTCTGCCAGCTGTTGTCTGGAAGATAAAAGCTGGCACTGGGCCCTTTTGCGGGGAGTTACGACGGAAGAAGGGGGGAAGTGGGCAGGGCCCTGACGGAAGCTTTTGATTGTCCTGTCCAGGGACACGGGGACAATAGAGCAGCACGCCCACGCCCTCGTGGCTCTGCTCGAATCCTGCCTGAACCACGACCTGCGGCCCTCTTCCAAGGACGAGGATCCCCCACATGCCAAGATTGCTTCAGACATCGTTAGCTGCATTTTCCTGGTACGTGTTTGCCCGATTAAACGAGGGCTTAAATGCAAAAAACCAGTGGATCTCAAATAGCGACTTGTGGATCCTTTGGGGTTCACAAAGGCATTTTTAAAGTCTGCAATGCACTCGGTCGTAAGTCAAGCCGAGCAATGAAATGTTTGTTTTGTCAAACACAGAAAAAAACATGTCACCTTTCTGCAATGCTTCTCTTTCTGTACATGATAGTGTACACGCGAGCAATTACCGTAATAATTAAAATATAGGTTGACACTTTTTTTTTTTTCGGTACTGTATTTTTTTAGAAGGATCAGCCGGAAATAGTGAGGGAAATTTTTGACCCAATTGACCTAAGTGAAATACTTCTCCGCACCAGCCGCTTCTCCGAGCACTGTGGTGCAAAGCAGCGAAGCTTCAAATGTGCACTGGTGCCAAGAGGTGAAGCTTCACGCCTAACACCAGCTAGGCACTGGTGTAGAGCACCGAAGCTTTTTGCAAGTGGTGCAGTGCACGTGCCACGCACGGGCGGATCCAGAACTCCGTTTTGAGGGGGTGGGGGGGTAGGGGGGGGAAGATCTAAAGCAGCATAAACGGGATTCCGGTTGCGCCTTTTGTTTTAGCCGCCGCAGAACCACACTGCGCCGACGGGCCCTTAGATGTGCGCCGCTGCGCCGACTTATTGGCTCCAAGCCGTGCTTTGAAACCGCCTCCACAGACTTCAGTCTCGGTTGAAGCGACGGAGTGCCTCTCCAAGTTCAGAGTACAAGTGTGCCTGCTAGGGTGCGACCTACCCTATTTTGAACCCTCGTCCTTGGGTACCAAGCCTTCTACCACCTGGCAGGCTGGTAGTCGGTTTTATTTCGAGGCGTCCACCCATGTCAAATTGCCCTCCAAGAAGGGGGAGGGGGGGCGGGAGGGGGGGGGGGGTCGCCCCCCCCCCCCCCCCTTTTTTTTTTAGGACAATGACAGGACCAGAGCGTTCGACAAGCAAGTGTTAGCTGGGGTGATTAGGCAAGCTGTGAAGCAGATGGTTGTATGAATTTTCTTCCACTTCTTTAATAATGAGGGTCGATCTATACTGTTAGAAGATTTTTTTCCTTTCTTCGTGGCAATCTCTCTACTATAGAAGTTGACCGGTTGGCCTATATTCATGATCAACCGAATCACCCAACACTTGTCCCCTTGGAGGTCCCCCGTCACCTCCGCCAATCTGTAACGCGTCCCCATAACAGGCTGAAAATCACTGCTGTAAACTATTGTATATCTGGGAGCTTAATATCTTGAAAAGATGTTTTAAATATCACCTTTCTTTAGAATACATCGCTGGGCTTAAAGTCTGTTGCAACATGAGATGCGCAGTTAATGTTGGGTCTCCAGCACAAGCTTTCTATCTCTGGTAACACATCGGCGTCTCGGTAACACATGCATCCAAAGCATGATGGAAAGCATTGAGTGTGTGCTGGAGGCAGAGCTTGTCCTGCACACCTTGTGTTGCAACAGACTACAGACCGTATGTATTGAATAGTTCAGAGGATATATTGACTTGGTAGACTTTTCCGCACAATTTGTTTTTTGATCTGAACACAAATTGTAGCCGTCTAGCTGGAATAGTTTTCGGACTGCTTCCGAATTTCTAGAGAAGCTAATTTCTGGGAACAACTTTAGTGTGCCAGAAAAAAGACTTTCCCAAAATCCGCATGTTACCAGGAGATAAATAAATTCATTCGACAAATACAAAAAGAAAACTTTTCTTTGTATGACGTTTTTGCTGTTTCTTGTTGCAACTGGCCAATCAGCTGCAGCATAGCTTCCATGGCAAACTTTCAAAGGTTCTTTAAACATACCAAAGAGCTCTGGGGAAGTAAAAGGGAAGCAGAAATCTGGCTGAGTAGTGAGAAAGTTCACAAGGTATGCAAACTTTGGTAGCTTATTCAATTTTTTTTATTATGCTTTTTGCTTGTGAGTTGTGTCGCTGCTTGCATCCTATGGCGGCAGGCATTTGCTTCATAGAATAGCCTTGTTTGTTCGCAGCATTACTGCTCACTTAAGTTTATTTGTCTTCTATGGTGCATGCTTGTTGGAAGTCAAAGTGTAAGCCCCATGGTTGCCTGGAAGCTCTGATGTCAAAACTACCATGGCTAGAAACAGCATACTGTAATCTAAAGAAGCCAAAGCAAAGTTAATGTGTGTTCGGAAGGGACACCACTGCCAAAACGAATAATGTTTCTTTTATCTACCGTGGTCCAAGATTGTACTTGGTTAAAGGTGCGTCACAACCATATAAATTATGTTTCTGGTGGCCCCTGTGTATGTTCCTGCTGAGCGCGGCAGTGTCGACGTTCCCACAAACGTATGTGACTTCCCCGTTGTGTTGTGCAGAACCACAGCAAGAAGCCTGTGATGAAGCTGGCCCTCCCCGTGGCCATCAAGTTCCTCCACCGGGGCAACAAGGAGCTTAGTCACAATCTGTCCAGCTACCTCTCCCTGGCCGCCGTGAACAATGCCGAGCTGCTGTCCCCTCACGTCCAGCCCATTGTGGACAGCGTCATCAGTGGTATGTCACACCAACACTGCTCATTTTCTTTCCGGAGTGCCACTCGCGCAGCTTCTTCAAGATTTAGTTGACCACTCCTCTTGCAGTCGTGTCTCCTTGATATGGACCTTGTTAATCTCGACACCCCGCAAAGTGGACAAAATTTTCGACCCCAATCTTTCTTCATACGACTGTGCCGTGTTATCGAATATTACAGCATACGTGGCGGAGTTGTCAGTGCACGCAGCTGCCACGCTGAGGAACAGGGTTCGAACCTCGCTTGGCCCGATTGATTCTTTTATCTATGTTTTCTCTTCTGGAAAGGTCCGGCTCATTCAGGTTGCTATCTTGTGTTCTAATTCAGAACCTTCCTGAACCTACCACGTGTATGAAAGCGGCGGTAATGCTCTGCTTCGGAATCGGTCGTCCTTCTGTAGCACACGGAAGATGGAAAAGCGGGGCAGGTCCCGCTTTTCTGGCCGTCGTCCGCTGTCCCGCCAGCGTGCTTGTGAGATGGTGTTTTGCCCAGCTTCGGCTCCTCGGAACTGCAAATAGATAAAAGACGCGATTAAACTAAAGGATTGCACCAGCGAGAGGGTGGTTTCTCTGATCGAACAACAAGATATGCTTGGCAGAGAAGATGCTGAAGGTTAGTTTGCATATGACACGTGAACATTACTATGGACATAGCATCTACAAGAATAATTACATTATTACTAAATAAATATTCAAACCAAATGTATTAGACCTGCTTGCCAAACAATATGCAAATTGCAAGCAAAAGAAATACACACGGTGTATGCAAAGTAATAAAAAGTGAAAGCCATTTACAACTCCCTGTAACGCCGAATTAGAGCGCAGCTCTTGAAAAGGAGGAGGGAAGGGTACTTCCCTCCTCCTCCTAAAATCACGTGACACCCCCCCCCCCCCCCCCCCCCCTTCCCCGAGGTCACTTCGGGGGGGGGGGGGGGGGGGGGGGGGGCGGGGCGGTCACGTGATCTTAGGGTGTCACGTGACGTCGGAAGGGGGTCACATGACGATGACAATGCCGATGGCATCATCAGTGATGATGACGATGACGATGCAGATTCCGGTGACGTCATCAGTGATGATGACGATGTGGATGCCAATGACGCCATCAGTGACGATGACATCATTGGGGGGTCACATGACCCCCCAGGTCACAGGTCACGTGACCGGGGGGGGGGAGGGGGGCTCGCGCGATGCATTATGGGACATTTTGCCATAATGCACCGCGCGGTTACGCCGACGGCAATGCCGTTCAAGCTGGAAACGGGCCCCTAAGAGCTGCGCTCTAAAAGGTGTGATTTGTTATTCAAATTTATAAATTTAGAGTTTTCAGACCTCACAACACAATAACCCCCTCTCCCCCCCTTCCAGCCAATAGCCGTCCCGCTTTGGGGCCCGAGGAATTTGGTCACTTTGATTGTACCTTACTCTAAGTTTGTACGCTAAAGTAGGCCTAATTATACATTATTTTTAGGTCTAAGTTTATGTTCTTTTTTCGTGGCAATATAGCCCTGTTTTAGATTGGATGTGGAGGAGGGGGATGGATGTGACGCTTTTTGTGGGTTTGGACCTGGCCGTAGAGTGAGCAGTGAGATGGATGCCCTTTGCAGGCAACTATGCCCTGGCCAGAGTGCTCCCCTCCATCTATGTGGTGAAGAAGGAACCCATTCACGACCACTTGATGGCCCTCATCTCCCTGCTGCCGCTCTGCGAAAGCGACGAGAAGCTCAACCTCCTCGCCCTCTTTGAGCTGGTGGCCAAGCACAAGCCGCAGGTGAGTGGGTCTCACCCTCGTGCGGCCAGACGGCTCGGGGAGGGATGCTTTTACCGTATGACCTCCCTATGTACAATGTATTTTCTTTTAACGCAGAATGTACTTATGGGCTGGATTAGGAGATGAGATGGCCTGGTGTAATGCTCGAGTTTCATGGCACATAAAACATGCGTAGCCCATAGCAGGCAATGCATATGCATTTGTAGCATATACACCGACGTGCAGTGCGCTCTGTTTACAAACACGGCAGGAAAGTGCCGCATGCGCGGGAGGAGTGTGGGCAAAAGCGGCCGCTCTCGCCGTGTTTTCCCCATTGCGACGCGGGCTCTACATTCGCTAATCTAAGCTGCTGCAGCATTTCTTGCTGTTTCTCTTTGTTGTATTCTGTTATTTGTTATGTCTGACTATTGGCGCTCGCTGCCAGAGCCCGAGCAGCAGCAACACAGCAAGAAACTGCATTGACTTTGTTGCCTTCGAGAATTCCTACGCCATGAGCAAGGAGCGCTGGCGCTCCGGCGCCAAGTCGGCCAAGTTGCTTCTGTAATGCTAGCAAAATATTAGTCTGTGCAGATCGTTTCTGCATTCAATCATTCCTCATCCAAACTTTGACTTTGGCAGGATTTTGCGTTCACTGAACTTTTCAAGAAACATTTAGCAGGCATCTCCACACACACGAATAGAGCAGTTAATATGCGTAGGTGTGTGCTATGGCACTGTACGGTTAGAAAGCACTTTTATATTGCTTTTTTGCCAGCACTTTCCCACACTGCTGTGCAATTTCTAAATTCTAAAATCAATAGACATTCAAATAAGTAATTAAAACTGCACCCCAGATGCATGACCATGGGTATTGAATCCCCCGATTCAATACTTGATAATTAAAAACCTCGCTCAGTTTGCATTACATTGCTATACTGCCCTAACTCTGAATGTTTCTGCCACAGTTCAAAGATTTTTTGCCCTCTATGCATGCCCTACACCTTATTTTGAAAAGACGGTGAGTGTGCAGGTGAGCTGGTGGTAGCTAATCATGTCGTATTACACCTGAGACTGCGGTGGAAGAAATCGGAAGAACTTTCAGTAGAAGGAACAGACACAGAGAACGTCTCTACTGAGACATTCTCTGTGTCTGTTCCTTCTACTGAAAGTTCTTCCGATTTCTTCCACCGCAGTCTCAGGTGTAATACGACATGATTACCTTATTTTGAGTGAGGCGCTTATACAACTTGGATTGCCCATTGGTTTGCCATTGGAACAACCACAAAAGAATGCCAGAACACATATGCGCTAAACAAATGCTAAAGTAAATATATGTAGACTACTTTTGGTGCAAGTGTCAAATAGCGTCTACGGAACATGCACTACCCCTCTTTGCTATTGTTTAATGAATTCTTATAGGCAGGCTGGAGAATAAAAATCAAGATTATTTAAATCTTGATTTAGGTCATATAAATTGTAATTTAAATCATTATTTAAATTGTGATTTAAATCTCACCTGTTTTACTATGATGACTTAGATCAAACTTTTCCCGCAAAAGTACTGTAAAACCCCTAGTTTTCACGAGCCCGCAGTGGCGTACCAACTTGTTTTTCAATGGGGGGGGGGGGCAAACCAGACGTCCCCTCCCCAAGGCCGGTGCCCTTGGTATCCTTTGGGCGCCGCCGGCCAGTGTTTGCCCTGCCCAGTGGCGGCTGTTTTGAAGGGGGGGCAAAACACATGCGTTGCCCCCCACACACACACACTCTGAGAACTGGGGGGGGGGCAAAACACATGCGCTGCCCCCCCCACACACACACTCTGAGAACTGGGGGAGGGGGGGAGGGGGGGCAAGTGAACCTTACCCCCCCCCCCCCCCCCCCCGGTTGGTACGCCCATTCGAGCCTGTCATTTTCGCACGACTTGGAAAATTTGCAAACTTTATGGGGCGTGGATATTTCTGTTGTCTAGAGAGGCGAATTACAGCCATTAGAATTCGCGAAACTCGATGGTTGCGAATATGACCCCTCTGCCCAATTCGCGAAAAATCTGGGCCGCAAAAGTAAAGGGTATTACTGTCTAAACCGGTTATAACGAAGCCAACGAGAATCAAAAATCACTTCACTATATCCGCTATTTCGTTATAATCGACTTTGGTTATAACGAAGTGCAAAAGGGAATGAGAAATCATGATCGCTGCGCTGTATAGCTGCTATTTCGTTATAACCGACTTCGTTATAACCGGTCTCAACTGTATAGGAATACTGAAAATATCTTTTATTCACCATTAATTTATCATTAAATGCTTTGTGTGGGCATTTGTTTTCTATTTAATTTAAAGAATCATCCGCTGGACACGAGCAAATGGTGGTGGTGCTTTTCTGAGCAAATCAGAATGTTGAGCTATTTTTTCACCTTCCACTTCAGTGTGTTATGTAATGTCCTATTGCAAGCAGGTCATAGCGCAAAAGAAAAAGTAAATAAAGCTTTTGTTCTAGCATGGCAGGGCTTCCAAGAATAAAAAAAAATGACCGCATCTCCACGTGATGAATGATGTTGATTGGGGCGAAGCTCTGGTGGTGCTGATGATACTGATTTTGTTCATAGGTAATGCTGATGGTGCCTATTTTTTTTTTATTGCTCATAGGTAGTGCTGAGTTCCGGGTTGCATTTCGACTTCATTATTACTGCTTTATGGTCGATGAAATGCAGAGCCAGTGGTTCTTCTAGCAAATCAGCTCGGATCCGCTAGAAGCTGTGGGAACGCATCTCCATGGTCCATGTCAGAAAGAGAATGCGTGGTATGGATCGTGGTTATATACGCCGTTGAGCATTTGACCGCAGCGCCCTCTCATCATAAACGTTGAGCCAATGCGTGCAAAGTTTAACGCGATTATATACGCATTTGACCACAGCGCCCTCTCCTGTATAGACGTTGGGCGGCTACATGCAACGTTTCATCCGTGACAGAAAACCCAGCTCTTGAGTTACTACCACATCTCGGAGCCCCCTACTCGTCCCGCAGTCGCGGCCGAGTGCTTAAGGCGATGGACTAGAAATTCATTGGGGTCTCCCCGCACAGGTTTGAATCCTGTCGACTGCGCAATCATTTCTTCTTTTTTTAAGAATACAGATGGGATGGGAATCGATGTGAGCACGAACGCCGGACGGACAAGGCTAGACCCTAAGGAGCTTCGCCCCTAAAATTTATTTATTAGACTGTACTTTAAGTTTACAGTAATTCTCTGTGCCATCGTTTTCAGTGGTCGGACACATTGACCAATCTATCTGCCGCGCTTAGAAATGCATCTGGTAGTAATAAGGAATCACTATTTTTTAGCTATAATTATTTAAAACAAAAATGATCTAACTTTTTTTTTTTTAAGTGATATTTTATTGCAGTGGTTCTCAGCCATCGATGTTTCGCGGACCCCTAGTGAATCGGTGTCGATGATGGAGGACCCCATTCGTGGTGAGGGGAAGGAAAAGTATACATTAATTATGATAGTGATTTGATAAATGGATATAGGTAAGGGCTAATGGGAAGTAGATTTCTCTTTTTGACATATACACAAGAAAAATCACCAAAAAATTGGAATGCTTGTTCTAGTGATGGGACGAATCACCGGAGATTCGGGTTCGGACAGATTCGGAAATTTCCGAACTTCCCGTGACGAATATTCGGCAGATTCGGACATTCGGCAGATTTGTCGCTGCAGGCTGTGGACGGCAGCGTGAACCTTGTCGTAAACCTCGCGAATGCCATCAGTTATGTTCTTTGATGCTGTTACTGCATACAACCAGATTTCGTATTGTTAATTTCAACGTATGGTATGTACTGTACTGTCATTCTAAACCCTGGCACGCGCCCAGGTCCAGCTGAGCTGATCGGTGTGGTTGATGTAAGCCTAATCAATGCACGGTCTCGGTTTCTGCGCGGTTTTGCGGTGATCAATAAAATGTAGCGAAATGCTGTGTATTCTGCATAATGTGGCGCAACGCACAATAAATATAGTCAGGCAAGGAAATGATTTGAAACAACCTGTAAGGTGCGAGAGCGAGATGAATGTTGCTCGTCCCAACTTCGAACGCGTACCAGCACCGGTGGCGTTGCTCCGTTGTCGGCAGCAAGTCGGCTGGAAACGTTACGCGTAGCATTTGATGAAGAAGAAACACAACACAGGGGTGTCCAATGCAACTTTATTGTTCGGAAACAAACACTGTAACTAAATCGGACATCATTAATCAGAAAGGTACAACAAACGCAGTACAGGAGACTGTAATAGTTTGGCGCAAGGAGCTTTAGATTGTTTCCTGTGCTCCGATAATGATACCTCAGTGGACACACGTTTGAGATAATCAAATCGAACATACTCACTTAGGTGGTGTGTGCCACTATGAACGTAATTACGGGCACAAAATGAGTCTACCGAACAGCATGTACGGCATCGATCTCTTGCAACGGTGAAAGCATGCGCTTTTCCACGTGCTCCAAGCATGCCTATTTTCATTGTAATCCAGAATCTAAACCTATTTTCTCACGATATCGTTCTCGACAAACATCCAAATTAATATAAACACAGCGGAAAATTTTATTTATTACTATGATATTATATTTTAGAACCTTATTTTGTGCACTTTGTAGAATTTAGTGAATTTAATATCACGAAAAGTCGAAACACTCATCAACGTGATCTGACAACCATGGCAACGCTCCGAATCTTTCCAAACTTTTTTGAATCGCTTGAGGTTCGGTTACTCTTCCGAATCATTCCGAATCTTCAGATTCGGGTAAAGATTCGTCCCATCACTAGTTTCTTCCCAATCCGAGGAAGGACAACTTATGTTTGCGGGCTCGACTGATGAGGCTGGGCTTCGCAGACCCCAAAGGGACCCTCATTTGAGAACCACTGTTATATTGTATTATCCCAAGAGATGCTCCACCGCTGAAAGACAGCCCGCCTCCTATTTTTGGCATGATTTGCTATATTTTAGGAGCACCAAAAGATAGGCCACTTCCAGTAATTACAGGGCCCAGGCCAATGGTGACTTAAGCGAAAACGGTGTTACTTAACCATAGCAGGAGTGAACATTGCTGACTGGGAAGAACAGTCGTCTTTGGTTCGTCCCCCCCTTCCTGCGATCACAAGTTTCGAGGGTGACAAAATCTAAAACTAACATTTTTCCAACTTCTTTCTATGACACACCAAAAGTTAACTTGCCCCCTTATTTTCATCCGATTTGCTATCGATTTTAGATGGGCTTCTTTGGGATATTACGGCACAAGGATCAAAAATGTTCTAGTGCTACCCAGTAGATTGCTCCAGTGTGTTCTTTCATCGTAAGCGCTCGCAAGAAGCTGAAACACAGTCGATCAGACTCGAAGGCAAGCGGGCGAACCAGCCTCGACAGTAGGCCCGTCCGGCGTCAGCACCATCTTCGAGAATAGCTGGCGGCACGAGAAAGCGGCGGCCTCCGGCACAACTGGACGGTCCCCCTGCTCCTGTTCCTTTTGCAGCTGCTGGAGAGCAACCTGCCCCAGCTGAGCAGCTGCCTGGGCAGTGCTACCACGGCCGGCTCGGTGCTCAAGATCTTCCAGGAGATGGCGAGCGTCAAGCCCCAGCTGTTCACCGAGTACCTGCGCAAGATGCGGGCCGTGGCACAGGCGCAGCCCGTGCACCTGGCCCTGGTGGCGCACATCATGGGCACCGTGGGCAGGCTCGGCACGGTGGGTGGCGCACCTCTTGGACCGCCGCAGACGCGTTGGACGCACCCTCGAGTCTGACGCACACCCGGCTTTTACGTCCGAGAGTAACGGTCTTCCAAGATGTCCGCAGGTTCGGTTTCGTGTCCGACTCCACTTGCAAGCGGCTTTCGGCTGTAATTCTTCTCGAGAAAAGGTAATCAAGTAAGCGCGGTATCTGCGGCGGTCTACGCCATTGGAAATTGTGTAGCCCCTCGTTACTGGTGTGCAATTTCTGTGCGTGCCTTAGGACAAGCTGCACTTTTAAAGGAGACATGAATCTTAAAACAGTAAAATTCGTAACATTTTTTTTTTTTTTTTAGAAAATTGCGTAGTATTTAAGTGGAACGTAGTCTGAAGTACCTGCCCACAAAGTTTCAGTGGACAAACTCTTTTCGTCCGCTACTTCGTCGGCGACTTTACGGCTTTCAAAAACAAACATACATTGCGACGTCAATGTTTTAACGAAAGCTTAAGAAACGCAGGGGGCAGCGAGTCCCGACCATCTTATTATCGCTCCGCAGCCACCGAGATAGTTGCGGCATTGGCCGACAAGGACGCCAAAGAACGGATTGCGAAGCAAGAAGCGTGATTGCAACGGACCACGTCTTCCGTTTCTTAGGTTGTCGGCGACCATACGGTGCAACGAAGCGAATGTAGTGAGCAGACTTTGAACTGGGTACAGTCATGTTTCGTTAATATGGATCCTTAAATTAGGTGCCCAGCTACACAGACAACGTTTCCGGGGGCGAACCAACTACCGTAATATCCCAAGCCATTGCCCACCCCCCTGCCGGCTGAAAAGTCGTAAAAAAAAATTGGGGTGGGCCGTGTCCCGATTGATGAGAACAAAAAGTTTTAAAAACATGCGGGAAGAAAAACGCCCATTTCTTTATGCTTATCCAGTGTGACTGCACAAGAGATACATTAAGCTCACAACTCAAATTAGTTTTATTGTTTTATACGACAAATGCTCATGAAAGGATGTTTTACTATCTCAAAGTCCGTTGCTTGCATGCGCGCTATGAACACCGCCGATTGGCATACGGCCCAAATGTTTGTTCTGTGAAAGCACGTTTCTAACACTGCTATGTTCTCCTCATTACAAAAAAAAATTGTCCACAAGAAAATAGAAAAACCAGCCAGGTGCAACGAGCGAGCGAGCGAGCGGGCAGATGACAGAAGCAACGAAGACCGATGCTGGGGAAGCAGGAAAGCTGGCGATCACATTGGAAAATACTACTTTGGCGTTGGGCCAAGTCGGGCGCCTTGTCAATTGCAAGATCTTGCGCAGCTTTCTTGTTTGGTGCATACATGCGTGCGACCGTGCACGGCTTGCTACCAACACGGGTTAAGGCGGCATTGCTGCGTGGCGTGGACGGCACCACGAACACTGAGCTCAAAATGGGACACTTTACAAACGTCTGTGTAAAGCGTTCCAGCAAAGCTTTATCTACCCATTGGCTTTGTCTTAAACATGGCACTACCGTGGTCGCGACGGGCTGAGAGAAGCATCGGGTTCGCGGCGACCTTACTTCGGCGGAGACAGACTTTGTCCTTACATTCCAGGATAGGGGGCGTTTGCTTACCTCGTAATCCCAGGGGAAGGATAACACTGCTTGTGTTATCCTTCCAACTTTTTTTTTTTTTTTCATGAAGTTTTTGTAAGCGGAACAAGTTTTTATTTTGTTATTTCCATAATTTTCTTTTCACACGGATGCACTATGAGTTCGGGGTCGCTCATGGAGGAAATGCATAAACAAAGTGAAATATCTTTCCCTCCTTCGTTTTACTTTGTCACGGACGTCCCCCAACTGTAAGGTCCGTGGCCGCATCATTCGGGTGGGATTAATATTCGCGGATTGCGGAGTCACGTTTGGGGTATTTGTAGGGGCCGGTGATGACTGTTTTTTTTTTTTTTGGAAATCAATATTGGCCCTAAAAGTGGGGTGGGCGGCGACTCAAGGATGGGCGATGATTCGGGGATGGGCGATGACTCGGGATATTACGGTAAATACACGCATTTGTGTCTAGTTATTAAGGTTGATTCGCATTGCGGACGCTTTTTCAGGGAAAGGAGTGTTCGTATAGACGAGACATCGCTGGCTTCGTTCGATTTGCCTCAACCTCCCACACCGGGTGCACACCGCCGTATTCGATTTACGAGTGCAGCCTAACACAAAACAAGGCTGGAGGTACGTCGCCTCGCACTTTCCCGCACCGGCGCGGGCAGGTGCGGGTAAATCGAACGAGCCCACCGCGGTGCGCTCTGCGGCACGTTTCCCCGCCGCGACGCTCTGTGGTCCGACGCACCCGTCGTGCCGTTTCCTCCTGCAGGAGCGTGGACGCGAGTGCCTGGAGTTCCTGGTGTCCCAGCTGGCCAAGGGGGACCACAACACGCAGGTGACCCTGCTGCGGGAGGTGAAGCGCCTGACAGACGCCTTCCCGCCGCTGCTGGGCCCCTTCGTGCCCCAGGTGTGCGCGCAGGTGCCCGAGCCCGTGGCCTCCTCCACCATACGCTTCTACCTGCAGCAGCTCAAGGCGGACGCCGCCACCGCCGCCCACAGGTGAGGCCCCTCCCTCCCTGCACGTTGTCATGTCTCTGAAATGGGGCCGTGATGGTAAGGGGAGGCGGCTGCAAGTTTATGACGTTGGGGGGCAGGGGGCGGGGGGTGGACATTGTGGGATCTTGCTACCAACACAGGTACCGATAGAGTAACCAAAGGATTGTCTCAACAGCAGCGGCGATCTCAAAGGAGCTGTCAAACCTAGTAGCACGGTCGCCACATCTCCGCGGCAATATAGACGATGTTTAGGGCTACATTACCTCGGGTCGGTTCGATAAATTACTTCCGTCGGTGCCAATGATCGACTACCTTGTCTCACTCTCTCGAGTATAGCAGAAGAGAAGACACACGTACCAGAGTAAGGACAGAGTCCAAGAGCATTTATTATAACACTTTTTTTAAAAGAACTACAATGTCCCCATCCAAATTCCCCCGCGCCGGCAAGGTAAGAAAAGGTCCTTACCTGGCCAGACGCAGGGTTCTGGAGAGCCAAGACCGGGGAGGCGTCGGAGAAGTCGCCGACACACGTCCTATCTCTTTCGCGGTCACCCGGACGAGTCCCTTTCCCCAAAGCGAGAAAACAAGAGGCGAAACCTCCTCGCCTGTCAGCAGTGATCCGCATCCGAGCGGGGGTACGGAAATCGGTCCCCCCGGGAGAGAGTGAGAGGAGGGCCCCCCAAGCCAGGCGGCCCTCCGCCTCACGAACAGGTCGGAGCTCACGGCGAAGGAGGCCGAGTGTTCCGACCCGCGGCCGTTATCACAGCCATCGGGGAAAGGAGACCAGAGGAATCCCCTCAACGTATGAGGGTGATTCAAAAGTTATCTGCTCTCCGGTCGTCTTTAAGCTTCCGTTGGCCGCAGCCTTTTTCATACGAGTTCGGTGTCTATCTAGTTGCTGCTGCGTAGGTTCGATCGCATTACATTAGTTCAGTTGCGACCAAGGTGAGAGACAGTGACCGCCACACTCGTGATTTGCACAAAAGAGTAGCGTGCAGCGATTTGTTTCTTGTGGTGCGAGGGTGTGTCTGGTGCCAATATCTATTGGGAGTTTCGTTTACGGCAGTGGCGTAGCCAGGAATTATTTTTGAGGGGGGGATTTTCACGACTGGGTAGAAGCGGGGGGAGGGGGGGGGGCTTTGTTTTATTTTTGCGTGTAGTAGCCTATGTACTGTGCAATTCACAGGGGCCGTCCCCAGCTCCCCGGCTGGCTGGAACAATTAGGTAGTCATTCAATATTTCCTTTACATTTCCTCTTCCTTTACAAAAAAGAAAAGTTATGATTTTGGGGGGCGTTTTGATCTCGCAAACAACCTTACCTGCCTATGCCACTGGTGTACGTTGTGGGGAAAACGTTTTGTCAGAAAGAAGCACATTTGAATGAATTCGAAAGTTCAAGGAAGGATGCACACGCTTCAGCCACGAAGAAGGTGCGGGACGCCGGTCTGCGTCCGCGACCAATGACAAGATTGAGCGCGCAAACGAACTGAAGTTTGTCGGATGGACAAGGGACGGTGGATGATGTTGCAGAATCTGCAAATTAACCGAGGCTCTGCCCGCGCAATAATAGACGACAGACTCGGATTCCTAGATGTTTCGATTAAGATAAATCCTACAGATTGAGTGAAAAACATTTTTTAATCACCATCGTATAATAAAAAATGCTAATGGCACCGACAGAATGAGAGGACGGCTGGTAGGAAGCCCCTGCTTCCAGAGCGAGTTGCCTAGCTTCAATGGCACTTCAGCGTCTGGTGAGCTTCGAGCGTGCTTGCGCAGCCAAAGCACGGCAAAGAGGGTGGAGGCGACGAGCGCGTGCCGAGGGACGGGCGTCCGAAAAAAAACGCCCTGCCATCCTCTTCCTCCCCGCAGCTATGGACGAGGGGTGCGAATGGAAATTTGATAAATAGGTTGGACCGATTTCCACAAGATGAAAAACATGTACTATTAGACAAACGGGAACATTTCCAGGTGCATTCAAATGCAGGTTTTCTTCATATAGCGGCATTCTTTAATGATACTTTGCATACACACGACGTTGCAAAACTTAATGGGCCGTAGACCATCCTAGAGTTATGTGGCACTGCTACGGTCTTTTCGACGCGTTAAAGCAGCCTGACATACGACCTGTGAATGAGTGCCCACGAATGGAAGCAATTCGTGTTGGTTTAGCGTTTCGCATTAAAAGACGGGACCATAACGAATAATGGGGTATGTATCGGCTTTGTTATGTTTGTTTTCTTTTCTTTGTGTTCTTGGCTCCCCACGGTAAAGACTGCTTCACACACTTCCGTTTGCTTACGATCGAGTCATTGCGATCTCTCGCGACGAAAGAACACACTGGCATGCCGGTGCCATCATGAGGTGGCCCTGGAACTGCATTTCACTAGAGCGAAGGTTTTGAAGTATCGGCGATATCAAATGTACATACTGTCTATGACGAACGGTTGTTTATAACATTGTCAAAAGTTTTTCGAGCCAAGAAAAAAGGATGCGTAAAATAAAGCTTGTGAATAATATAGTCAGAGTGAACCAGCTAGGCTAGAAACCATAGAAAAAAAGTCTGCATGACACCGGGAATGATTTTCTAATTACTAAAGCAAGCTTGTTTGTTAGCGCACAGTTTTTTTAAAACGAGGGCGGAGTTTGGACGCCGCAACTCTCTCGTTTTAACTCTGACGTCGAGCTGCAACCTGTACTTTGATTTTGTCAATGGCACCGTGGAGGAGCCAACTTTGTATTTCTTCAAGTTCCCGAGCTGCTTCGCAACCCCCGTTGAATCTGTCGCGATCCCCTTCGGGGTCCCAATCCACCTTGGGAACTACCGGTGTGCGTTAACCAAGAGGAATCGGTACTTTTTTTTCGTTGGAATAAGTTGAATGTCCAGAAAGAGTAGAATACAAACACGACATAGAGCTCGAACGAGAACGGACAGACGCTTCGTCGACCAGGCCGCGAGGGTGCAGCCATGGCCTCGACTTCCCCCACAGGGCGCAGGTGGTGAACCAGACGGGGGGCGTGACCATCGTCAAGGTGGGGGGCGGCGGCAGCCGTCAGGACCTGTCGTCCCGGGCGGGCAGCCGCAGCAGCGTGGCCCAGGCAGCCGCCCGGCACCAGCAGCAGCAGCTGCTGGTCTCGTGCTCCTCGCCGGAGGGTCCGGGCAACTCGCGTTCCCTGGGCCACCTAGGCTCCGGGCAGCAGCTGGCACACCGCAGCATGGGCAGGCTGCCCTCCTCCTCCTCCGCCCACCACTCGCAGGGTACGCCCCGTGCCGTGCCGACGCCTTCTTAGTGACGAGGCCGCAGTTCCCGCAACGTTGCTTGCTGGAGGCTGGTACTACGGGGAAAATTGGGTGGGAGCACTGCATTGACGTTCAGCTCGTGTTTAGTCAGTGGGGATACGAGCTCTACTCGGACGCGGCACTCATGTCCGACCCGTGGCTTGGTCCGACCTCAGGCTGGTGACACGAAAGACTTTGGCCTTGCGATCTAGCAGGTGTTGGTCGAGCTCACCCTGTGACACAACGCTTAGGGCGCGAAATCCTTGGGCCTTTTTTACTACTCCAATCGGCTCTAGGTTCGGTCTCTACCAAGTACCTGCCCGTGGACGAGATGGTTGAAAACTTATTGCTCCGCCTGGATCTGCGAGGGTATCACTGTTGCCCTCTTAGCTTGCGGGCTTTAGGAAGGCTGCGTCATCGTGAAGTTGCGAGTTTGCATCCTGATCGTGGTGCGATTGCGAGAGGACAGGTTAAAAGAAAGAGTTTTTGTGTTTAGACTATGTTTCAGTGTATTACAGTAATGGAAGTGAGTGGTCGGCGAGCAAAACTAAAAAAAAAGGGATGATGGCAACATTTCCATGTAGAGCATGCTTTGTTTCCTGTTGCTTTTAATGGAGAACAAAAGAAGCTATGTGTAAGATGGGTAGGTGGGCTAGTTATACATTCCAAAATTATTAAGGTGTCAAAGAAGATGAACACAATAAGCAGACAAATAGAACTCCCTTTTGTCTATCTGTTATCTTTGGCTTGTGCTTCATGGGATGGATAGAACTCAGCGAGATCAACAATAAGACAGACTATGTGTCTGTTGGAAACTGCTGCCACAAATATCCCCTTAAAGAGACACTGGACTGAAATTTGAATTTCGCAAAATAAGGCCGTAGAAGCGTTGAAGGGGATGCTACAAACTCCAAAACATTACTCGTACATTGATATCTCAAATGGATGGCCATACTTTTGGAAAAGAAAGGCGCGAACAAGCGAGAGTTGTGACGTCATTGTCCTCCTGTCAAATTTGAAAATGAGGGGAAGCGGCCTCGCTTCTCTCCTCCTCACTTCGATTCACCAACTCAGCGGGACATAGCGAGGAGGAGAGGGAGTGAGAATCGTAACAGGACTTGTCTTGTCAGCCTCATCGGTTGTGTTCAATCGCACACTTCTTTTCCAAAAATACAACAATCCGTTAGAGATATTGCTGTATAAGTGATTTTTTGGGGTTTTACTGCGTCCCGCCTGTCCGTCCAGTTTTGTTTTGTGAGCTCGAAATTTCGGTTTAGTATTCCTTTAAGTGGCACTGGCTGTTTTGAGATAAGTGAATATAAATTACATAGGCTCTTTAAGTTTGACTCAATATGTCAAGTTGCACCGTCCAACAGGATATCGTTGGAGGTAGTGTTTCTCGTTTTATAACAGGCTAGGCGTAAGCACGAGTAGGTGTTGCCCTCTTTCGCATGCTCCTCCACCAACCAGGCACGTAGCCAAGATTTTGTTTCAGGGGGGGGGGGGGGGGGGGGGGGGGGGGGGGTGCTGTCCATGACAAAATGCTGTATGAGGGGGAGAGGGGAGGAGGGTCCCAGCAAAATGGAAGATTTTTTTTTGGGAAGGGGGGGGGGGGGGAGGGGGGAAGGAGGGGGGAGGGGGGCTCAGGCCCCATGGGCCTCCCCCCTGGCTATGTGCCTGCCACCAACCCTCCCTCCCTCGTTCCTGCGTTCCCCCTTGCAGGGGCCCAAGCCCAGAGCAGCGGCAGCCGCCTGAGCTCCCCGTGCGGCCTGCACATGAGCCTGTCCAAGCTGAGCTCAAGCTCTCCCGTCAACCGCAGCCTGTCAGCCCTGAGCAGCCGCCACAACCTGAGCTCCTGCTCCTCGGCCCACACCAGCCGCGTGTCCAGCTGCGGGGTCACCGTCACCACCACCTCCACCCACAAGAGCATGAGGTGGGCCATCCCCACTGCCTTTGCCGTCCACCCCGATGTTATCAGTTCAGTTGACTCTTTTTTGAAAAGTCAGTCTACTTACCTTGTTCAGAACCAAATTTAACGCTCTAATGGCAGCATTATGCAGCTTTTCCAGACCAAGAAAAGTGAGCATTCTTGAAAGCATAGAGCCGAAAACGGGGAATAGACTCTACCAAGTTGGTCCTTGCACGTCGCCTTTGCTGCACGAAGTTGAGGGTGCTCGAAGCATTGAGAAACTGAGGGAGAGGAGGAGAGGAGAGCGCATAAGGCATCAGAGCACCACCAAACTCTAGTTGGAATGATTAGTGGGTAGTTCTAAACCTAGCTGCCTTTGTCTCCACCGCACTCATCGAATGCTTTAGAAAGCGAAACGCCGGAGTCCGACGTTTGCCTCTTGCATTCGAAAGCGTTCGACGAGTGCAGTGGAGACAAAGGCAGCAGCTTAACTACTACCCACTAATCATTCCAACTAGAGTTCGGTGGCGCTCTGATGCCTTATGCGCTCTCCTCTCCTCCTCTCCCTCAGTTTCTCGGCACATAGCCACAAGGATTGATGTTTTCAGTATTTACCGATAAACCACAAAAAGTAACCCTCAAGCTGGTTTTAACAAGATCGGGGAAAACTAAAAACCCTGGGTCAGAGATTTCCTTGAATAAGGGAAGTCTAAGCTTCGTCAGAAGAGAGCTTTATATAGATAGGTTTATTTTGGTTTGATCCGGAACACAGCGCCCACCAAGCTGTCCGCAAGACTGCTTCTTTTTTGTGGGAACCACGCCACGTAAAACTTGCCGCGTACCGGCAAGTTTTACGAGTATTTGGGTTGTGCGCATGTTCCCTGGAGCTTGGGGAATCCCATGCCTGTGTTTTGTAGCGTAAGCTACACTGGCCGAGGTTGAGCAGTTTCGCGTGACTCCTGGAGAGCCCTGCTGCGCATGCGCGAGGAGCAGCGACGGAACGGGCAGGACTGGTATGGCACCTAGGTCAGTCCCCGATGCACGCGCCGCGCGCATGCACCCGCTCCAGGGTGCATGCACGCGGTTGTTCTGGGCGGCAGCTTGGTTGCTTGATACATAACACGGCGCACAGCTGGCCAAACCAACGACGGGCATCTGGCACGCCGCAGCGGAGGACTGAGGATTAATTTGGACCACCTGGGGATCTCTTGACGTGCAACCGAAAGCTCGGTTACACGGCGCCTCTTCCGCAATGAGAAGAGCGGAGAAACTTAACTCATCGGATCCCGAAGTAGTCGCATAATGCGTATACCGTGTGTGTGTCATTGAAGCAGCACTAAGCATGATAATCAAGCTAATTCTAGACAACCAGGAAATCTAAGAATAACCAGCTGAACCTTAGCTTACCCTACATATATCCTGGCATAGCCAAGCTAAGCCACTGCAATTTTCTTCAGCATGAGCCCCCAACGAATGCCCACGTTTTGTCCGACTCCGAAGAACACCAAATCTGCGCCAGAATGTAAACCCCGAAAAGACATACCCCAAATTCTAAGAAAAGATTAACCTCAAAAACAAAAGCTTTCAGCCTTTCCACTCTGGTGAAGAAGGAAGACCAGCGGAGCTGTACAATGGAAAGTAATGACCGGCCGCAAGTCGGCAAGCAAGAGTGGAAAGGCTGCCGCCATGTATGAGCGACGGCGGCAAACAGATCCGTGGCTTGCCGCCGTCGCTCATAGATGGCGGTAGGTGTCCAGAGTTCTGTGTCTCTCATTTCCTTGCGGGGGACACAATCCTCGGGAAACTAGCCCCTAACAGCTCCGCTGTAAAACATAAGGACCCTTAGCTATGGCACGCCTGGTTGCCGCCTCCCCCTCATGCAGCATCCCGACGCTGATCGAGGAGGCGCAGTCGTCGCCTGCGCTGGGGGGCTGCCGGCGCCCCGTGATGACGGTGTCCATCACCAGCCACATTCCCCGCCCGATCCCCGAGCACTCCTCCGGGGGCGAGGGCTGCTCCCACAAGGGCCCAAGCCCCTCGCCCCCTCCCCTCCTGCCCCCCGGGTCCTCCTCCTCGGCCGTGGGGGGCGTGGCCTCGTGCTCCTCCTCCTCAGCCACACCCCCTCCCTACGGGGGCGGTGCCTCTTCCTCGTCCCGCCTCCTGGGCGGCCCCAACAGCAGCTCCCTGAGCTCGAGCGGCAACAACAACAGCCAGCACAAGGGCAGCGCGGGGGGCGGGGCCAGCTCCGCCACCGAGGACGACGCCGTGCTGCTTGTGCCCCGCAAGGTCCAGTCCAATTCTCAGGTGGGCCCCGGCTGCCTTCTTGTGAATTGGCTTTTGCTGGCACTGTATTTACTCGCAGGATCAGAACAGCTGGGAGGTCCTTCAGTTGCTCTGCCTCCAGTGTGGGCTTTCTGGCTTCTATAACTCCTGGGTATAGCCATATCTGGGCAGTAGACTTTCCGGTTTTAACCGAAAAAAGTCTGTTTAACATCTATCTGTGTCAAAAGTACAAAGTCGGTTAAAACTGGGAAACACCAATAAACGTCCGTTTGCATCAAAAATACAAATTCAGCTAAAACCAAAAGAAAAACCTTTTTCTGGGAATTTTTGATCCAGCTTGTTCTTGAACTCTGTTTTTCGTGAGTATTTTTCACCAATAATCATTGTTTTTAGCGTCTTACCTAGGCAGTTCGTCAAAATAACCGTTACTTGAAAACTACACAAAATACTGGAAAACCTCTGCCAATTTCCCTTATAAACAAACACTAAAAAATGTAAGGCCTAGCTATAGACCTTTTTTGTTTACCCTCATCCCCAGCCACGCAGTTGACAAATCTAATGTGCGGCGTGACAAGAAAAGCAATGCCTTACAACTTGGAACAAGTAAAAGAATACAAAAAAGGCGAGACAGGAACGATAGACAGCTGCTATTAAAATGTGAGCCTCTCCCAGTGGTGTGGCGAGAGCAAAACAATGTGTCTCCCGCATACCGGAAGTTCCGCGAATGAAGATGTTGGCGCCCGCATAGAAAAGGTCCGGAGTCACTGACAGGATGAGAGCGGCGAGGATGGGCTGCAATTGTCCCACCTCCAGCACCAGGTTTTCATTTTCGACGACACTTCGGCATCTCACGAGCCTCGAGCGTGCCTACACGGAGGGAGATAGAGGAGGAGCAGAGCGAAAGAAAGAGGGTGACCACGGTCAGGCAGCCCTTCTCGCCACATTGGCCGCGTCAGGTCGCAGTCTTTGGACGTAAGAACCGGGAAGACAAAGGCAACAGAAGGGAAATTAATGCACTTTAAGCATTTCTTATCAGTTGTAAATGAGAAAGCATGCAAGCCGCTCGTCCGCTCCCTTTGTCGTCTGGTCGTCCGCTTCCTTGTCGTCTGCTGCGTGCTAGCGCGCACGCGCTTCGGGATCTCAGAGGCCATGGCGCAGCGGCCAGTGGGAACACCGTCGACGCGCGCCAGCCGATGGAACCGAAGGCGAATCGCTCCTATTCGGATCGTGGAAACCAGGAGCCGTTTACGCGCTTAAAGCTGATGACGTTGGCTCGCTCCATGGGACCAGTTAATGCTTTCGCATTAAAAAGCCCATATCTCTGTGGGAGCTCAACGAGACTCATGTTCACGATCGTAATATCTGGGAAAACGTACAAACCGCCAGTGTGTCAATGTTTCTCACTTTACACCGGCTCACTGGCACTAGCGGGAACCAAGAAGCATCTTCGTCGCGGTGGAATTCCAAAGATAAAAGTGGACTTTTTTTTTTTTCAGTCTCTTTCGCAAAACTCAACGATGCAGCTGCGGGTTGACGCCAACAATGCGATCTCCAGGACTGCGTCTTCGAGCTTTGCGATCCCCGCTGCGACGATATTAAAATGCGGCTCACACAGTGGACACGAGCAGTGCATAGGCATTCGACTTTGGCTCGAGACGGTCAATACCTCGACACACTTTGGGGTAGTTGCTCCCGCTCAATCGTCGGGACGACCGGAGTAGCTGAACCTTAACGATGCATGCAACTCTGCGCGCGCCCTGTGCTCTGCCAACCCCGGCACATAGCTACGTTAAAAACATTAGCAGCATATAATCGGCTCCAAATCACGTCGTCGCTTGTTCTGGCTGCGAGTTGAATGGGTAAACAGCATTCGTTTTTCTCCGATTCTTTCTGCGACTGCCACTGCATGTAGAAAAAAAAGAGTGTGCTTCATAGGTTATAGAGGTCAAGGAATTATTCGAAGCTGTATTGTATTTATTAAAAGTACAAACATTTTTGCATCGCCCCTTTCAAGGTATTGAGTTTGTGCACCTTGCCCACGTCTCATTGACAGAGGATATCCGTGTTCGAGCCATACCCAATGCGGGACGCAGTCCAGCACTTCTGCGAGAAGCATCTCGACAAAATCAAAGCCTACATGCAGACCATCTTCGTCAAGCTACCGCTCCCCTCCAAGTGCACCATCGAAGGTGTGCGCAAATTGCCTGTCACATAGGATCCCATCAATGTTACGAGTTTGCATTTTTCTTTTCTTTTAAGCTGGTAACCGCAAATTGACGGCCCCTTTTGGAGTATTGATATGCTGCTGGCAGTTACACGTTTTGTGTCTGATTATTTGCGGCTCTACTCAAAGAACTTTCAGTGGCACCGTTGTTGGTAATTCTAACTGCGCTCTTGGTTTCCTTGCTTCATATCTGTCACCTCACTATTTTTCACAAAGCATGTAGTCCCTTGTGGCCTGTCAGTGCCTCGTTGAATATTTCCTCGTATTGATCTGCTTGCTGATCCTGAGTCTGCCTTTTCCCGTGGTTGAAACTTGACTGGTCCAATCTATTCTAAGATTTCTTTGTAACCATTCTGGATGGGAAGGGCTTACATGAAGAGCACCTAACGGTACGGCCATCCTCCGTGCAGAACGGCGCTCTAAGAAGCACGCCATCCTGCAGTTTGCCTGCCAAGGAAAGGGGGAGCACTGCCTGTACAGCAAGAGCCTGTTTGTCATGAAGACCAAGAACCCCAGGATATGGATACACCTTATGTTTCTTGCACTCCAGGTACAGTAAGCTCGCGATGATTCAAACTCGGGTATTTCATACTTATGGTTAATTCAAACAACTTAATTTTGGTTGTCTCACTATGATTTTAATGTATTTATAAGGCGCCTGATTCGAACAACATTTCCGTGCAATTGATACTTTTTGTCTCGCGGCCCCGTGAAGCGCACTTTTTACCGAGCACCAGTGTACTTTGGAGAAGCAACAACCGCGGAGTTTGCTTCCGCAGGTGTTGCTTTTTTGCAGTGAACCGGTGCTTGGCAAGAAGCGCTCAATGGGGCTAATAGTCCACACTAAACAACTTTTTTGCTGGATGAAAAAACTTACCGTAAAGTTCCAAGAGAACGCCTGCCACCCTAGAGATTGCCCATCCCGTTTTTCTGTCTAAATATCTGTAACATGAAAATTTTGAAACATCACCGACCCCCCCGCTTCCTGTCGGACGTCACGCGATGTCCAACGGAAATTGCATAACTGCGCGATTTGCTGTACCGGCACGTCTGAGAAGCGAGTTCATGGTAGGTTCCTGTGTTCTTGTCTGCAATCTCTACGCACAGTATCGGCTCCCGTAACACGAGAGCTGTTCTCGTGTGTATGTTGCAGCGTGAACTGCGGATCTGACAAAGAGTTTGTACCGAATTCCTGCGTGTTAATCGCATCGTGAAACACAAATTTGCTGCGTCCGCGATCTGCGGTATCAGCTCCCGCATCACGTGGTTTGTAGCCAGTGCCAGAGTGTTTTCATTAATTTTTGATAAAGTTTTGCTGTGGCATCCCCAAAGATAGCCCACCTGATGTTTTTTTCACCATTTATCTCTTAATTTTAGGTGGGTGTTCTCTTGGAACTTTGCGGGAATTTTGTTTCGAGCTGCCATGTGCTGTCTAACACTTCACGATAGACAACATTTTTAAGAGATAAATTAACTTATACATTTCACCAATGTTTCATGTGTGGCATACCTGCTTCTGATTAGTAGGCCTGTGTAGAGGAATTCGTCAAATATCTGCTTTGTATGTGTAGTCAATCATATAACAAATCATAATTTGATGTTGCATCATATTTAGGTTAATTTTTGATAATTCAAACAGTTTGTGGCTTCCTGGAGTTTGAATTAATGAGAGTCTACTGAACACACCATCCAATGCACTGCCACCTGAAATTCTGAGTGTATTTGCAGAGTTACTACTGGTGCATCATCAGAAATTTCTGCAAAAAAAGTTGATTTGTAAGATGTCATATTTACATCCACCAGCATCTATAGAGTACATATTTCCAGAAAGTTTCATTTATTTATACTGTATAGGTATTATTTTATTAAGTATTTTCGGTCCACTGATGCTAACGGAAAGGTATAGGTTCGAGCACGCTCGATGCATTTTTCTCTGTTCCACTTTTTGGCATAAATTTCACTTTAGGAAAACTATTGTTTGGTAACGGGACAAAAGGAAAGGCTCAGTCGTTGTTTTTCCTAACTGGAATTTAATGGGAAATGCAACTGTGTCACTGTTTCTTTTACTTCATGGATGTTGTTTATAAAAAAGATTTTGTCAACAACATGAAAGGCAAGAAATTTATTTGGTTTTTCAATGCTATTTTAGCATAAATTAAATTACTTTCTCAGTAATGTAATTGCTGTGCCATTTGTGCCAAACTGTGCCAAAGAGCTTACCTTGTTACACCCTACTACATTTTGCCAGAATTTTAGGAATTTGCACCAACATTGTGCCAAAAGTCAATATCACTATTGATACTGAAAATATAATAGCTGACGCCAAGCTGCACGCCAGATTGTTATGGTAGGTTTGTGCAAATTTTCAGAACTTTTGATTATCGCATCAAATAGTGTACTATTTGATTTCTTCTTTATTAAACACTGACAGTACTCAGAAGTTTTCCAATGCAGTCTAAGCTCGTTATAACAAACCTTGATTTTGACCAAGATTTCGGTCTGTTGTAAGAGGAGTACGTTGTACGCAGATATGAAGTTCAGTCAATGGCATGTAGAGGAAAACCAACCGAACTTCACATATTGGGATGTTACATCCAAATGTCTGTTGTAGCCAGGTCTGTTGTATTGAGCTTAGACTGTATTTGTTGTGTGCGTGATCTGTTCAGACAGGTTAGCTAACTTTGTTGAGTGCGCTTCTCACTGCATACTGGTGTACTGCAATAAAGCGACAACCACAAAATGGACATCGCAATTTTGCATATCTCGTTTTGCCGCGGCGCACCAAGATGCTAAGGAGAAAGCACTCTTTTTAGCGGGACGTGACAGGATTTCTGAATAAAGCTAAAGCTGTGGCTATTTGAGATCTACCTAGGATACTCGAGTATTGCTAAATTATTTGTATGGACAGCTCTATAAGTTTATTTTTTATGTCGACATTCTTGTTCAGTTATTACCTTTGAAAGGACATTGACAGGGTATCCATGCTCGCCAAGGTTTTTATTGATAGATGACATGTGAGGGCCCAACTACCCAGAACACAATATGCGGCTCAGAATTCGTTTTCTTTCTGCCTGAAAACCGTCTATCGAGAACTGGCCGTTTTGAGTTGTGCTCACTCTCTTCTATATGGTCATGTGCATTTTTTTTATGGTTTAGACACAACCACCAAAGATAATCAAAGTTATGGGTCATCGAAGGCAAGCACTCAGTATTAAAAATAGAAACAAAATATGATACTGATTTTTTGTGGCTTCTAAAAAGTTGCAAATACGTTGAATCAACAAAAAAAAAAGTAGCACAGCCTCCCAAGTTCAATTTCAGTTTTAAGAAGTTGTTCTTTTTTTTTTTTTACTTTATTAAAATTATATGTGACGCTGTAGCAAATTGGGTAGTCCTCTGACACCATAATGGATCGCCTGCCAAAAAATAAATATTGGGGGTGTCAGTGTTTCTTTAATGGCTTTATATCTGTTCAATGGCAATATGAATACAGTAAATTAAAACTAAATTAGCTGAAGCAGTGGATGGAAGTTTGGGAACAACCTTAACAAATTTGTTAAGATTGTTTTTAAGACAGCATAGTTATCATTCAAATGCCGATTTTTGTTGTTATGAAGTTTTATATGTGAAATTTTATTGATATTCATAATCAAATACATAAACTTTGTTTTCTATCTGATTTAAGAATTGCAGTTTTATCAGAACCTTTCCCATTTGAACAAAACGTCAGTTTAGGGTGCTCTAAATTTGTCTACTTTAACGTAATTTCTGCGGTATATACTAGTTACCCTTGATTCTTTAACGAAAATAACTATGCCCTGCAGTTCATACTGTCCTTTATTAATCAGCATCTTCTTGCCATGTTCGGTGCTTTTTCGTGCAAGTAAGCAACTTGTTCTGTGTTGGAGGAAATCAAACTTAGCGTGCAATTGATACTAACAAAAGGTTGCACAGAAGTGTAAAAGCAAAGCAGACACTGTCTCTCAGTTGGACAGGCCAATACATTAATTTTATCATAATATTCGCACTGGTATGAAGAAAAACGCAATACGTGCCTATGCTCCAAAAGTTCTGTTTTGGACTTTTGACTGCTCTCAAAAGGTGCTTTGAAATGACATCGACCAATCACTTCACTGCTTTCTGGAAATTTTATTTTCACGGTTGCACTCTCCAGGCATTCTGCTGCGTATCTAATGAAGAAAAATGTTGGTTAATACATTAGTTTTCTAACGATAGTTTTCCTAAACAATGTCAGTGTGTTCCAGATTAGAACGACCGTAATTTCTTTCTCACTTCATGTAGACATATGAAACTTCGCTCTGCATTCTGCCTCACAACTGCCGGTATATGCACTGCAAAGTAAAGTTCATATAAAAGCCAAGGGTTTCAAAGTTGACCCTTTGGGGTAGTGTCCTCTCTTAACAAAGGTGTGACATTAAATGTATGTACTGCATAGATTTAGAACACTAAAGGCTGGTTTGCACATTGCATTGGAGTTCGATTGACTGCTTTGCACAACCACTTGTACCTGCTTATGACAAAAGAGCACGCTAGTGTTATCTGTCAGATAGCCCCGAAGCACTTCCGTCGGGCTCACAACTATGAACCGAACGTTTTGCAGTACTTGTCAGATCAAATCTATCCACCACCCATGAGAAATGGTCGTTCATAACATTGTCAGAATTGTTTGAATGATGCATAAAACATATGTGGATTACAAGTGTTGCAATGCACTCGATCACACTTTAATGCAATTGTGTGACGACGTCTTCAGTCACCTTTGGGGTTCAGCGTTTCCCTTCCGACCTTTTGGGCGAATCGTTAACCAAGGGCTCTTTCTCGCTCAGGCTCGTGCCTCAAACGCGCTGAGTACGCGGGAGTCCTCGGTGAGCAGTCTGAAAAACTGCTGGGACACACTCAAATACGACAACAAGTCATTCCTGGCCCTGGTGACCTCTTCATTCCCTTCCGCAAAGGTGAGTGGCTTCGAGCATGTACCTAACACACTTCTTCTCAGCTGGTTGATCGAAGCGAAACAAGTGGGAAAAGCATTTGAATTTAGATATAAATTTGATGTTTTCATTCTGTAATTTCTGCTGTGATTGAGGATAAAAACATCCTGGAGCACTTTCAATTTGGAGCCCTGGAGCTTTCTGACAAAGCTCCAGGGATTTTTTCAAGCACTGCGGCAAAAGACATTCCCCTTCCGTGGCATGTCTCTTCGTCACCGAGTGTGTTTCCACAAGGAAATAAGAAGGCTTAACTTTGCGATTTTATGAAATAAACTAAGAACTTTAATTGAACTTAACAATGAAGAAATTACTCATGACAGCAGTATACTTATACAGGTTGTTTCACAAAACTCCGGCGAATTAGATTATGCGAAAAATATGCATAGCACAATAAAAAGGTTGATGTCTGTTTAGGAAAATTGATAAAGTTTGGAATAATTGAGTCATTCATTATTTTTGGTTAAGCAACTTTATTAAATGTTGAATTCAAAAGTCAAATTGGACGTTTTAGTGATTTATACAGCGTAAGGTTGGTCTGCCAGTAGGGGCGACACTGGTTTACACTGTAGATGAGCAATTTTGCCAGTGCAGTACGACTGCTAACCTGGGGTCTTTAACGTGCTCACGCAGTAGTGATACACGACCGCACGCCGGTACGACGCTCATCCAGATCGAAACGGGCAGGGGTGGGGCTCGAACCCAGGATCCATGGGTTCTGCAGCGCGAGCTTTCGCTCCACGCGCGTCGAGCTGGGTGTGCGCTTCAGCCCACTCGGCCACCGATCCCCCAAATGTTGAATTGAAGGGCATACAGTAGCTTCAGTTAGAAACTTGCTGGGCATCATTGAAAACCACTAAATCAACCAACTTTAGAAAGATGTAAGGCTTGTGCATCATTTTACTACATCCCCAAAAAAAAAAAAAAACGCTAAATTGGGACGCATTTCTAGGTTTCGGTTTCCTATCGGAGCTCATCTTTGTGCCAGCAGTCCTACTCCCCGTGGTCAAGGCGCGTGATTCACGTGTACCACACTTCCTTTCCTCCTATGAGGGAGGCGAAGCCGTAGCTGCGTGCCTTGACCACGGGGGGCAGGACCGTTGGTGCAAAGACGCACTTCGATAGAAAACCAAAACATAGAAACTCACCAAAAATTTAGCGTTTTTTCAGAATGTCGTGGAATGATGCACGGGCCTTACATCTTTCTGGAATGGGCTGATTTATTGGTTTTCAGTGATGCCCAGAAAGTTTCTAATTGAAACCATGCCCTTAAACTAAGGAGTTAAAGAAGTAATGATTTAATTATTCCTAAAACATGTCAACTTATATTTTCGTGTGATGCGTCGTTTTGTGCAAAATCGAGTTTGCTGGAGTTTTGTGAAGTACCCTGTATAACAGTACACTAGTAATAGTTCATGTCAAGCTTTCTTTGGTTCATATGTGCAGACAGCATTTTTTTCGTCCACAGCCACGGATTTTTTTCTAAAGTTATCCGGAGAAAGTTAAGGCAAGACACCACGCTGTTGATGTAAATGCTCCGTTACTGCTCAGTTACGTTATACTCTTACAAGTGGGAATCAAGTGGTGAAAGCTATTGTACGGGGTCACACATGAGCAGTAGCCAAGGTGCAGAACAATTTGGTATTTGCTCGTAAGCTCCATGGGCACAAAGCAAAGGTTGTTGGACGACTCTGCATAGTTAACAAAGCAACAGCGCAAGACAACAACAACACACACAGGACACACACCCGAAAGTCGAACAGCGCTGACTTGCAACTCAATTGTATTTTTCGGTTCTTCTGCACGAGGAACGAGGAGGATAGCAAATATTACTTTGTATTCTTTGTCTTTGCGAGAGGCACAACAATATTCGCTGTATCTCACTGGCGTCTCACTCTCATCCCTCCATTTACCAAAACTTCTAGCGTCTTGTTTGATAACGTCGAGGATGGGGCACTGACACATGCATCTTTTAGCTGCGCAAGCCTTTCTGCCTCAGTGATCTCTCTAGTGAGCTTCTGGCTACTTCTGCCTATAACAGAATACCACGTAATGTCAGCCTCACACCCTCAATCGTGACGGTGTAGACATAAGTGATCACTTTGTAAGTATTATAGTAATGTTCTCCTAACCGTTTGTTCAAGCAACGCCCAATTTGACCTATATATTGCTTGCCACATGAAAAAGGATTATAATTATCAACATTGTCCGTGCAAGAAACAAACTTTCTGTAGCAATTTTTTTTTTTTTTTTTGTGTGCAGCACACTTGTTTGTGGTTATATTAATGTTAGCTCTTGGGTGTGTGTCCTGTGTGTCTGTTGTTGCCTTGCGCTGTTGTTGTTATTTGCTTTACCCGCTTGCCCAAGCTGCCATCCTTACAATTTGCATATTTGGCCTCTAAAAAGGGAACTTCCGAATAAAAGCAGATGAGGACGGTTGTGAAAACAGGTCACCATGAGTACTATTCAGAAGGGAGAGCCTCAAAGAAGAAATGCCAGTCCATCTGGATGGCATGTGAGGGAATAGGGGGAAGACACATTGTTCATTGACTTGGAAAGAAAATTTATAGAAGCCTTAGATTTCTGGAAGTCTGGAAGCCAGCATATCTCCAAGAGACTTGGAAAGATAGATAAGTAAAAGAAGAAGCTTTTTTTTTCTTTATTTTTAGATGTGCTTGATAGAACATGTCTGCCAGAAAGAAACATTCTCCCCAGCTAAAAATTCCAATTAAATCCATTTGATTATCCGTTAAAGACCGACAACCAGTTCGTGCATTCCACTTTTTCCTCACTTCCTCCTCTCCCCCCTTCTGCACTGTCCCCTGTTGCGTGTTTCCTCCTCCTCCATGGTGAGAACGATCTTCTGCCTTGCAGAATCTCGAGTCTGGTCGTCGGCCTTTAACTGGAACCAATTGGTTTTAGTGGGTTCCAACTGGAAGCACACTAGCCAATGGGTCTCACCAGTTGAAATTATTGTTCCAGTTGGAATCTGAATGGTTTCAAAATGGTTCCCATTGGTCCCATGGGCAGTGACCAACTGGTTATCCAAAAACCCAATTGGCACCATTAAGAAATTTTTAATTGGAACTTAATAAGAATTTTCAACTGGGCCCTCCAAAAAAGAACACTTTTTTGTGCAGTATTTAGGTTGCAAGACTCGTTTTGAAAATTGCAACATGCTTCTGTTTTGGGGCGGTGTGCCAAAATAGAAGCACATTTCAAAATCGCTTCTCAGTCACAATGAGTCTCGCAATGTAAATATTGCCCCAACTCTGGTTGTTTGTTTCTTTTGTGGGGAGGACTCTTTTCCCCGGGGAAAAATAAGATCATTGCACTTTCAATGCTTTCATTCTCTCATTGTCCAATTGGTAAGATACATTTAGTGGAGGGTGCATATCATGCATGCACTTGACATGTTTGTAATTCAGGCATGGAGTTCAGTGTGCCTAAAAATTATTCCAAAACATGTTTCGGGTCAATGTGCCAAAATATCAGAAATGCCTCTAACTCAGCGTGTCTCGCAACTAAAATATATATTTTTCTTTTTCACGCAAAGTTTATTCTATGACATGCGTGTCCTGTCCAGCCACCTAACAAGAGCAGTTTCCGGAAAGTGCAGTTTTCCTTCATATCTGAGCTCAACATTGTCTGCCGTTCTGAGAGTTGTTCCCATAGGCTTTGACTGCCTCCATGTTCCGACTGTTGTCCCGGACGTTGTAGGACCAAGACAACCTGATTGGGGAGCTGAGGTGCGAGAGGTTTTTTGATGTGTTTGAGTACAACGGTCCCCTGACGCTGTGGGGCTGCTTCCTGTGCAACCACCCGGACAGGGCGCAGGGCTTCCTCCAGGAGGGCGGCGAGCCAGTCATAGAGGTGAGCGCCATTCTCACTCCTCGCGTCAAATTGAATTGAGCTGGTTAAAAACAATACTGTGCAGTTGTATTTCAATCTTTCGATGAAACATTGCATTAAAATGATAAAACATATTGAACATGTTTTAACATTTTTATTGAATGTTCCAGATATTTTTTTTCCTGCTTTGTGTGTCTGTATTTTTTTATGCAAATCAGTGTGTCGAACCGAAAAAAATACGGGTTCGGTTACGGTTCAGGTTCAGGTAAATTTATTTTGTTCCGGTTCAGTTCCGGTTTGACTAATTCAATCCGCGAACCGGTTTGCGAACCGGTTCGGTTCGCGAACCGGTTCGGAAATTATAAATGACAAATTGCAACATCAAAATAAATTACAAATAAAACATCTGAAATCAGCACATACGAAACGGGATACATCGTAGTGTAAGGCTCAGGGATTTCTACCAGGAATGGTTTCTTTATGTGCGCTCAAAGGTTACCTCAGCAACGTTTACGCATTCGGACTTCATCTAATTGGGTCCGACGCAGTAGCTGTGAAATTCGCGACCTCCTTACAAACCCACTTACAAGTAGAACTCGCTAAGTATCCCGCCACCTCAGCGTGTAAGCAATTGAAGGAACAGTGGGGAGAAAATACAGCTTTCATTATTTGAACTAGCCTTCGGTAACTCAAATTAGACCCTTAAAGAAGTTTTCATTAAACAAGATACGGAATATGAAAAACACTTCACCGAACGCAACGCCAGAAGGACGTAGTAGGATAAATATTAAAATAGAAGAGTTCGCTGTCTCACAAATATGTTAGCTTCTAAGTGCCTATACGAAACCGGATGCATTATTATCAAACTCCACAGCCTTTTCTTTTCTTATTCCGATGGAAGCAAGCTTCAAGAACTCGCGCGTTCTAGAAACGTGTTATGAAATGAGCACACAGCAGCATTTAGGATTTACGAGATTGTAAAAAAATGAAATCCCGTGACGCGATTTTTTTTTTTTTTTTGCACAGCCTTCCATTTTTTTTCTTCCGTGCAAGCCGCGACCAGCGCAATACTGGTTCCTATGTCAAGATTTATGGATGCAGCGTTTGTCAAGATTCATGGATGCAGCGTTTATATTCCTAAGACTGAGTGGAGAAGAAAAATATGTAAGCGAGGTGTGTGTCAGTTGACGGCACTTAAAAACAAATGGCATTGATAGCACATTCATTGTCAACAGCGCGTGGCCGAACCGTTTTGACATGAGCCGGTAACCGTTATCTTTTTCCGGTTCAGTTCCGGTTCGGGTTCATCGCGATAACAATATAACGATTCGGGTTCAGTTCCGGAAAAAATACCGGTTTGGTTCCGGTTTTCGGTTCGGTTCGGTTCCGGTTCGACACCCTGATGCAAATGTTGTGCACTTGCTGCAAACTGTGGGGGGTGCTAAAGACCTCAGTCAGGCAGAAATGCGTTTTGTTTCTACCACCTACATAGCTTGGCCCGTGATAATAAAAAAAAAAAAAACTTCAATTCAATTTTTACGCAGAATTGCTGCGCTCTTGTGACGCTTCTCCTCGTGGTCCCTTCCTGTCTATTTCTTATTGCAGCAACGGGGAAAATGCGCATTCACACAGACTGAGGTCAGGAAAAATCTGGTGTGTCAACACTCATAAATTTGTGTTGACACGCGACGCGTGCTAAGTTACACAGTTAGTTGGAGGCGCCGGCGTTTGGCAGACAGCCAACTCTGCTGCCTTCGAAGTCCATCTAAGGGCACAGCTTCAAAGAATGCAAAATCTGGATTTGCCTTCGTTGGCATGAAATTCTGCAATTAAAAAATGTGAGGGCATTATTTTTTTATTCATTAATTCGAAGGAATCTGCAGCTCACACATATGGGCCATAGCAGGTATTTGAACGCAAAAACATTGCCGTAATATCCCGAGAGACTCCCCACCCCCAAAAGATAACCCGCCCTCTATTAAGGCGAAACCCTTATATGTATCATCGTTCAGTCGACCTTCAAAGTCCTTGAGCGAAAACACGTCGGTGACACGAAAAGTATGAAAACACGTCGGCAACACGAAAAGTTCCAATGAAACGGCGCCAAAAGTGCGTCATCAGAGAGCGCGCTGTCTTCGGAGGTTTGCTATCACATTTACATCGGCGCTGGGGCTTTTGCCTTCAAATCGTCTTAAAAATAACATAAGAGGACCTGTATTTTTGTTTTGATTTGCTATATTTTTTTAAACACCGAAAGATAGTCCACTCTTAGTAATCATAGTGTTTGAATCAGTGATGGCTTTGACGTAAAGGCGGCTAGTTGATTATAGCGGGATATACTAAGCAAACATTTCTGACAAGGAAGTACCACTCATCTTTGCTTCATTGCCGCTTGCCGGAGTCACAAGTTTGACAGAGCAACCTAAAATTTGCATTTTCTTTTTTTTTTTTTTTAATTCTTTACATTCGAACAGCGAGAGTTAGTTCACTCCTTATTTTCACCCGATTCGCTTTTGGTTTTAGGTGGCCTCCCGGAATATTACAGCGTTCGCGATTGCCCCGTGGCAATCGCAAACGCTATCTCACGACAGACATAATCGCATCTACAAAGGCATCAAGTGACGGAAGGGTCACAATTTCATTTGGCAGGGTGTTAGATTTGTTAACAGCTTGAGGGGAAAAAGAAAAGAATACCTTGAACATTGGGCTCAAGCTTGAATTGTTTTAATGCCACGGTACGACTTAATCGCGGCATTATCCCAGCTTACTTTGCACGACCGTGCAGGCGACATGAATGTGCAGTGCATTGCTCTCTTCTTTCTTTTATCGTGTTTTACGATCAACTTTGAGCCAAGTTATCCCCACCAGCAGAGGCATAGGCACATAGACAGGACAAACTGAGGGGAACGTATGGCACCTAAGGTGCTTTCCTATGCTGCTGAGAAAAGTGAATTGGAGAGGCTGGTTCTCACAATCGTGCTCGACTGTGATCAGCTGCCTTACACTGGTTTGTGACCAGTTACGAGAGAATGGACTGGCACACCGGGGCTACCTGTCAGCTAGCCCTGGAAATGCTTGCCATCTGTGTATAACTAGACAGAAGGTTTTGCAGTATTTGTGAGATCATACCTAAACACTACAGCAGTCTTCAGTGCTTTCCACCTTTTTTCTATCCTCTTAGATTACCAACTACGGTAGTAGTACCCAGATTCTTTACTTTGTTGCGCTCCAGAGATTGGAAAGGGGAACTAACGTTGCATTCCATTTGCTGCAGGGCCAGCTAAAAGAGAAGAAGAAAAAGTGGAAGCTCTTCAGGCACTGGAGGACGAGATACTTCACCCTGTCAGGGGCACACCTTTCCTACAGAGGCCTGGTGAGTGAAGTCGGAGAAACAAGGGCTGCACTTCACCCAGCTCGAATTGCTCATTGCGGCATTTCATCGGTGCCGTCCAGAACACGAGCCCTTGTCGCGTGTTAGTCCAAACAAGAAGCAAAAGTTGCTGTCATTTCAGCTTATTCTAGACTGACTAAACAGTGGCATCCAATAGTGTGTTGCATCCAATAGTGAAAGATGCACATCCTTGTTGTGCATCTTTCAATTGGTAAACTAAAGTCTCGGCTTCCGTTGCCACAGTATCTATGGCATTTGCTGAAGCAAAAAGATCCCTCAAGTGTTACATTGGATTTTATTTTTTTAATCAAAGCAGGCAGTGATTTATGGGCACCACTGTATAAAGGCTTGCCTTTTGCTTCCATTGACACCATCCCTTTTTAACTGTGTGTCTTGTCAGCTTCAGATTTCAAAGTAGAGTGCTCATTCAGATGACCGCCGTCATGCACTGACTTATCACGTCAAGAGCCCCAAGGACTTTGAATTTGAATGTAAAATGTATAGAAAATGTGGAAGTATTTTTATTGCCGTAGTGTTCCCCCATATGACAAATAAGATTGGTTCGCAACCGAAACCGATGGGCAACTTGTCCATGGGCGAGAACAGGCTCAAAGTACTACTATCCTTTTTCTTGTTCCATTGCCATGTTTGTCATTGGAAATGTCCAAAGCTCCCGGTATCTAGTGTGCTGAGTTAACACGAGATCCTATAGTTTCTTGCAACTCAAGAAGGTTGGGCGAGGAAAAGGAAGGCTGGGGAGGAGGATGCAGACAGAACGCTAGAGAGGAGAGAGGGAAACCTCCTCTCTCCAGCGTTCTGTCTGCTTCCTCCTCCCGGGGCTTCCTTTCACTCGCCCTACCTTGTTGAGATGCAACGGACTATACTTGCAATATGATACACGAGGGCTGCAAGAAAGACCATAGCAAGCAGCTTTCTTTTAAAGTGCTCTATGTGTGGACTTCTGAAGTGGACACGCGAGAGTACCGCCCGCAGACCAGACTGTCGTTCGCTTTTGCAGAAGGACGACAAGGAGGCACAACCCATCGAAGTGAGTCAAATCAGGAGCGTGCGTCCCATCGGGAGTCGCGGCCGCAACATCCCCAAGGCATTCGAGATCTTCACGTCGGACAAGACCTTTGTGCTCAAGGCCAAGGACAGCAAGAACACCGAGCAGTGGGTGCAGTGCCTGTCCATAGCTCTTGCACGCTCGCATGCCAAGGAAGTGGTCCACTGAGCGTGACCCCGACTCCATGCGCACTGTCTGGTATTAGTTTCCAAGGCCTGGCACGTCATTCACTCAAGCCAGCATTGTCAGCGGGAACCTATTGCAGCTAGACCGAGCTTGGCTCGAAGATTGTATACTGCTACTAGTATTTATGAGCCGTTTATCGTCGTGGCAGTGTTTTCTTTCTCGTGTTCCATTGTAAAATACTTATCCCCGTGGTTTGAGCAGAGGAATCTTCAATCGGTGCCAGCTAAGTGAGCCATTATGTGCCTAGTGGTTTGGCGTCAAGGCTTGCAAACTTTCAAGAAGTTGCGAGCGCTTTCGGTTGCATTTTTAATGTGGCTGTGCATTTGTTTCTGCCTGGAAAAATTCTGTCTTGACTTTTTCTGATGCACTCAACTGACACCTCAAGGTGGCCCGTGGCCCGTGGCCCATTCATGGCTCAACATCGACTGTGGCCATGCCTTTAGGACTGGATAGAAAACTAAAGCTTTGATGGTGGTGCGTAGATTTTTCTCGTCGTCTGCACGTCTCAAGCTTCCCAGTGAACCTACCTCAATGGCGCACTGATTTGACCGCATGACTAGAGTCTCAGTGCCTAAGCAAAAACATGTAGGTCGAGAATATGCTCAAGGTGTAAGTCTGATTTGTAATTGGTCATGCCCGATTTATCGGTTTTGTGGACGAAGCATGGTACATGCGAGTTTTCACATCGCAGTGGCAGATCTAAGTGGTTGGCTCTGAGATCATACCGATGGCATTTGTGGTTCCTATGTAAAAATTTCAGGTGCCTGATGACAAACCTGTTATACGTTTCACTTAACTGTTGGTGGGACCTGCTCAGGTTCCTGGGTTGCCCAGAGTGCAACTTTTACATGCAATTTGCTATGACGTAATAGTTTTTAGCTCAATCTATTGTGCCTAATGCAAGACAGCTTTCACTTGTTTTGCTTTTTTCTAACTGCTGTATTTATAAAAGTGTGTGCCTTTAATTCTATGCATTGTACGCTAAATGTACCTTTATTCCTAGGTTTAATTTCTAGGCCCAATTGTGTGTATGTCTAGGTATGAAAACGGCATTGTCTCAAAGGAAGGTAGCCTTAACATGGGGAACACGCTTTTAGGCTCCTGAGAGCATTTGTTGGACACATTTGACATGCTCAGTTTTAGCTGTCTGATAACAATGTACTCATTCTAATATCACCGATTAGATGGTCCACACCCAGAAATTGCAGGCAAGCAATGTGTGTTTTGACAGTAGTGACTATTCTTTTGGCCTTTGACTTACAGTAACATGTTTGTGGCATGGTCTAGGGCAGCCGACATAGACATGAAGAAATGAAGAATTAAGAAGGCGATGCAACGATTTTTGTACTTTGCGCAAATATCGCTTAGAATGGATCCCCGACATTAATGACCTGTGAAACACGTTCGTTTTTCACCACACGCTATCGAAGTCGCAGAAGAAATAAAAGAAAAACGAGCAGCGTTCAACCTCCCAACTTGCAGCCAGAACAAGTGGCCACGTGATCTGGAGCCGATTATATGCCGCCAACGTTGATCATAGCGACGCGCTGGGGTTGGCAAAGCACAGAACACGGGCCGAGTTCCAGACGTTGTTATGGTTCGGCTCTTGTCGTCATTGCAGCGATTGGATACTGGCCACTACCTGGATGCTTCTCGAGCTATCGATTATGACGAGCCCAAATCGAGTGCCCACGCAATACTCGAGTCCTATCTACGAGCCGCATTCAAATATTGTCACTGGGCGGTACTGCGACCGCCCCCCTACATCATCAAGTTTTGCGAAGGAGACTCTGAATGAAAACACTCACTTTTGTCCTTGAAATTACGCCAGAACAAAGGAGTTTTTTGGCCAGTGGCGTTGCGTGCAAGTATCCTTGAGTCCAACTAGTGCCAGTAAGCTCATGTAAAGTGTAAAACATTCCAATTGAATATTGTTGCACCGCCCCTTCAAGTTGCAGCATTTTTCCTGAGCTTGTTTTGGGGAGGGGTCAAGCACTAAAAGTTTGACAACACTCCTTTTCCATTCTGTTTGCTTTCTATGGGGGCTGGGCTATCCGAGATATTATGACAATTTTTGAAGTATGCCCAAGCAGCGCAAACACTCCTGCATAACTTCAGCCATAAGTGCACTTGCCCATTGGAATGCTCTGAAATACATATGCCAAGCTTAAAGGCAACTCCGCTTAATTCTAAAAATTTAAGAATGAGTGTTTAACATTTAAAAACACTAATATAAAGCACTACATCATTTGTTTCACGAAAAATAGGACAGATATTGTTAAATCTTACTTTAAACATAAGCAGAAATCGAAACTGAAACTTCGGCTCCATCTGGCAACATTAGCCTTGGGCTGCCAAAAACGTGACTATCACATAGTACGAGATGTCACGTGATCCTCTACGCAACGACGGGCGAGATTAGGGCGGGTTGGCAGGCCACCGTTGGGACTGTTGTGTGCCAGGTGCAAGTGTCATCTGCACCGCAGTCTTCACTGCAGTATTCACCATGTTTTGGTGTTTACGACATTCGACGACGTCTGCACAACTGCGGCATCAGTCTGCTCGCGTAGTGTGAACGAAACTCCAAGAGACAATAATCCCAAATGGTGAGATGACGATGGCAGTTCTGACTGAAGAGACAGCGGACTGCTGGACGACAATGGCAGTTCTGACGTGGAAGACGGCAGATGGCTGGACAGCTCCTAAGCGCGCTGCACAGGCGCATTACGCTGATCACGTGGACACTGCTGAGCACCGAGAGGAAATGTCGCCCAATACGCTTGCCCGAATAAGTAAAAAACAAAAAGGGGCAATGGTGATGACGTTTAGCTCAATGTTGGCTATGCCAACGCCATAGCCTTGACTGCGCTGTTGGTTGCGCCTCAATTCGCCCACTAGAGTCGGCCGATTGTGGTAACTTTGGCGCGTTGCAAGGTTTGCCAGACCGTTTCAAAACATTTAGAACTAGGTCGTAATATTTGGCGTGTGGTCTTCCTAGGTGATACTAAAGAGGACTACATTGTTTTGCAAAAACAAAAATGAAGCGGAGTTGTCTTTTCGACAATTATCCAGTTAGAACCATCTAAAAATGAGTTTGTGTCATGCTGCCTTTCTTTTGCCATCGGTTGAGACATCTAGAGGATGTGTGTGTATGTGTGTGTCAGATATTGATTTATTGCTTTCCTGGTCAGGGTAAATTCTACCAAAACTGGCAGGTGTACATAAAGGTATTTATTGAAGGCAGTATTCCTCACTGTACAAAGATAAAACAAGTGCTACTCTCGCAACAGAAAAATAATATGAATGTTGACTTTGGGGGTGGCTGGGGCGGTCTCGGCGTCTGTTGTGTTTGTTGCTGGTCTTTCAAACTGGCATTTCGATGTGAATGGTGTCCATCGTGGGTAAATCAAAACTACTTACTATGCATGCATCTGCTGCTTCCCAGCAAAGTGCTTTTGCATCGCCTGTCATATGTGTCGAGGCATTCTATGATCTGTTAGAAAATAAAGTCTACTTCCTTTGTGGAAACTTGCTGCCTTTAACTCGTGGTTCTCGAAGACCTTCAGACACGCAGAAGGCGCGACAGGTTGGAGCATTCTCCAGCGTGAAGGTCTGCTCCGGAAGCTCTCTTTTAGGGGCCAAACATTCCTCCGAGGTCGTGCTCTCGTGCCTGGAGGATGACAGCGTCAGGGACAACTTGTCCAAACTTGAAAGATCAGGGTCCTTAAAGAAAAACAGGGGGAGAGGGTGGGGGATCAAAGTGCATCATTAGAAAACAGCTTAGTGCTTGTGCAATATCACAGTTTTAAAGAGGAACCCACGCCGCTGAAACGGTGGTGCGTTGTTCAGCGTTCAGAAACCATGAAGTTTTTAATGCGTTGCATTAGAACGCTCGTTTTTATGAAAACCTGGCAGTGTCTGTCAGTTTGTCAGTGCTGGAGAGAGAAGGAGAGGGTGACGCGTGCGATGTTCTCATTGGTTCAATGTGCTGACGTCGACATACGTCGCCTTTTCCCTCTCCTCCCGGCACTGACATACACCGCTGGGTATCCGTCAAAGAAGCGTCGCACAACCGGCGTGGAGCCAGAGGAGGAGGTACCACGGTGGAATGCAGGCGTGCTCAGTTGCTGCTGGATGTTCTTTGCTCTGGATTTCTATAGTAGCGGTGCGTAGGCTGTGATATGTGTACAGTTAAAACGATAGATGCGGTTCCCTCCACGAGTAATATGGATGCGGTTCCCTCCAAAAGTGATATGGATGCGGTTCTTTCCATGAGTGGTATGGATGCGGTTCTTTCAGCGAGTAATATGTATGACCGTATCCAATGGCATCAACATACTCTGACAGGCAAGGTACAGAAAGGGGGTGAAAAAAAAATGAATGGAAGATACATTGGTGGATTCTTAGGGATTGGGTTAACATGACTCTTGGAAAATGCCACACACGTCCCCCTTTGGGAAACGCTAACACTGACCCCGTAACGAGGCCAAAAATAGGCAGGATAAAATAGAGGAAGCAAAAGAGAAAGCCAAAATAGAAAAGTGACAGGGTCAGCATTAGCATTTCCCAAAGGGGAACATGTGGCATTTCCCAAGAGTCGTGCTAACGCATTCCCTAAGGATCCACGAATGGATCTTCCTCCAGTTTTACTCTAGCCAGCCGCTTCAGCAGCATTTGAATATATGGGCAAGCAACGAGAGTAGTCCCTCTGTCAGATGACCACTTTTACTTCGAGAAGGTGATAAAAGACGGGCATTTCTAAGAAGGCCCGGCCTCCGGCACGGGCGGCGCGTGCACGTTCGAGGCTCGCGAAACGCCGCTCTATCAGGATTGTGCAATAAAAGCGCGCTTACCGCTTTGTCCTTTTTCACTTCTTTCTTAACGTTTTTTGGCAGCTGCCGCCTCTTGAAACCGACCCATTTTTGCTCTTCTTTCAGGAGTTCGGTCTTGTCGAATTCCAGAGGAGTAAGACCCTTGTACACCTTGTGTTCCTTTGGCACATTTACCGCAGCAGCTACCTGAAACGAGATCGGAAGAGGAAGATCGTCTGTTAGGATTCACAGTTAGTTTCGAGCGCAGTCCTGCCTTTGATTGCGTGCTTGCCTTTCTATGCAACGTCTCCAATTCATAGGCACCGAGTCGGCTTCGAACGTCATCCTCCGAGGGCTCTGTGGGTACAGACCGCCCTCCTTGCCTATTATCTTGCGATTCCTTTCTCGAACACTTTCTTATTAGGTAGGAACCTCGACATCGACCTTGTAAACTAGTTGTTTTCGAGAAGTTTGCGTTTGTTGACGCTTTCTGCGGTTTGTCCATCGCGCTGACTCAGCCACTCAGCTGGCTGTTCGTGCATTGACGATCGGGCTGGGAAATGATTTCAAACTGTGATGATTTCTGCCTTTCGCGGGCCGGATGATCTCTACGCGGGCCGGTCGGGTCTAGAGCACTATATAGCTCCTACGGAGCAGAGTAGCGCAATCCTTTGAACCCCGTGTTTTGCCGACAACATGGCCGACAGAGCGGCTCGGCGCGAGTCACGTGGTACTCAGGGTTCCAGGAGGCGGCCTGCCCTATGGGAGAATACATGGAGATCGACACAACACGGCTGATTAAAAAATGAACGGTGAGTTCACACTTTTCAAAACTAGTCTGTCGTGAAGTTAGTAAAGCACTAAACCATTTATCGAAGTTTTAATAATATCGGATGCATGTGCAAATTTTGAGAAGGCAATTTCCAAGGCAATGGCGTTTGAAGCAGACGATTTTTGCTCGCAGCGGAGATGGGCTTTTCGGGTTGGCCGGAGCGGGTCACGTGAATGGTGTGACGTCGCCGTGTCGTCTGCTGCATGATGCCGCTCAGGCAATTTTTTAAAAAAAGTTACGTCCTTGCGGGGCACAAAACTTAGCGCAAATTATTCTAAAATGTTCCATTATTATGTCAAAAACAATTTCCATTCCGTACAACCCCACAATACTGAAGAAACAACGATTTTCTCACGTTCTCCATGCATTTCTGACCACAGTTGGAACCTCCGGGCGTTCGCCGCTAGTCGCCGAGAGGCGGCGTTCTAGATTGCGCTACTCTGCTCCGAAGGAGCTATATAGTGCTCTAGTCGGGTCGGTGCTCGGTCGGCTTGTTCGACTCGAAAAACAATTGAAATTCATAAACTTATTGCAGTTTTATTATTTATTCATTATTTCAGTTAAAACCTAAATATACGTGGAAGTAAATTGTCAATTAATTAGGTTTGTAGATTTGGTATTCGGCTTCTGATTTTGACTTCGTCGTTGTCGCCGTTTAAAGCCGCCAAACCATTTTCGTTTTCGTCGTCTCAAGAACATGGCGCCGTGCATGAGCTTCGAACGCGCGATTTTGTAGCTGAGCGTTGCAACTCGTCGACTATTGGGAAGTTAGCGATATTAGACGTGCCCCACTGCCACAACAGCATGGCGCCGCCACGCAACAACGTGAGACGAAGCCACCATCCGAAGAAGGGTCTCTTCTTTTCGAAACATCTGCGAGCGACTTACACCAATATCATGAACGACCTCCGCAACTTCAGCCCCCAGAAGTTCATCAACGACCCAAACGTTCTCTACTTGGCAATTCCTTTCCTTCTCATCATGGAGTTCGTGCTCAACATTGTAGTCATTGACAAAGTGCCTTGTAAGCAAACGGCTTGTTCTATTTTTCTTTTATTTTTTTTTCTTTTGCCGTGCCAGCTAATCTGATCGACTGATTTGGCATTTGAATGTCGCCGGTAGATCTCTTTATGATCGGTGTGTCCGCGGTAGTACTGATTTTTTTTCCGAAGAACAGTGAATAAATTTAGCATTCGCACTTAACGCTAGCCGAGTTAGATATCGGATACGAAATAATGCTGCCAATACGTAGACGCAAATTGAACTTTGTCGACGTTGCTAGTCGTTCTCTGGTTCATACCTAAAAGCAGATCAGCCAAAGATCGCGCAAGGAAGGTCTGATCCGTCGAGTGTATTTTTTCCCTCTTTTCAGACACAGAGATTGACTGGAAAGCCTACATGCAAGAAGTCGAAGGCGTACTTAATGGAACATTCAATTATGCGGAGCTGAAAGGCGACACTGGGCCCCTCGTGTAAGCCTGTGGGAGATTCTGGACTTCAGTTTTTGCAACTTGCCAAGATTGTGTACTAGTCTCACTAACTGACATTTTCCTTTTTTCTTTCCGTCTTTTTTTAATGGGTGACATTTTAGGTATCCAGCAGGGTTTGTGTACATCTTTGCTGCTCTCTACTATGTGACAGGCCAAGGAGTCAACATTAAGCTGGCCCAGTACATCTTTTCTGGCCTCTACCTGTTCACCCTGTGCCTTGTGTTCAGCCTCTACAACAAGACACGAAAGGTGAACTTACACTAAAGCATTATATCCTGCACATCTTTTGCTGGAACTGTTTGTGTCGTAGCAGGTTCAAGCGCTAACTCACATAGGCGCCTTTGACGCTGTATTACTTCCTCCCTTTTTCATCAGGACTCAAAAACATGAACGTTCAGCAAGCCATGTTTCTTTGGTGTGGCTCTTGTCTGCATCTGTTTATTTTTTCTACTAAGTGTGGAGATATTTGATCATGGTAATTTTAAGCTCTGTTTCCCAATGCAATACTTTTTTTCTGGTATTAGTCTAAACCCTTTAAAAGTTTTTCTGTATATCTCAAGCTATTTTGCAGAACCTTTCCCAGCGTAGGCTCTACAATTATTTTATTTATTTTTAAATACTGCTAACCTCCTTTTGAAGGTAGTGGCAGGAGGGGTCGGTACATTTTACTGCACAAGAACTTATGCAAGAAAATAATTAAATGTAATGAATACACAGTAATAATATAGAAATGCAACAAACAGTAAAACAGAACAAAACAGTCAACTGTTCACGGTCAGCCTTACAATTTTTTTAAATATAATTCAACTGATGACGAGTTCACCTGTACTTAAGAAAGGCTGTTGCACTCTTTGATTGTTCACAGAAAAAAAGTAAATTTAACAGTCAGTATGACAAAGATACAGAACCAGCGCCCTATTGTGCAAGCTTCACGTAGCTCGAACCAGTCGTGGCGTTAAATATCTTGAAGCATCAATGTAAAAATCGTCATTCAGTAGTGTATATAAAAACTTTAGCCTCACTGTACAGCACCTCGAGGATAGGAACTCTAGTTCGATGGAAATAAAGTCGTCGTCGTCGTCGTCCTCCTCCTCCTCCTCCTCCTCCTCCTCCTCCTCCTCCTCCTCCTCCTCCTCCTCCTCCTCCTCCTCCTCCTCCTCCTCCTCCTCCTCCTCATCATCATCATCATCATCATCATCATCATCATCATCATCATCATCATCATCATCATCATCATCATCATCATCATCATCATCATCATTATTATTATTATTGTTAGGCTTTCTCGTACAGTGACATCACAGATTTGTTTCATTTGTATTTATTGTAAATGAATTGCAATGTATATCTCTGTACTCTTTCTAACTTGTCAATATTTACAGTCATATGAGGGTCCCATACAGGTCGAATCAAGAAGTGATTTTTCTATCAAATTAAGCATGCTTCAGATTGCGTTTCAGATACCGAAGTTTACCGTGAGCTTTCCAAACAATAGAATCAATGTATACATTCTTCTTCAGCTCAGACGAAAAGTGCACTTCAAGATATTTGTATGTTGAAGCAATTTGTGGAGGATTGTTATTATAACATGGTACTGGAAACTAAGTGAGGAGTATTTCCTGGAAAAGGCCATCTGCACACAGTTTTCTATATTGAGGGGCAATTGCCAAGTTGTACATCACTCAGACAACCTTTCTAGTGAAAGTTTAAGTAACTCTTGATCCTTGATATACTTGACTTTGCTGAATAAAATACAGTCATCAGCATAAAATTTCATATCTACACCAATGATATTCTGAACATCATTGATAAACATAACAATTAACAGCAGTCCCAAGACAGAGCCCTGGGGACACCCGACAAAACATCAGCTGAAACGCACTGCCCAGTGAAACAAAGAAATGACAAGCAGACTAAGTAACCTCCAAGCCAAGACATTATGTTTAGATTATTTAACATATGTGCAAGCTTTAACAATAGCTTGGGTTGAGAAATGCGATCGAATGCTTTTGAGTAATCTATGAATATAATGTTGACTTGTCCTTTTAGTCCAGAACTTTAGCAATGTCTTGCATCGTTTCAATCAGTTGGGTAGTTGTGGAAAGCCCACGCCAAACCCCATGTTGGTCGCGACAGAAGAAATGATTGGTTTCAAGGAAAACAGATGTGTGCTGGAATATGGTGTGCTCCAGAATCTTAGCACATGACGATAGTAAAGATATGGGCTTATAGTTGTTGCGTTATGTCTCCTCAACTACTGTTTCATTTCTTACTTTCTGCTATTTTGTTAGAAACTCCTCCTCTACTTCCACTGCTTGTGTTGTCATACTTTGATTGCAATCAGCTTTTCCCGGTATAACTCGGTGGTGGCACCTCGGTTGCTGTTGACAGACGTAAACTCTAGTCCAGTGTTGGGTTTATGTTTAAAAAGTACTTGAAGTGCAGTTTTAATAAAATGAGAGGTTATGTACTTAAAGTAAAGCACCACGGCTGCTCGATCTGAAACGAGTACGGCCCACCAGATGTGCCGCAGAAGGCAAGATGTGCTTAATACCCTGGCCGACCACCATGGCGCTACCGGTCGTACCGTTCCATGGCAGCTAAATAATGTCAGCTGCCAGGGTAGTTGTGCTCCCAGCGGTCCATCATTGGTGCTGGCTGGTTTGTTCCGTGACATCTCATATAATCTTTTAACATAGAACATATGCTTTTGAGGGATTTTTCTTCTCTTCCATATTTCAATAACATCCGCAACGTCTTTCTTCTCCTTCTCTTTTGGGAGTATTAAACGTCAGTTATCACTTGGGGCTCTTTCCTGTCTCCCTCATATTTCCTTCCTCGTCGTCTTGCACTTCAATATCTCAACATTATCTCTCCGCTGCTGCTGCTTAGCAGCGCGTGTCCCCGGAATTGCCCGGAGTGTACACTACTAGCGCTAACGCAACCAGTAGTATGAACTGATCAATCTAGCCTTTGCCTATGTACAACAGCGCGAGGTGACTGGCCATACCTTGTTTTTGATCAAGTGGCCATAGAAGTACTGTGAAAGATTCTTGCTTTTTATTTATGCATTGTTTTAGGGTGTGAATTATAGTTATTTTTGGAAATGGCAGCAAATATTGGATAAAGTCAATGTGTCCACAGAGTAGTTGCTTTACTCTCGCTGACAAATTGTTTAACAGAATCGATGTACAAGGTACTTATTTGTGTCAGTCTTATGGCCACCATCACTTTACTCAAAGAAATTACCAGATGACGTCTCGAAAGATGATAGCACGTTTTCATGGAGAGGGCATGACAACAGCCCCGTAGCTTCCACATGCGGTCCACTCCTAACAATTTTAACCTCCTTGCTTGCACTGACTTACCGACAGGTAGCAAGAGGTCAGAATGCTGCAAGAAAGCCGTCCCCAGTACAAACAGGGTGATGCGTCGTCTGCTCACGTTTCATGCGAGAGTAAAATATACCTCCCAGTGTCTCTTCAGAGTTAACAAAGCATAATTTTTTACACAAAGTTATCAAGATCAAATATGGAGTAAGCACTTTGAAGTGGGGAGCTGCACTTTTCTTGGAAAGCACCAGAGAAAAATACTTTAAGTAGTGTACAAGTACATACTACTTGGAGAATGTACTTCAAGTAAAGTGCAGGTTTTCTAAACCTACCTGAAGTATGTAGTACTTTATGTATAATCTACTTGAAGTACTTCTAAACACTGCTATAGTCTCACCTTGTTAATTAGTAACCCTTCTGGAGCCTCTTATAACTGAGGTTTCACTGTATTAGACAGTCTCAGATTCTTTCTGATGTACACTGCCCGATACAGCTAGCTTGAGCACAACATCGGCGTTTTTTTCACCATTTGCTCTGACAAGGTATTAGCATGCACCGAATCCTACTTTTTAGGGTAGATGCCAAAATGAACACCTTCCTCTACACTATGGTCCTTGACAGGATAAGATCAACAGGGAGGCTTTTCAGTTGTTCTGCCTCTAGCGTGAGCTTCCTACCTTGATCAGACTTCAGCATCTCGTGAGCCTCAGGCGTGCATGCGCAGCCAAAACACGACTGCTGGCGCGTGCTGTAGGCTGGTCATCTGAAAGACATGCCCTGCCATTCTCAGCCAGTTGTTTTTATTTCCTCTTATTTCTACAGAAAGACAGGGAAAAAAAAACTGGCAGTCACTTGTTTGTTTTAGCTGCGTTGCAATGCTTGTTCTTTCTTCATGTATTTTACGCAACGAGGTGTGCTGCCACCTGTGATCCGACATGGTCATGATGTCAAAGTTGTTGCTGCCGTCAGCCTCATTGCGCTCGTCTCGTGGCAGGTTCCGCCTTACGTGCTGGTGCTCATGTGCTGTACCTCGTACCGCATCCACTCCATTTACGTGCTGCGCCTGTTCAACGACCCTGTTGCCATGGCCCTGCTCTACGCAGCCCTGGTGTTCTTCGTCCGGTGCCGGTGGCTGGTGGGCTGCGTCCTCTACAGGTGTGCGCAGAACAAACAAAATATGTTATAGGGCTGGGTTTCTTAAGAAAGGCGACATGACACACAGGTCAAGGTCATATAAGCGACATGACTCCATAGGGACCGTATTGTTTACATGACCTTGATGTCAGGGTGTCAGGTGATGTCACACTGTCATGTGACACCATAACGTCATGGGACATTGTAACGTGACGTCACACACAGACGCAGCATGTGCCCAGCTCATTCGCAAAGATTATGTGCATCTCGAAGTTTATCGTATGTGATCGAGACATGCTTAAATTTATGTTGTGTCTCATTGAGACCACACTATCCGTACAGCTCCAAATAGTAGGTGGCCGAGTGCGCCAGTAGCCCGCCGCAGCTCGGAGCACATGGGGCGAAAGCTCACGCTGCAGGACCCAGGGATAATGTGGGTTCAATTCACACCCCTGCCCATTTAGATCTGGAGGAGCATCGTACCGGCGTGCGGTCATGCATGACTCCTGCATGACGCACATTAAACACCCCAGGCCAGCAGTGGTACTGCACTGGCTAAATTTCTCACCTACAGCGTAGATCAGTGTCGCCGCACCTCAAAGGTGGACCGACCTTATGCCGTATAAACACGAACATCAAACTTGTTTTTTTTGTTTAGCTCCGAGTAACCTCTGGGTTGTCTTCATGCAACCGTAGAGGATTCACTCGCATGTCAGGAAGATACTGTTACAGGTTTGTCTAATGTCAGTTCATTATGCCAAATGGAGAAATGTGCCTGACCTCCATATGTTTGTGGCCATCCTGCATGCCTTCCACTTTTGCTGAGTTTTATGTTTCTTTTTAAATGGATAGCTTTAAAGAGCTTGTGTCGCAGGAAAACCGGTGTCGATGTTGTGACGGGAAAGTCCTGATTGGTAGATAGGGTCATGACATCATAGCCACAGGACGTCGTGCGGGAATTTCAAACAATCCACAACGCTCACGTGAAACGTGACGTCACGCGTGGAGTGAATGTGATTAAAACATGACATGTAATGTTAATTAAAGGTTGCCGCATCTGTCTCAAATGAGTCCACTTCATAAAGTAATTCATTTGCTTTAAAGAAAATATTCTAAGAATTTTAAACGGAGGCGAGATTCAATCCCACAACCCTACGGTTGCGAGTCAGACACGCTACCGAGTAGGCCATGCGGACATGCTTGTACGGCTTGAGAACGAGCAGGCATTTTAAAGGGTAACTCCGGTCAGTATTTTACAGTGAAGCTGTATATCACCCGTTGGTCTGATTTTTTCGTGTTCGTGGACAGAACAGTAGTAAAAAAAAAAAACATTGTGTGCACCTTATCATCCTTCGTGCGTGCCTTATCATCTGTCATGTGGTTTTGAGACTTGTTTTAAAAAGAAATGGTGAGCCACTCCACTCTGTCAAGGTGGATGACCAGCGAAGTTGTTTAGCACACGACACAGACATGACACAGCATTGTGAACAAAGGTAGAAACACATATATTGTCTTGATCGGCGGTCCTTGTGACAAACGTTACGCACACACATGCATGTCGAGGACTATCACCGCTCCAAAGAGCTGGAGGAAACTAGACACTCGTGATGGGGAAATTGACGTCACGTGACACGACTTCGTGACGTGACATCATTTCTGTTGCCGCATACGAAAAATCCACAGGACCCTAGCCATAAACAGCTTCACTGTAATAAGAAAACCACGAAACAAGTGTCAAAACCGCACGATAGATAAGGCACGCACGAACAACACGAAGCACGTTGCACTCCCCGCGTGCCTTTGTCGGTAAAGATTGCGGTTGCATAAGCTGCCGCGGCAATGGCAGAGTACGAAGCGGGGAGTGACGTCACTAGGCCCTGCTAAAGTAGATGAAGCATGTAGTGCTCCCCGTATGCGTTTCTCGGTAAATATTTGTGTTGCATAGGCTGCTGTGGCAATGGCAGCATACGAAGTCTTTCATACATAAAAAAGTTTTGGTACAGTGCATTTACTTTCCTTTCGTATGGACCCTTTTGCTGTTTAGAAACATGAACTGCTGCTTGCGTCCCAAGCAACTTCCAGTCGCACTGTCTTTGCAAGCCTGGTAAGCTTGCTTATGTCACCAGTGCTAGAAAGCTTAAATGGTACACATAGAACAAAGTTGGAGGTTTAACGAGGGCCTTCAGCTGTACAGTATTACATCTTGGAGTAGGCAAGTTGGTTTACAAGAATACTTAAAGCATTTTAACAGATCTCGCACTCCTCCATTCTTTTGGCATTCACCTGGAGAATTGGTGGCAAAATGTTTCATCTACATTTCAAGCAGCGGTGTGAAGGTGGCCTTGGTTCATTCTTTTTATAAACCGGAAGTTCTTTGGGACATTAAAGACTGGAGCACCACCTGATGGCGTTTGCCATAAAAAGGGTCAATAGTGCAGTGGGAAATCATTGCAGGTGATAGCAGAGCTTCGCTGCCCAACCACCTTCGCAGCATGAGTGGGAGCCCCGACTTTGTTTTTTAATTTGATAATATGACTGTTTTTAAGTAAAGCAAAGTCCCTGAATTACAACCTTTTTTTTCTTCTTCGATATTGAGTGTAGTTTCATAAATATCATGGCTCAGAGTTTGGTTTCGGGTGTCTACAGCAAAATGGAAACTATCTGCTAGAGGAATGGCAACAATGATCATCAACCGTTCGGCCGCTACGTGATGGTGCTGCGGTATGTGGTATAACCAATCAGCCGTAGCTCCACCGCGACGTGACATCAGGAGGGTGCTGCACCAACGTTCCTTGATTAAAAGCTAACCCGCTTGTTGACCGCTCAAGAGCAGGTGGTCGCATCTTTAAAATTGATTTTAGTGGAGTATGCGGCATCACTTTGACATATTCCTCTGTAGTCATATTTCGTAGCACTAAAGCGATACCAGTCATTTGTTTTCGATTTGTTTTCGACCAGAGTTGCCCTTTAAGCGTCCTCCTGTAATTTTTGTCTCTATAACCAGCTTGGCTGTATCAGTCAAGATGAACATCCTGCTGTTTGCCCCGGCCCTCTTTGTTGCGTTGCTGTCCACGCAAGGTCTCTTCAAGACCTTTCTGCTCATCGCAACCTGTGGGCTCATACAGGTGAGCATAGCCACCAATGTCTTAGACTAAGTTTACATGAGGCTGTATCGTGTGTGTGTGTGTGTGTGTTGGGGGGGGGGGGGGTGGAGGGGGGTCAGCAAGGTATATTTTTTACGGTAAGGAAAATTTGCAAGATTGGCACTGTGACAAAAGTACAAGCACTCTGTTGCAATAAAGTGGTTTTAGTGACGGTTTCACTAGGGCACTGCAAAGAGCAAAGAGTTTCAGGAGTAGTAGTGCTGGTTACTCAAGCTCTGGACATAATCAGGTGTCATTCATAAACTGTTGCTGGCTCATGATGATTCTATGCTTGTCAAGTTTTGGATCTTCTCAAGAACACATAAACATTCTGTAAGCTGTTCTCAGCATTTATGGAAACTATAAAAAGGGGTCCAGTACATCTAGGGCAAAAACGACAATGGGAGGTTTGATGTAAAATTCTAGGTTTGTCAAAAGCTTAAATAAGCGAGATGTTTCCTCAGTTGGTCATGCAGCGCTTACGAAAATGGTATCAAACATGCACACAGTGTTTTCAGCCTCATGAATCGTGAAGGAATGATCTTAATCGATGTGGCAATGTTGGCAAGTTGGTTCAAAATCACTAAAAGGGGGTAAACAGCACACAAAGAACAAAGACAGAAAATAAGGAACTAAATGGGGACAATCAGTGATTCAGCACTTATCCTGTTTAGTTCCTTGTTTAGTCCTCATTCTTTGCTCACTGTTTACTCTTTTTGGCGGGAATTATCTCACCAGCACCACTTTCTTGTTAGAAGAGCAGCTTAAATCTGTGCAGCCACCAGAGTGTAGAAGGGTGCAATCTCAGAAAAGCAAAGTGCAGACGAGTTCCCACCCTCTCGACCATCCCAGGTGGGGCTGGGCCTCCCCTTCCTACTGAGCCACCCGGTTTCGTACCTGAAGGGAGCTTTTGACCTGGGCCGCATCTTCCTCTTTGAGTGGACGGTCAACTGGCGCTTCCTGCCGGAGGAGGTCTTTGTGGACCGCCGGTTCCACCTAGCACTCCTGGCCCTGCACCTAGTCGCCATTGCCTGCTTCCTGCCCAAGTGGATCAAGTGAGCTACCACCCAAATCCTGAACAAGGACGGCCCACCTGATTTCAATTTACTTGTTTTTCTTCTTACTTATTTACTTACTTACTCTCAAGGCCCAGAGGCATTACAGAGAGGAATGGTTGTAACATATGAAATCATTGGCGTGTTTCTTGAATTAGATGGCTTCAGAGATAGTAGCGACAGAGAGAGGGAGGTGGTTGCAGTCGTTAGATGTTCTCTTGATAAAGGAGTTCAAATACAGTAATCCCTCGTCATAACAAAATCGCTTTTTCAAATTATTGCTTTTATAGAAGTTCGACGGGGTCCCAATAGAAAAAGCACGCATTTTTTTACCGGGTTATTTGAAGTGTATCGACAGGCGACCACGCTTATTACGAAGGCAGCGGTGCCGAAAGCATGCAAGTCCACACGTTGGCGCACGGAGACCCTTGTGTTCCCTCCCCTTTCTCCATCGAGGCAAACGGCAAACTGAGAAAACGTCAAACAAGAAAACGGAATAAACGGGTGACAGAGGGCAGAGCGCGCAGAGCGGGGATGTGAGCAGGGAGCAGCGTTGGTAGCAGTGGCGCAGCGAGAGCAGTGTCTAAATTACGACGCTACTCACGGCGCCCATGGCCGACGCTGCCCAACTCCTGTCGGAATCAAGTCAGGGGAGCGACGGAACCTGGAAGAGATCGTCCCTTCGGGAGCACTCAACGCGCGTCCATGCAGCACACTACGGTACTAACGGTACAACACGCACACTTGCATCATATGGGAGATTCGGAGTGTTTATTGAAAGTCGCTAGATCTGCGAGGTTGAGAAAAGTGGCTGGCCAGAGTTCAAAAGCGCCAAAGAATTCGACATTCCGGGGCATCGGCTGTTTGATACTGTCCACCATTTTGCAGAAGAAGCAAGGTATTGGACGAGTTCGAGAAGTTTCTGGTGCAAGAAAATTACAATTCCTAGACCTTTTGTTATCTCTTCATACAAACCACATCTGCTGGAGTTTTTCATCTAGGTCAAAAAAGGGCATCCTTCATTATACGTCGGCACATTCGAAAGTTGTTAAAAGGGGGATTGCAATTTCCATACTTGGGACTGCAGTTATGAAGTCCTGCTTTCACACTGTTTGTGAAAGTTTTGATTCTCAAGCTGAGAGACTCCGTACGTCGGGCTTCCCATCACAGGTTTTAAACGAGGTGGTGGGGGCCTTGGTACATAATAGTAAAGGGATTCAGTGAAAGAAACCTAGAAATCAACAGAAATGAAAGGTACCCAGTGGCGTCACTAGGGTCAGCGGCATCCGGGCGGTGGCCCGTGGTAACACTACCCCCCCTGCTCGTCGCACGCCGCAACACCCCCACCCCCCTCTTGTGGCCCGTCGCATCACCCCCCCGGTGCGCTGCAGCTGGGGCGGTCAGCCCTCCCCCCGCACCCCCCTGGTGACGCCACTGGTTGTACCATACATGCACAAAAACTCACATAATTTAATTTTAAAAGAGCAGCTGAAAGGTACAATGCGCCTGTGGTGTTTTCAGCTCCCAAAAGAATGGCGCAAATTTGTTCTAAGGTTCGCTCGATAGCAGAAGACCTTAAAAAAGTCAAGTGCCAGAATTGCCATAGCCACCCTTATGTGTCGTGTTCAATCGGTGCTGTTTACAAAATCCCACAACGTGTGGTAGAAGCTATGTGGGCCAAACTGGACGGTGCCTGAATGATCGCCTTCTCGAGCACAATCATTCACTGAAATCTACGGTGGGCAGTCATCTTCCCGTACATTGCAATTCCTGCTCGTGTTCTCCGATTTTAAAGGCACAAAAATAATCGGACATTATCGAGACAAGATGACTCACAAAAGCTTAGAGGCGCATTGCACTAACAGCGTGGGCGACTGCTGCATTAGCCACCCATCAGTGACACTGCTTCAAACACAGAAACCTTGTTTTTAGATCGGACTATGGGGCAAAGACATTCTAGTTAAATGGTGTGGTGTCGTGTGTGACACGCACTGCATGCACTGCATGTCTTTCAGAACGTCTTCTTCTTCTTCTTCCTTTTGTGTATAAATTGAGTTGCAAGTCAGCGCTTGTGTGTTGTGCATGTTCCTTCTGTCTGTCCTTGTCTTTTCGTGCACTGTTCTGTTCAATATGTCTTCATACCAACTTGACCAACTTACAAGACCTCTGCAAACCTAGGACATTGAGATGATAGAACAGAATGATTGGCCCAGTAAAATTTTTGTTCTTTGTTTACCTGCACACAAACTCTGGTACGTCGGGAGCCGCAAAAAACGTGCCCTAGCATTCTGTCTGTATTGGTAGGCAACACCATAAATTTAAGGAATGACACACATTCTAAAATGCATGCACTGTATTTGTCTGGATGGAATGTCGTGAATTGAGGTTGGCAAAATGAAAGCGAAGCGGTGGCCTGTAGGTTCCCAAGATGTTTTGCGCAGCACTACACTGCAAGGATCGCTTCAACTTTGCAAGAGGCCCATTTATGGCATTTCTTTAAAGCACTTTTGCCAAATAACCGTAATTGAGATAAGTTTAAAAAAAATGTGACTTCCTTTCATTATGACATGACAACATTTGTTCTTCTAGATGTGACTTCTTATTATGATGTAGTGCATCACTAAATAGATGTATAGCTGTTTCTGTGGCTCTGAAAATAAAGTAAATGAATGAATGAATAAGTTACTGTTATAGTTAGTAGAACTTTGTGAACACAGCAACTATTTATAACTAGTTATAGTAACCTCCATTCTTGTAATAATTTATTTCTACAACTTCATGTGTGAGCTAGAGCTTGTATTTTTTTAAGGCAGGGGTGTAGCCAGGGCGAGGCTTATAAAGCTTCAGCCTCCCCCCCCCCCTTCCCAGCTAAAGAAGAATTCCCAGCTATGCCACTGTTTTCAAGTGCTTTAGCTGGGTGATTTCAGATAAGATCGACCAAAGAGTGGCTGGTCGACATTTTTAAATCAACTGATGTTTTTATATGACATTGTCTAGTGTCTGGTATAAACGAATCCACACTTAGTTTTGACCAGAAAAAAAATTTGGAGACAAGAAAAATCGTAAGGCAGGGAGAGGTGGACAGTTGCAATAACGCGCACTGATGGAGGGGGCAAGTTTGAAAGTGAATAATTAAAACAATAAAATTAGGAGAATTTTAAAACTTTTTACAAACAAACTATGGGTACAACTTGCTTGTAATATAAAGTAATAATATTTATTAAAAATTTATTTAGTTTTCTAAAAATTGCCAAACATGCCTGCTCGAACGACAAATGGCAAACTTTGGAAATCTGTATCTCATGAAATAATTTAATCATTATTACATAACTTGCAGACATTATTTTACTAATATATGGCTATTATTGAAAAAATAAATAAGGTATCTGAGTGACACAATAGTTACAATATATTTAGGCAAACATGGGAAAAAAATCAAACAAAGAAAAATTCCAATGCGAATAAAAAAAAAACACCACCTTCGATTTTTTTAAAATTTGGGTACCCTGTTATACTCTATTTCGGCACTCATTTCTATTAAAAACATGTTGCATCATTGCACTGTGAAAGAAGAAACAACTCCCCAAAGTAGGGTCCTTTTTCAAAGCCTACACTTAGCAGTGTCCTATACAAGAAGTGACTCTGAGTTCCAGTTTCATGAAACTTGCACAAATCTTTTATATACATTTATTCAGATGAGGTCATTGATAAAAAGAGCGATCGGTCGCACAGTAAAAGGGAGGAGAAACTATATACAGCATTTTACATAAGCGTACAAAGTAGTATCATATTAGAGACTAATGATTTGAGAAAAGATGATGCAGTGTGAAGTTGTACCTTCCGGTATATTTTACATCTAGAGTAAAATAAATAACTTTACTTCCACACACAAAAACAAAGATATAATAGTAAGATATTTAGGTTGGCTGTGTATTTACGATTACAAACAATTTCAGGTGACGGATGCCATAGTGCCTAACTGGAGCAGCTTCGATGCTCTCGGTGTATGAATGAATCGTGGCAAGCCGATATATTTTATCCTGCTCGAGGATAACATTTTGGGATTTTTTTTTATAGTGATCAGATAAAAATTATTAGTAACCACCAACAAAAACAGTAGGTTAAATACCCCGTGAAGAAAAATGTGATAAATAAGATGTCCCTGCATTCAAAATGAGCAGTCCTTGGGAAATCAAATTCGGCACTTTACGCTAAGGTTTTCCTCGCTGTACCCATTTAATAAAGTTGCTTCCAAGCAGATCCGACTGTCCGTGCTACATATACGTCACAGGTCCCTTCTGTTGATGACTTGCTGAGCCGCCACGCGTGCCAAGACTGAATGCCAGGGAAGGCGCGCACCGTCAGCCACTCTTCTTTTTTTTGTTCACGATACCGAACAACCTCCTTTTCGTCCAGATATACAAGATGCACGCCTTTCAGTTTCTTTGATAGAACGCTCACCATTGTCCTGGCCGTCTGAATTGCTCTTACTGAACGTTCTCTCAGGTTGTTCAGCGTGGCCTGGTGCTTCACGAGTCCGCCAACTCCGTCACATGCATTTTTCCCATGTCGAGGTGCAGAAAATAACCACTGGGCTTGTGGGCAATCGTCCTTTGCAAATTGGTGAAGCTGGTAGCGATTCTTGAAATGACTGGCGGCGCCGTCACTTACGTACGTCACGTACGAGTATACCGCAACGTTGTCTTCAACCCACTCCTTCGCTTTTTCTAGAGCCAAGCAAGCGTGAGCGGCGTCGTGACACAGGTCCTCACTGATGGTGGCAAAGCTGTTTGTAGATTTTCTTGTCGTCACTACACATGTAAATATCGAAACTTGTTTTTTTTCCAGTGATATGCTTGCACTTCGTCAGGAAGCACGATGGTCCAGTTTTCAGCAAAGTCAAAATGAAAGACAATGCTCCCGCGTTGCATGCACTGTTTTTCATCGTAGATCGCTTTACCTTGCGTTTGCCGGATATGGTTGTGAAGTACCCAACTTCCAACCGTCACTTGGATGACTTTTAGGAAAGTCTCAGGTTCCAAAGTTTTTTTCACAAGGTCGCCGGACTCCCATGTTGCAAGCACAATCTCTTCATCCTCCGGGATATCAAGTTCCTGGAGTGTAAGAAACTGGCCTTTTGGGCAGTGATCAAAGTCTCCTTGAAGGCACAGTTCTGTTGCTGGGTCGCACAGAAATGCCGAGTTCATTTCACCAGTGTTGAATGTTGAGCCTGTAACGTTCTCTAGAGTGGCAATACAAAGATACTAATTGGCGCAGCGCACACAAACGCACACCTCCTGGTGTGGAATACATTGGACCCATCTAGGGCGCAACGAATAAAATTTCGTTAGCCCAACGCCGGAATCGGGATGCTTGTCTTTGTATATACGGAAGGCCTCTCGTATTGAGCGTGTCATGAAGCGCTTTGGCACGAACGTTTTCTCTCCGTTGAGCATGACAGAGATGACGTCCTTCTGGTTGGGACTTTGGCGCGAACATTGTAGCTCGTCTTTCATGAAGTACTCGAGGGCAGCAGACAGGTTCTCAGGGCTCACCTTGCACCTCGTGTAAGGATCCGGCTCATACCACACGCCATGCTTTTCCTTGAGTTTTCGGGATTTACTGATGAGGTACATTGAGGCCTGTGGAATCATCTTTTGAACCTCATTCTTCGTCAGTGTTGACGGCAGGAGTGTAAGCAGTTGACAACGTTCCCGGAGAGAGGTGGCGGTTTCAAAGGCCTGCCGAAAGTTGTCCACCCACTCAGTGCATGTGGAGCATGTTGGTTCGGACGACCCCGATGGTACGTCCCTGTCGTACGCAATACGTAGCCTTGAGCGTATATTCTTGACAGCAACCTGCTCCAGTTCTGTCTGCTTTCTCTTGACATAGGCAGGCCTGTCCCGACTTCTTACGACGCTTGGTTGTCTCAGCGGTGACACATCTGTAGGTAGTATGCTGCGATTTAGATCTTCAATTGCTTCTTCAGCTGGCACAAATATGTCAGGGCACTGCTCTGAGCTTCGCATCGAGATCTCCTTAGTGATGTGCATGAAGCAATGGTAGCACAGGTAGTCCGTCGCACTCACTTTGGTGGAACAGTCAGGCGGAAGAATTTGCTTCAACGAGTTTAGGTCCAACTCGCCAACACTTCGAAAATTCCGCTGCTTTGGTATGGTCTTTTTGTGTTTGCAAAAGTAATCTGCACAAAACACTCGTTCGGAGCTCCAGGACGTCTTCATAATGTATACATAAATAATAGAAATTAAACCCCAACTGATGGCATATAATTGCCAAGTGAAAGAACTACTGGGTGCACAAGTGACAAGTCCGAGGCTGAGGAGCTCACTCACTGCAAACGTACATTTGAAAAGAGAGGTCACAACTGAGGCTGTCGGCAAAGCTTGATCCACGTCAAAGGAAGAAAGAGGGAAAGTCTCCAGACAAAAAATTGTGGTCAGCGGCCTTCGAAAAAGACTTTCCGGAATCGCACTGTCGTCCCTCCACGCGCTGATATGAAAGCACCCGAGCTTCTACCACGTGGTTCATGACACAGCCTGAGCCATGTCGGCGACCGGTTCGCGAGGGGTTGGCGGTGGGGTTACGTTGATGGTCACTCGGATTAGCCCTTGCTGTACTGAGCTACCTCCTGCAGTGCCTTATCGCCGGCTGGTGTCAACAACGAGAACACACACACCCTGTCTACACCAAAACTACAAGCGTTCACCGCACACGCGTCGCCGCCGCTTTTAAGCTTTTGTGAAATTGCTTTCTTTTGCCGCGGAGAACCGTCTTATCTTAACTACGCGCCTGAAATCCTTCCAGGCGGGCGTACACAATATCAAGCGTTTCGAGAAATGCCCGTGGAGTAGAACTATGGGAAAATTCGGAGCCCGCGATGTCGATATCGTCGCCGTTGTGTTAGTACGCCGTCGCGTACTGCAGTCCCCCGTTGGGGGAGGGGGGGGGGGGCGGTCTTACTACGATAACATGGCGACAGCGTTTACACTCTATGTATTTACGCGAGGCTCGAGTATTTGGGGATAATGCTGCCGGTTGGTGTGCCCCTTTGTGCCTGATATTATCGCCCGTGACGCCAGCGAGTGAGATAGCGACAGGCATGACTGCTCAGTAAACAGGCGTCGGCAGCCATGTTTTGCTGGTTGAAGCGAACCCCCTTGTCCTTGACAGCGAGCGGGGAAATGCGAAAAAAAGATTGTATCGGCCGTTTTGCCAGAACTAGCGACGAGTGTCGTCTGCGGTTTCCGGCAACTATTTTGCCATAATCGTGAGCTTAGCAAGGAAATGATTTTTGCTAGCCACAGAACACTACCACGCAGAAAGGGAATGCTTGAACATGTTTTTGTTCTGGATATATATCAGGGATATATATGAGAGAGAGAGAGAGAGAGATGAAGGTAGTGCGGAAGAGGGAATAGCATATAGTGTCGCAGGAGAATAAAGTAAACAAAGTTCCTAGTGGCCGATGGCTGCATGATCTTTTCTCGGATCACTAGTCCGTAATATGATACCTCTTTGTACACAGTAGTTTCTCCTTAATTTAAGTGTGTGAACGATTTCTTTAGTTATCATTGGCCTCATCTGAATAAAAATATATAAAAGATGTGTGTTGGTTTCATGAAACTGGAACTCAGAGTCAGTTCTTGTATAAAACACTGCTAAGAAAAGGTGTAGGCTTTGAAAAAGGACCCTACTTTGGGGAGTTGTATCTTCTTTCTCAATAAAATGATGCAACATGTTTTTAATGGAAATGAATGCCGAAATAGAGTATAACAGGTTACCTAAATTTAAAAAAAATCAAGGGTGGTGTTTTTTTTTCATTCGCATCGGAATTTTTCTTTGTTTGATTTTTTTTCCATGTTTGACTAAATATATCCTAACTATTGTATCACACAGATACCTTAGTTATTTTTTAAATATTAGCTTTATATTAGTAGAATAATATCTGCAAATTATATCATAATGATTAAATTATTTCATGAGATACAGACCTCCAAAGTTTGCCATTTGTCGTTCGAGCAGGCATGTTTGTCAATTTTTAGAAAACTAAATAAATTTTAAATAAATATGATTACTTTATATTACAAGCAAGCAATACCCATAGTTTGCGCCTAAAACGTATTAGAGTTCTCCTAATGTTATCGCTTTAGTTATTCACTCTCAAACGGGCCCCCTCCATCAGTGCGCGTTAATGCAACTGTCCACCACCTCATGCCTTACGATTTTTCCTGTACCCAAGTATTTTTTCTAGTCAAAACTAAATTTGGATTCGTTCATACCAGACACTAGACAATAACATATAAAAACATCAGTTGATTTGAAAATGTCGACTAGCCATCCTTTGGTCGATCTTATCTGAAATCACCCAGCTTTAAATAGCATGAAAGGATGTGTAATATTTTTGTTTTCAGTGGTACATTTCTTATCTGAAGCATTGGCTTTCAGGTACCTGAAGCTAACACCATGGAACACAAACAAGGGGAAAGTGCTGGTCATGTTTCCAGATCGTATCCTTTTGATGGCGTGTGTTGGAATACCACCTTTTGTTGTTCTTGTTAAACATTGTCTTTATTGGTATTCATTCATTTATTTTATTTTAAGATATGGTCTCAAAAATATACAAGCAATGTTTGGACCCATAGCCAAAGTCTAGTTTAGGGTGGCAATACCTTGAAGATTATATTGCCACACCGAAACATCTTAGGTGAGACAAATCTGCTACCAAAGTGAACTGCAAAGTGAAAGAATAAAAACACTGAAGAAACAGAACTCGGACAGCTTCACCATTTTGTACGTAAAATAATGTATGCAGTCGTCTGTGTACTGTCCCTTCGTAATACTTGTTTATTTCTAATGAAATCATGTGAATCACATAAAAAAAAAAAAAATTATCTGATAGTACGCCCTGAAATAAATAAAGCTTTGATTCCTCGCTATTATATGGTGGAAAGTAGGAAGCAGTACAGTGGCGTAGCCAGGGGAGGGGCTTATAGGGCTTCAGTAACCACCCCGAAGAAAAAGCTGCAGACCCCACAATATAAAAAAAAAGTTCCTGTGTTATTGAAGCAGTACAAAGCACTCCTGATTCAGAATGAGGTATAACAAAAATGAGGTTTAACTTCAATCCTGCTGTCAGCCTCTAGTGAAGATAAGGCACCACATGCTTGACTTGATGCCAAAACTTTTTGTAAGGTCTCTAGAAGTTTGTTTATAATAATTAACTTATTCATCTTAATAATCATATAAAACAGTGTTGAGAAATTTGGCACCTGTCAGTTCTGGGTTATTCTTGCATTAATTTTCAAAATTACTTCAAGCATATTTTTTTTGCTTTCCCTAGTATATCACTATTCTGCACCACATATATTGCCAAACTGGCTGCGATTGCCGTAAGTATGTATTCTAAATCTTTGTTTAATATTTTATGTAGTGACGTACGGTTGCTTGTAGATGTTCATTCTATGTTGCTGCAAAGGAAGACACACTGAGTCAGCCTGTGCAATATAATTGTTTCCTTATCTTGCGTTACCAGAGATTCTCCTGCCCCTGTTTACGTGCAATTTCCTAGGGATGGTGTTCAGCAGGTCGCTGCACTACCAGTTCTATGTGTGGTACTACCATTCCTTGCCATACCTGTTGTGGTCCACCAATTTGGCACCCATCACAAAGTGAGTGGCGGCAGGCACTTATGTTCTTTATGAACACTCAAACAAATGACAAAACCTCTACAACAGTAACATGTTTATTTATTTATTTATACCATTAGCCCTTTTGGGCCTCTTACAGGAGGTTAAAGGTACACATGAATACAGAACAAAAATGATATACTTTCTCACGTGCCACAAAATAAAAAAAAAACTGCTGTAAACAGTTTGTGAGTGTACACATGAATACCAAACAAAAATGGCACTTTCCAGTGTGCTGCATAATCAGAAAAATAAAAAAAAAGCATCTGCAATAACACAAGACCAGTTAAACTCACCAAATGTTATTAAGATAACAGATGTAAGATAGGGATATTATTTCTATGATGTTTTTCAAACTAAGGGATTGTATTGCATATTCGAATTAGGCACACATAGCACAACACTGTTAATGCAAACAAGCGATTGCCAGCTTTTTTTTATGTTTTTTTAGAATTGAACGGCTATCTTGAAAATTTTTAGTGTGGGGAGAAGTGTTCTTTTTGTGCACCTACCTAGGCGGTGAAATCTGGTATCGCCAATATCCTTGTCATGCAAAATGCAAAAGAGCCCCAATGTTGTGTTTGTGCTAACAGGGCTTTTAGTTCTTTTAAGTACTGTGATTTGTACTGCACATTAGGGCTTTTAAGTACCGTGATCTGAGCTGGCATTTTGATGTCTTGTGATGTTGCAGGCTTTTCTTGTGGGGCCTGATAGAGCTGTCCTGGAACACCTTTCCATCGACCAACTGGAGCAGCGGCCTCCTTCACTGTTCTCACCTGTTGCTTATGGTGAATCTGTGGAGGCACTGGCCTCGTGAACCCAGCATACCAATAAAAACCAAAGGAGCATGATTGGTTGGGTGTGGTGCTGCTCACATTCAACTGTTTGTGTTGTCGATCTGGAGAGAAACGTGGTTCTGAAGGATGCTAGATTCATGGCAAAGAGACTCATCTGCATTTCTGGATGGCTTGCATGCCATTTAACAAAAAAGGGTATACATCCTTTTTTTTTTTTTTTTTTGGTAGATGTTATATGGCCACTGCTTGCCTCCTTTGAGATTGATCTCATTGTTGAGATGGAATGGAAGTGTGATGGCCGGGGTGCACCTAGCTAGGTCAAGGTGTGGCGAAAATAACCAGTTCAGAGTTCTGGTTCATAATCATAGTGAGTCAAGCAAGCGTGTACAGGTTTTAAAGAAAGATTACCACAAATTATATTTATTTTTATTTTTCCATTTTTAATACGAAAGCATTAACTGTTTCATGGAGGGAGCCGACGTCATTAGCCGCGCCAAGCGGTAGATAAATTCCCGAAGCCGCGATTTGAGGCATCCCAGCTTTGAAACCACGCAAAACGGCAATGATATGAAGCCGACGCGCGTCAGTTTCAATTGGCGCCACCCCATAGCGCTGCGTGCTCGCGTCGGAGTAGGGTGCCTACATGTCTCTCTGTCTCAGGGTGAAGACATCCATTGTTGCCCTGAATGTGCCAGCGCGCGACGGGCTCGCGCACTCGGTGCGTGACTTGGGCGGTAAAATGGCGTCTATACTTTAGCCAAAGCTACGAGCTCGAGCTGAGTGACACCAGATTGCGCGCATTTCAAAATACATAAAAAACAATTGGGTGGAAAAATGGCTGAGATGTCACCACTCAAGCAAAAGCGCGCGTGTGTATGAAGGCACTCTAGCGTCTGAGCAGAAATGGCAGAATTTGGGTTGTGTGGATATTTATACAGTGTGTAGTTGGTCAGCCATTTCTAAGTTGCGATGAGTCACTCGCTGTAGATGAGCATTGGACCTTTTGCAGAAACATCTGTTCGAGAGTAACTGGTTCCAGTACCCTCTCTCTCTTCCTTCTGGCCGAGCAGAGAGGGAAGATGGTTTCGTTGTGTCGACTTTGGGGTGGAAGATTACGCACGATGGGGACAAAGGCGAGTTTAGGGGAGCCGTATCTATGTCACAGCGTCTCAATGGGTGAACAGGATGTAGCTGACGTTTTGGGAGTGCAACGGGTGGGAGAGGCCTCGCGCGCGCGTTGTTTTCTCGCCACTTAGCCTCGACCCCAGTTGCGTGTCTAGGTGGCAGCACATATTCGCCAAGAGGTCCATTTAGCCAGTGCAGTACAACCGCTAGCCTGGGGTCTTTAACTCGCACCACGGAGTAGTGATACACGACCGCATGCCGGTATGATGCTCATCCAGATCGATACGGGCAGGGCACGGTGGGGCAGGGAGGCACTCACTTGATCGAATGACGTTTTAGCGAACGCCCACGTTTCATCGAACGACACTTTAGCGAATAGTCGGACGCCGCGAAGCGGCGTTTTCGGGTGGGCCAAGTGAGTTCATATTTTTGTAATGAGTTGCCGCACACTGTCGCCGCGAAGCGGCGAATAGCGCAGCGCGACGGATGGGTTAACGCGCGCCCCCGTTATTCGCTAAAACGACCATTCGCTCAAATGTCGCCGTTCGCTAAAATGTCATTCGCTCTTGTGATATGGACCCGGTGTGCGCTAGTCCTATGGGGAGTATTCACTGGAGGCCATAGCTGTGTGCGCGAATGCTGAGCGCGTGCTGATGGCGAGCTTCCACAGTTATTTTGCAACGTGCATTTCGCACCGTCAAGAGTGCCGCTCTTAGCAGCCTATTGATGTGAGCTCCTTCTGAGCATGCGCTCTAAACAGCACCCACAAATATGGCGTCCAGTGAATACTCGCTGTCGGCCACCAATCCCCCCAGGAACGGTAGAGGCGCCGAGAAGATCACATGCGGCAGCGGCGCCGAAAGGATTAGAAGCGGCCTTGGTGCCGAGGGGATCAGCGGCCGCGACGCGAAGAACGACATTCATGCTCTCGCATTCACAGCTCATAAGAGGTGCTTAGGTGTACCTCAAGCCTTTCTTTTTTTTTTTTTTTTCATTGCATCACCCAACGCAAAACCTTTTTTTTTTTTTTTGCACATTCATGCTGTGGCAGTTGTTCAAGTTGATCTGTTAGCCTCCTTTCATGTCATCGCTGTTACATTTGCACTGATACGTCTGTTTCAACCAAAGAGTTTACTCAAGCTCGTTGGTTTCAACTGGTTTTGTGAGTTCTAGAAGAACACTGAATACAAACTTTTACGCGAATATATTTTCCACAAGATGAATCATGCAAAATCCAGAGCCGTGCATCTGGCAAAATCTACGAAGGCGAAACCGAAACTGCAGACGATCTTCGATGTAATGATTGGGTAGAGAGGAGATTCAGCAGACGACAGCGCTCAGCTGCTCGGCATGCGAATCGCGGCCAAGGCAGTTTTCCGCGATTCCCTGTGCACTGGCGTATCTGGGGTGTCATGAAACAGCAATTTGATGCCGCGTTGAGAGCGTACTGCATATTTTTTATTTGTGCCTTTAGCTTTACAGATTTACCGCGATTCCAAATAATAAATCTTTTGCGAAAGTGTATGCAACGGGTCCCGTAGGTGGCGCGTCGTACGCACAACCCAGAAAACAAAATGATCGCCATTAGACGGTTGGGCAAATGATGCCTTTCGCCACGAAGAACAAATTGTCCTTAGTTCGAGCCCCAGCGAAGATCCCACACAGCATTTTCGACCCCTGGGAACAATAGAAAAAAAATGTCAGCACGAAGGTAAATACGGTGCCTGTTTCTTCGCGGGACCACCGTCTTAGAAGTGTAGCGCAAGGGTGTATACCATTCAGAGGAACTCCGTGCGGTCCCATTTCTTTTGAAACCCTGCGTCTCGGGAGAAATCTCGGCAGCATTCATGGCTGCGTGGAAGTTAAACTCCGCAAGCATTCTTAATGACGACAGACTTGGCAAAGACACTTTGTTTCTTTACAAAATTTGCGGGACGTAAGTAGTAAGTGACTTGTCGAGGAATGCACGCTACGCTGGCGGGGGGTTAGACCACCCATTCAGACTTATACCTGCGCTGGCGTTTCGTATTTTGAAGCAGAAATGATTAATCCAGGCTGGTTACGGTGGACATTTGAATGTATTTTGTATTTTTTCTGTCGGCATTGCCGAAGAGATACGCCAGCTGTAGTTTCGGCGGCTGTTTAAACTGGTTTAAAGGTCTCGCTCGTGGCGGTGCCAGTAGTGCATCTTGTAGGTTGCACTCGACGCGGCAGTAGTGTTAAAGCAACTTCTGCGAACTCTAATTGGCGTCACACAATTCTTGAATATTTTGAATTACTTCATCGTGTTTTATGAACAAAATCATCGCAGACGGAAGACTGCCTGCACCCGGAATAACCATGGTCCGCCTGATAGCGGTTAACATGAGAGTTAAAGGTGGCTCTTACAATTAAACGTTTTTGTTGGTTTTTTAGAGGCCCATACTTTTAAAAATAATAACTTGTATTAACGACATTGAGGTAGAAATGACTGGAAAGTTACAATGTTCAACGATAACCGCCACAATTGACCACCTGATTAGCTTGTAGTGCGTGCTCATTGGTGAATGTAGGTCGGCTCTAGTTCTTGGTTGCGATATTCACGTGCTTTGTCGCATGGTCGACTGAGCTCTTTGCCCACCCACCCGCATATCCCCAAAGTCTGGCTGTCAATTCAAATATTTTTGCTCATTTGGAAAAATACACCTTGAACTTGGGGAAAAAACTTGTCTTCCCTAAGTTCTTCCCTTCCCTAAGTTCAGGCTTTTTTTTTAACCCAAGTGTGTATTAACACGTTAAACTCATCACCATTACTTTTTGCTCAAATCGGCAACCAGCTGCCGACTGCAATGAAATGAGCTCATAATCACCCCAAATCAAAACATAGCTCTGACAAATTTGGCATTGCAGCTCTCACCTTTCTTCATGTGGTCTATGAAGTAGGCCTTTGTGAAAGAGGTTAGTCTAGGGTCGATGGCTTCTCGCTGATGGCAGCACACATCTGCAGCTGCATACCATCGAACCCTGAAGTCTACGAGAGAATGGGGCAGGCAGCCCTATTCGCTTGTTCTTAAAGTGACGACTTTATATGAGAATCCAGTACAACCTCATGTTGGTCAAACCTTAGCCAGGCCATGGGCGAGGATGTCGTAAACAGAGTGCAGCTCTTACTTTGACGTCGTGGTGCTTCTTTGACCTTAATGTTGTTGCACTAACACTCCCCCCTTCACAGTGTAGAAGGGTAGGAACCATGTGTTAGTGTTATCGCACGTTCTTAGCAATAGACCCCTTTTAAAAGTCAGTCTACCCACCTTGGGCAGAGCCAGACCCGACGCTCTAATGGCGGAACTACACTGTTTCTCCACACCAGAAAAATCGAACGTCTTCGAAAGCATAGAGCAGAAAAAGGAAAAGATGTTGGTCGTTTCAAGTCACCTTCGATGCACGAAATCGAGGGTGCTTGATTTAGCCGCGCTTAATCTCCTGTCACCGCCATTAGAGCGGCAATACTGGAGCTTTTTAGACTGCCACAAGAGGACTCTGACTTTTGAAAAGGGTCTATTGACAAAACGTCTGAAGGGTGATTTGTTTTTTTTTTAAAGGATCTGTTAAGTGATGCAGTTTCGTGCGGGCTCTGCCCTTAGATGCGTATGCTAAGGTGTCGCCTCCCTTCGTTTCCCAAGCAGCCATGGCAGGTGGTTCCACCCAAACCTGTCCGGGCTGGAGGCTGAGCAGATCCTGTTGGACCAGGGCTGCGACGGTAGCTTCCTCGCCCGACCCAGCAAGTCCAAGAAGGGAGACTTCACCCTTTCTGTCAGGTATTGTCTGTTGGCTTAATTTCTTGGGCTGGCACGTAAAACAGTCTGGAAAATGTTTGCCCGCTCGGCCTGCAATTAAGTAAACAAATTTATGCTGTTTATTTTTTTATTATTAGTTTATATGAGCGCACAGACATCTTAAATTACTAGCTTTTTTATTTTTTTTTATTTAAAACATTTATTGCAAAATACCGTGGGAGCACCCACCCCACTTTCACTGAAAACTGGATTAATCTAGTCATGGGCGCCCGTCTGGTCAAATCGGCTACTTAATGTATCATTTGAAGAATTAAAAATTTTTGGATACAGTGGGCACTTCCGCAATGTTTTACAGTATATTTTTCTTTTCGTTTTTCTTTTTTTCTTTAATAAAAGCTTTTCTATATTGTACAATCTTCTTTTTTAACGTAAACAAGTGCAAGCTGTAGGCTTGCACTTACGACTTTTGTGCTGCTACATAGAGTAGGGTGGAAAAGCTGGCTGGTTTGTTTTATACCTTGTCTTACCAAATGTTCATGTTTTTGTTTAATTCTCCTTTTTTTGTGTGGGTGCTTGAAAATGCAGCTGGTGCTGTGCTGCAACATCCAGATGGAACAGAAAAGCGAGGAGTATTTTTTTATAAATTTGCTTTCAAATCCCTGTTGGCATTTTATATTCCTGTATTGTCTCAAGCCCTATATTGCTTATTTTTATTTGTTCTAATTTTATGTTGTTTCCACTCGCTTTGTTTGGGCAACAGCACTTCAGTGTACTGCAGTTATGTTCAAACCATTCATTTTTGTGCAGGCTTCGTACCCAAATTGAAGAATTCATATGGGAAATGCATTGGGGGCTCGGGGTTGTTACATCTCATTTACAGTGGCAGGAACAAGAATTTTGAGATGGAAGCGAAAATGCTTGAGCTGCCTAAGTGGAATGTGCTGTGCCACCTAGGCAATGCTTAATCTGTGTTTTTGGAACAAGTTGGTAACGTGTCATGCATGAGGAATTGGTTCAGGAAAGCGTCATGACCACCTTAGCAATGAGCACTGTTTTTGCCTGAAATGTTGGCAGTTTGCATTCTGGAAGTTATGTACCGCAGCATATATTGATTTGGTGCTGCTGTCTTTTCTGCCAATCTTTTTATTGTGTTGTTATCTATCTGCAGAAAATGTCTCTCTCTGCTTTCTTTATATATAATGTGCAAGAGAGAGTTGTCAGTGGAAGTGGCTTGAACAACATGTCTGTCCATGTGAGCTAACCTTGACCCAAGGATATTTAGCTGTCAGGGTGTCTAGCGACTGGGAAAACCGGGAATTATCAGGGAAATATTAATTACCGGGAAAAATTGGGGAATTGCCAAGGAAATTGTCAAAAAGCGAGCCCAGTCAGAGAAAATGAGCCGGAAACGCCATCGATTGCCCTGAGCAAAGGCTTGAGAACTTCGGGGCACAAAAATAGGCAATAAATTCTGCTTAGAGCAGAGCGCGGGCTCTGCTCACCCAATGTAGAGTGTTCTACCCGATGGAAAGGGAACAGCCGTCAAATCCAGTCCAAGCCTTGGATTGGATTGACAGTGTGACATTAAACTAGATCCAGTTAGAGCTACTAGATTTAGTAGCAAAATGGGAAAGCTGCAGACCCCAATCCAAGCCTTAAGCCGAAAGTATCCAAAAGTGTGCATCTGGTGGCCATGCTGCCATTCGGTTATTGACGTGTGTGGTTGAGCGTCGTGTCATCGTGTTTCCAGAAGTGGCTTCTTCACTGACAAAGTCGGCGGCAAGAAAGTGCTCGCTTAATCCGGACTGGACGAACCCGAAAATTTCGGAATATGCAAGTGCCCATGCAAAATGATCCTCACCATGCTTAATGCCTTGTGCTGTACTGGTTTTATATATTAACCGCCTTCCCAGTGGTCAGGGAATTTTACCTGAAATTGTCAGGGAAAACCTGGAAAAGTCGGGGAATTTCAAAATAATAATTTGCTAGACACCCTGGCTGTGGTTCTGAATCTGAAGAAATGTACAGGGGAACAACTTAATTCTTGTCATAAAATGCTAGCCAAGAATGAGCTGTGAAAGGCTAGTTGCCTGCCATAGTACTCGATCCCCTGGTGTGAATGATTTGTTATTCTTTTGCGTGATGCTTCTCTTTTGTGGTCGCATACCTGTCTTGATATTCCTTTGTGCTCTTTTAATGCACTGCGGATGTGGCAATTTTTTATTTCGTATCAATTGATTTCGAGGGCTGGCTTCTGTTACATATGTGGGCTAATGACTCGTGCGTCGTACGTGCCAAAAGGTTTTTATTGGTAAGCCTTTTTGGGAATTTAACTTATGTACTGGAGTATGTGACACACTTTAATTTGTTATGTTATTCTTATTGACATTGGGTCAGGAGTTATCAGGTCGAGCATTGGCGAATCCATTTAATAATTATTTTGTTAACCTCGTCAAAGAAAGTCCAGAGTCAGATGCGTGCAAGTGTATAAATATTAAAAACGATGCACCATTGTTTCTTACGCTTATCATTGATACAGATGTCATATCTGTCTTTAATGCGTTTAAAAATAGTAACAGTAGTGACTCCGATGGATTACAGATAACGCCGGTTAAGCATGTCATTGATCTTATTTCTCCTTGCTTAACGCACATCTTTAATCTATGCTTGCTAGCCGGAGTACTTCCCTGTCGAAGGCAATTAGCTAAAGTAAGTCATATATAAAAAGGGTGATGAAAATGACCTAGGTAATTACCGACCTGCTTCAATCCTATCGGGTGTAGAAAAAATTATGCTCCTTAGAATGACAACATTTGCGGATAAACACAACCTACTGGGCTCATGTCAGTTTGGTTTCCGTAAACATTGCCCCACCGAACTCTCTTTTAGCCGAAAAAGAACATATACTTGAAAAAAAATTTAAGAATAAAAAACTTACTCTCGGTTTATACGTCGACTTCACTAAAGCATTTGACTCCCTGGATTATAATTTGCTAATTAGGAAATTAAATGAGTATGGATTTCGTGGCCAAGTGTCACTTCTTTTAAATTAAGATTTGTCTTCCCGCAGACAATATGTAGATATAAATGGTCAGTCATCTGAAATAAAACCGGTTAAATCCGGAGTTCCCATAAGGGAGTATTTTGGAGCCTTTATTATGGAGTATCTATGTAAATGACATGGCAAGTGTAGGTAAGTTCAACAACGGATTTTTTTATCTATGCTGATGATGCTAGTTTATTTTTTTACTGGAGAAGACGCCACAGAGCTTATACGTGTAGCCAAGGAAATACAAATTGATACTTGGAGTAAATGTAATGCTCCACAAATAAATGCCAATAAGACAAAAGCAGCCTTATTTCAGCCCAGAAATAAATGTCTCATTACCAAAAAAAAATTTTTAATTCTTCGAAAATTAAAATTGTACTTGTGTTTAAAACTTTTTAGTTACCAAGCATTGTTGGTATTTTATATCATCATAAACACATCTTGCCTCTTAAACCGAAGCTATTACTATATAATTCATTATTTTACTCGCATGTAAATTATGGCCATATTATATGGGGAACCACTACATATACCAATCTTCAAAAGATCTTTATATTAAAAAAAAAAAGTTAAGAAGCATTTCTCGTGTTACACTGGATTATCCAATGAACATTGGTTTCAATCGACTTAAAGTAATGAAAATTTTTGATTTATACAAATATTGTTTATGTTCGAAATATATGGTAGAAAAAAATCAATCTCAACATTATCTCGAAGACTTGGCAAACCTAACGAAAAGGGTATATGCATATCCAACGCGAACTGTAGAACCATGGGAAGTACCATTTTTTAGATCTACCTAATTACGGACAATGCACTACATCATACACCCTTCCGACTACACTGAATAAGTTCAGTAAGGAAAATATAGAACTTCGCAATGTGTCTGGGAGCAGCTTAATTATACTCATCTCAAACCAAACCTAATAGAAGATAAGTGTTGATTATACTCATCTCAAACCAAAACGAATAGAAGAAAAAGTTAAATTTGGGGGGTTGAAGTTATTTTTTTTGCCACGTTTTGTCTGCTCATGTTCTAGTCTGTTCAAATCGAATTGGCATTATATAATGACACTAATAAAATTTTCTCTCGTGGAAAGGATCTCTTCATGTTTTCGTTTATTTTCTAATCGTATGTAAATAATTTTGATGCCTTCATCTGAACTGTAATTTAGGTGATTCGGGACTAGTTAAGCTGTGTTACAGCTTTCTTTCCTTTTTCTCCTTCCAACCGTAAACTGTTGGCAAATTAAAGACATTTATTATTGTTATTATTATTATTGATTACATTCTTAGCTTCATAAACAAGTGTTGAAGGTTGTGCAAAACCAGCACAAAGTGTAAGTAAAGAGAAACGGTTCAGGTCTGACAGGTAAGATGGAGATGTTGCTCTGAATTCAACCTACAAACTGTGCTTTTGAAGAATGAAAGCAAATTTTTCAGGCGCTGCTTTGTTTTTCTGTGCACCCCTCTTTTGATAGGGACTGGATTATGACCGACATACAGTCGTGTAATCAGATTGGTCGTACTACACCAACTCATCCTCCCCTCCGCAGTATTGAAAAAGCACTATGGGCAGGTATAAAAGGCAGATCAGCCTCTCAGTATAAGTTTCTTGTCTTTTTTCCTCCCTCCCCCAGGAGAAACGGCGTGGTGACGCACATCAAGATCCGCAACACAGGCGACTACTACGACTTGTATGGCGGGGAGAACTTTGCCACCCTGGCAGAACTGGTGCAGTACTACATGGAGAACCAGGACCAGCTAAAGGAGCGCAACGGAGAGATCATCGAGCTCAAGTACCCACTCATCTGCGCCGACCCCACCACCGAGAGGTGTGCACCGTTCTTAGTCTCCTCTTCTTCCCGGAGCAACCACATTCAGAGATTCTATCATCATTCGTTGGTAAAGCATGAGGTTGTTGTATGGTCCGAACTGGGGTTTTCAATGGGCTTTCGCTCCTGGATAAATGAATGGCTGGATAGATAGATAAATAAATGGTACTGGCTATACGTAGGGCTCCATGTTTTCGGAGTTTATTTTTCGTGAAATTCAGATTCGGAGTTTATTTTTTAGCAAAAATTCGGTGTTTATCGGAGTTTATTTTCGGAAATCCCCCTTCTCCGAAATTCAGAGATTACTTTCGCAGTGTTTCATATTAAAAAATAGTAAATAATAACCGGATGCAAACGTATGCCAGATAAAAAATAAAACGCACTTGTATCAATTAAGATTTCATCGGTTGAATTTGGCGTTGGTGTTATTGGCAATACTAATTTGTCCCACGACAAAAGTCGCACACAAGTGTGGCTTCGATAAACGTCGATACCTTAAAATCAATAAACTGCCGGAGGTAGCCGCAAGGAAGCTCCGTAGTCATACCATCAATCTATCCCACGGCCGCGCGAGGTGGAGGGGTTAAGGATGTAATAGAGAGGTTTCAACTGCCCCTCTTCCCTATTTTATACAATCTCTATGACCCATAGCTTTCGCTGTTATCCCCAGAAACATACCATCTCCTTTCTCTAAATCCCATGGCCCAAACTGGAAACCAAAAGAGTGGCTTTTGTCGTGACAGGAATGATATAATCACCTGTTTCCTTTTATTTATTCAGTTTCCCACAGCGCCAGGGTGGCATTACAGCGGGGAGGAAATTTTCATTAATGTGATACATTTAAGCAATACCTAGGAGCATAACAGAACGCGCACATGCATACCCAGTACACGGGAAACAAAAAAGGACACACTTCTCACAATGCGGCAGAGAAAGCGTCATTGTCCAAAATGTCAACAACCTCCGAAGGCAATTGATTCCATTCGCTAATAGATTTGGGGAAAAAAGAAGATTTAAAACTGGTTTATGTTACACTTATATTCACATACCTTTCGTTCGTGATCGACACGATGAGAGATATAATCCGGGGGGAAAATGTAGTTTTCGCGCGGTATACTAATTCTGCAGTGGTAAATGTTATGAAATAATTTTAGCCATAGTTTTTTCCTTCTTTTTTCAAGAGATTCCTGTGCTGGGGGGGGGGGGGGGGGGGGGGGGCAAGGCAAGGGCACATAACAATTCGGAGTTTATCGGATAAATCCGAATTGACAAAAATTTTACCGGCGGGTGTTTTTCGGAATTTTTTGGATTTACCCGAAAACACGGAGCCCTAGCTATACGCTATACCCTTTGTGTCAGGCAATAGCTTGCGCCACCTAGCCTGAAAACATTTACGCACCCTCCCCTTTCAAGTTATAAATTTTCTTATAAATTTTGTTTCTCATTAAATTGTCCAACCCCCCTAATTTTGTGTATTATCACACTTCTCTAGACCTTTTCCACCAATCTTCTAACCTCCTTCTTGTGATTGTAGTTCTTTCTTCCTCCATTCATCCATCCACACCAGCAAAACACAATTCCCCCATCAAATCCGTTACACAATCAGGGAAGGCAGGACAAAGCCCCGTGCGCTCACTTCAAAACCACGTTTTTTAGTGTTTTGCTTTCGCTATGGGATGGCATACGGCACATGATGTGTTTATCTATTGAAATCTAGCCTTATATGTCTCTGTCCTTGCTTGCATTCTCACCTCACACAGTAAAGAGTTTCCCGTGAATTATCAAATATACCTGTTCCTTTCTTATGTGCTGTTTTCATGACCTGTATTGCTCAAACTGATTTCCCTTGCATTCTTCCTTCATGCATTTTCTTGTCCGCTTTTTCTACTCTCTATAACTTAAAGGGATACTTCAACGAAATTTTAAATATTCCCGTCGTGTTCAAAAATGGGTTGAATATGATCCACAATATCCGTAAATGACAATCGCACGTTTGTATTTTAAGCCTGGTGGCTGTATTTTTCGTTATAAACGGCCCACTCTGGCAAGCGCTCAGAGAAGGCCCAGCGGAGACCACGTGACATCCAACGCAATCGTGACGTAGGTCGTCTCGGGACAAGCAAAGTTACGGCGAGGCTGACGTCGAGAGGATGGCCTAGTCGTTCCAGCCACCGAAGCGGCTGCTTTTGTACGAATTTTGAGTGACGGGTTAATCTTCTATAATCTTGTAGGGGGACAGTAGCGACTTCTGCGACACACAAAAGGCATTTTCGGGAAGAGGGGAGTTCCTCCTTCCCCTCTTCTCTTGTCATGGCCGGAGGCGAGACACTCACCGTCACTAGCTGTCAAGGTTCCTAGACGGGCATTACAAGCGAGGCGTTAGCGACATCCACCAGGTGCTCTTTGCTAATCATTTAATTCGTTTTAAAATTCCCTTTCGTGCATTTTTTAACAAGATATTGGTATGTTTGATGTGATACTGCTCCTTTGAACACATATAGACCAAAAAATGAGGGCTAAAATTTCGTTGTAGTATTCCTTTAAAGGACACATGCAAAAGAAAAAAATATTTTTTTAAAACAGCCTAGATGGAAAAAGAATGCTATGAAACAAATTTACAACGAAGAAAAAAACATTTTAGAGCTATATTTGCGGCGCAAAATGACTTCGTAGTCTGCGCCCGCGGGTCACGTGGTACACTTGTGCGCCGTCGTGCGGCGCTGCTGCCGCCTCAAAGTGACGCCGCTGGCACCACGCCAGTTCGTCTGCTTCGGGGCACCGCCGCCGTCATCTGACCGGCGCACAGGTCTATCACGTCTGCTTGCGCTTTTTCAGGAGCTTCCTTTGGGCTCTAAAAGTTACTTATTAATCTTTGTTTTTTGTTGCACTTGAAACAATGATGAATAACTAATATTTAGAGACCATAAGAAGCTTCCGAAAGAGCGTAAGTACCACGTGACAAATAGCGGCCAGTTTTCCGCGGACCCCGCGGGCGCCACCTACAAATTCATATAGTGCCGGAAATATAGCTCTAAATTTTTATTTTTCGTTGTAAATTCATTTTGTCTTACTTTTCCCAACCAGGCTGTTTAAAAAGAATGTATTTTTCCTTTGCATGTGTCCTTTAAAGTGGTAGGCTTATTCAATTCAGGGCAGTTTATTAATCCTCAAAGGCACTTCAATCAAGCACATTACATAAAATGGGGGGGGGGGAGGAGGAGGAGGAGGAGGAGGAGGAGGAGGAGGAGGAGGAGGAGGAGGAGGAGGAGGAGGAGGAGGATCTGCCATAAAATAAGTGCCCGATTTGATCGGACAAGCGCCCATGTCTATATGAACTCAGTTTTCTGTGAAAGCGGGGTAGGCTTTTTCCTGTTAATTTTGTTTACAAAATATTAACAGTGAAGGTTGCCAAATAACAGTTTGGTTAAATTATGAACAAAATACATGTACAGGTAGTATAAAAGAAACCAGTAAACAAAACGAAAAGCAATAAGTGAGATATAATAAATATTTGGATTAGAAAGTAAAAAAACTCATGAGGCATGTCTTGCAAAGATCACCAAATTTAGACTTGTTAGTTTCGAGTATGACTATTTCAGGGTGAGAATTCTAGTCAATAATAGCTAAGAATTGCGGGGAATTTCGGACTGTACCATATTTTTCTGTCTATAAGTCGCGCCTCTCTATAAGCAGCTGTTTTCACACACACAAAAAAAGAATTGTCAGTGAAGGCGTGCCTTTGTGTCAGTTACACTTGTTTATTTGTAGGGTCGGCATGGCGAAACTGCTTCGATAAGCTTGCACATATGTATCCTGATTGCGACATATGCAGAAGCGGGAGCCAGTTAATATTCTCACCGCGGCAAATTTACACAGTTAAGGTTCCTACTTGTTAAGAACTTTTGTATAAGTTATACCGTCGCATAAAACGCACTGACGAAAATTTTGGAACGAAACTGCGACTTGTGCACTGGAAAATATGGCGTTAGTTTTTGTGTACTAAGGGCAGGTCCACACGCTCGCGACGGTTTACGAATGAGCACCTTGCAACCTCTTGCAATCTCTTACGACAGGAGTTCACACCGGCGTCATCTGTAGGGTTGCCGTGGAACACGCGCAATTTCTGTACATTTCCGTTTTTTCTTTGCACGTCATATTTCTTTTTAGGCTTGAAAAACTTGACGATGTTACAAACATTTCTCATAGTATGTGCATTTGTTCTCGCAAATTGTGCAAAACATTCGCTCTAGTGAGATGCAGTTCCAGGGCCTCCTAAAGATGGTGCCCGAATGCCAGTATGTTCTCTCGTCGTAAGAGATCACAAGGACTTGGTCGTAGGCAGACGCAAGTGTGTGAACCAGCCTCAATGGATTGGTTCTCTCGAAATGCGTTGGTCCTTGCATGGCCCTCGGAGGTCCGACGGCGTGCTGAGGGGGTGCGGGTTGTTCTTTCCCCAGGTGGTTCCACGGGCCCCTGGTGGCCAAGGAGGCCGAGAAGCTCCTCATGGAGAAGGGGAAAAACGGCAGCTTCCTGGTGAGGGAGAGCCGCAGCAAGCCGGGGGACTACGTGCTGTCTGTCCGCACCGAGGACAAAGTGACCCACTTCATCGTGCGCTGCCAGGTCTGCCCTTTTCCTCCGTCCGCTTTACGCCGCCACACACTTTGGAGGAAGGGGGGGTACCTTCATTTTTTACTTCCTTCCAGCATGCAGAGCTGGGGAGCGGCATTGCCGCGAAAATGACCTGCAATCTTTAAAGGGACACTGACAACTGACACCTTCAAAAAATATTTTTTTTATTTTTTCCAGGCCATTTAATATGGTGCCTGACCACGCAATCAATCTTTTGCTACAGGGTCGCACATATTTTTACTAAAGCCAAAAAAAATTAACTGCTCAAAACTGAAACACGAGCACAGAGCTTCATGGCCGGAAATCACATGGATACACCCGACCCTGATATGTACTTCCTGTGATCTCTGCTACATTTTTTTCTTTTAACATATTTGCAGTTTTTTGGAGGCCACGAAAATGGGGTTTGTATTTTTTACTATTTTTAATATTGAATCTGTGCCTTACATGACCCACAGCTTTGAGTATATTTGGTACACATAGTTAGAATGCCACGTGAAAATGAAAAAGAGAGAGAGTGAGCGCAACTGAAACTGGTTAATTTTCTACCGGTTGTTATCGGGTGGAAAGAAAAACTAATTTCGAGCCTCAAATTGTGTTCTGTATAGTTGGGCTCTTATAAGCCAGGTTCAAATAAAAATATTGCCGAGCATAAATACCCTGTCAGTGTCCCTTTAAATGCAGAATGTGTTGCATGTCAGGTTCCATGTTTTCAGGGTTTATAAATTATTTGTCTTTGAATTTGGGTTTTTTTTTGGGGGGGGGGGGAGGGGGGGGGGGCTTGTTTCCTCGCAGATTCTGTGTTGTTTGGTGTCAATTTGTGATGTCAGACAGACTTTAAAGTTCCTTTAATCCCTTCGCTGCTTCTTTTCTTTTTTTTATGTCTGGCAGCTTTTGAGTTCAAACTGCTTTTATTTGATTGCTTTTACACGTTATGCCCGGGCCGCACGTGCCTCCACCACCGGTCGCCGTTTTTAAAAGCATGTACGGTAAAAAAAATGTACTGTGCACATACTGCCATCTCTCGGCAGTGCCGCAAACTAAGGTCTGAACGAGCCTGGGTCGTCCAAAACAGCCAAGTGGCGAGCAAGGGTGTGCGGACGAGCTACACTCATCCTATATGGTTTGGGCACTGCTCTAGGCGGAAGAGCTAGGCTCGTCCAAAACTATTCAAAGGGTAGAAGCAAAATAAAGCCTAGCTCAACATTAAGACGTCTTCCCTCATCTGCGCAGGAGGGCAAGTTCGACGCTTGCGGGGGGGAGAAGTTTGACAGCTTGAGCGACCTGGTGGACTTCTACCGCAAGAACCCGATGGTAGAGACGACAGGCACGGTGGTGCACCTCAAGCAGCCCTTCAACGCCACCCGCATCAAGGCCTCGACCATCGAGAACCGGGTCAAGCAGCTCTCCAAGGAGAACGGCCAGAACAGCGGCAAGGCCGGCTTCTGGGAGGAGTTTGAGGTGCGCCCCCTCCGTTTCTCCCCTCCTACACTCCCTCGCGTGGGCAGTGGGTGGAGAAGGCAACTACATGTTTTCTTTTAAACTTACAAATTGCACGGCACTTCAAAAAGCCAGCTGTCTCTCTCTGCTCTTGTTTCGTTCTAATTGGAATGTTTTCCTTAAGAACAAGGTTCTGGATTACAATAAGCGACTTTATTTTCACGGGCTCAATAATTTGCAAATTTAACCAAGTGTGGGTTTCAAAAATATTTTGCGGGCACAAAATTTTGCAATTCGTGGGGATGTGCTACATATTTTTTTACCATAGGGCGATATATTCACGTGTTCATATTTCCCCAATATTATGCAAGTCGCGAAATTTGCAGAAATTGGGTACTCGCAAATATTAAGTTGTTTACTTTGCTCGAGTATATTTTTGGGAAATATTTTGTTCTCTAAAAAGTGTAATTTCAGAAAACTAAACCTAGCTTTCCCAATAAAATAAGCTCTGAAGGAATAGGGTCTTATTTTAGAGTATTCTGCTAGTTTAAAATTTTTTAACAGACGAGTATTGACTTTGGTCATTATTAATCTTATCTCGCTCAGTGTCCTGTCTTTGCCCGACGTTGCAGCCTTCATGTTGCGTGTTTTATTTTATTTCTGAACCTTCGGAGGTTTGCCTCTGGAAGAAACCTGAATGTGTTCTCTATGCCTTGCATGGAACAGCACCTGCAGCAACAGGAGTGCAAGCACCTGTTCAGCAGAAAGGACGGACAGAGGCCCGAGAACCGAGCCAAGAACCGCTACAAGAACATCTTGCCATGTAGGTTCATCCCAACGTTGACAGTTCACAGGCGTGTTCCAACAAGTGTCGACAATACTAGCCAGCCCTCCTTGTTGCTCTTAGGAATCAATTATGTTTATTTGCATTTTTAATGATGCCCCTAATTTGGCATGTATTCGGTGTGTTGCAGAAGGTGTCTTACACAAAAGGTGTCATATGGAGGGTTTTCTCAAGCGCTATTCGGGTGTAAAAAAGCTTTCATACATGAGCCAATGAACGGAGTGCAATGAAACTTTTCTCAAGAGTGCCTTTAGGGGGTGCATTTATTATACATTTTGTAAAAACAAATTTAAAAAAAAAAAAAAAAAAAAACATTTTTTTTTTTTTTTGGTTTATGCGGGACAGGAAAACAGAAGCAAACTGTTTGATTGACTCTGCTTCTTGCATACCAAACCACACACGCAAGCTCAAATCTGCTGTATCTGCTTTAGGGTATTCATCTCTAAGAAGCTTTCAAGTTTCCGACCCAAAGGTTTGCTTCTGTTTTCCTCTTGCGCATAGGAAAAAAAGTTTTAATTTTCTTGCATTATTTCCCAGAAAACTGCTCACAAAATTTGAGTGTGATAAATGCACCACCTAAAGACACCTGTTTAAAAAGTTCAATCGCACTCAATTTAACGGCCTATTTCGATGAATTTCTTAACGCCCGAACAGCGCTCAGAAACACTTTGTAATAAAAACACTGCAAAAAAAACTTTTTTTTTAAAGAAAATGCACTTGCATTTAAATTGCAATTGACGCTGCATCTGAAAGCAATGTGAAGAGGTGATTTTATTGATACTAGTTACAGTACAGTTGAACCTCGATTTAACGAAGTCACCTGGACCCGCTAATTATTTCGTTAAATAAGGAACTTCGTAAAATCGAGGAAGGGAGACCTTGCGCAAGGCTGCACGGGGAATCTGAATTTGTTCATTAAATCGGGAAATTCGTAAAATCAGGTTTCGTTGAATCAAGGGTCGCCTGTACTCTAATTTCCATACTATATTGTTCACTACCCAAATTTCTGAATTTACATCTGAATGAGGTGGAAGCATGTTGGCACGCAGGGCCAGCCCTAGGGGTGGGCGACCTGGGCGATTGCCCGGGCCACCATAAAAAGGAGGGAACCGCAAACATCCCCTCTTTGATTTATTTGAACACTGTGCCCAACTCGAAGCTATATGTTCGATCGCCGTTCGTTTTTAGAATGCGGTTCTCATCTGACAAAACACTCATTTTGGTCCACTACCAGCACGTTTACTAACAATGGATGTCATACCTAGTAGATAGGGGTGTATAAAAGGGGGGGGGGGGGGGGGGTCACCACGGCCGGAGTTCGGCCAGGGTGCTTGATGATGTAGGTCCAGCCCTGGTGGCACATGCTTCAAAAGCTGCATGCACATATGACAACAAAACTGTGAAGCTGAGACAAAAATGTGGCAAACCATACTACGGTGACTCTGGTTAAATTAATCCGTTGATCTCTGCATCTGGAACATGTGTTAAGTTACAATAATGTGCATTCTCACTTTTTCTTTTTTCAGTCGACATGACAAGGGTCAAGCTCAAAGACGTCGATCCTGACGTCCCTTTTTCGGACTACATCAATGCAAACTACATAAAGGTGGGCCCCTCTGTTTGCGTATAACAGATTAATTGTGCCGTTGTTACATATAAAACTGGGGCCCTGTCAGAAGGATCTTTGGTTATCGCCTGTGCTAGCCTCTCCTCCGTTTTCATTCAAACGTATTGGAAAGTTTTAACACTGCATACCAACCTCTCTGCTTGCAGCGCAGGGTTTAGGGGCTCATTTTTACAGTGGAGCTGTTAAGAGCTAGTTTCCCCAGTGTCGTGTCAGCGGGCAAACGAATGTAGACACAAAACTCTGGACAGCTACCGCCATCAATGAGCGAGGGCGGTAACCAGACAACCGGCTTGCTGGTTGTCGGTTGTTGCCGTCGCTCATAGATGGTGGCAACCTTTTGAGCCTTTCCACTTCGGTTTTCATTTTCTTAAGGCGTCGTCCTAGAAGTCATTTTCGAGGACGACGTCCTCTAAGCGTCGTCCTTGAGGTCGTCCTAGAAGTCGTCCAACAGGTCGTCCTAGAAGCCATCCTCAAGGTCGTCCTAGACGTCCTTGAGGTCGTTCTAGAAGTCGTCCTTGAGGTCGTCCTAGACGTCGTCCTTGAGGTCGTCCTAGGCGTCATCTTTGAGGTCGTTTCTGATGTCATCCTAGGCGTCGTCCTCGAGATTGTCCTAGATGTCGTCCTTGAGGTCGTCCTAGACGTCGTCCTTGAGGTCGTCCTAGGCGTCATCCTTGAGGTCGTTTCTGATGTCATCCTAGGCGTCGTCCTCGAGATTGTCCTAGATGTCGTCCTTGAGGTCGTCGTAGATGTCGTCCTCTAGACGTCGTCTTTGGGATCGTCCAAAAAGTCGTCCTAGACGTCGTCCTCTAGGCAGAATCTTACACATCCTAGTGATACCAGCTTCGCTTGCCTTCCTTCTTCACCTGAGTGGAAAGGCTGAAAATTTTATTATTTTCTGGCTGCCTCGTAAATTCCACTTTTTGTGATATCTACCCCGTTGTGGCACTACGTCATTATCTTTAGCTTTGACGCGAGTGTTCAGCAACTATAGGAAACTTTCCTCAGACTATAGGCTTTTAATTTGAGACCCATTTCACCTAAAACTTCTAGCCCGCTTATTCACACATTTTTTTAAAGGAATCAAACCAAATACATTTGGAGCTTGCACGCAGAAAAATAACTTTTGCCTCAAGTGGTTCCAGAACAAAGAACCAAGGTCCTAATCGGCACTAATACTGGTTGGATCCAAGACAAGGACATGTTACCCCCTGATCTTGGTGTGGGACCTTCCATCTCAAAGTTCACGAGTGAACCAGGGCTTGTCGGAAAATAATGTGATAATATTGAACATGGCCTTAGCAACACTGTCCTCGTTGAAACCTTCAGGCCTAGTCACCACGATGGCAGAGATCATCATACCGGCCGAGCTTTGGTCAATCTGCGTAGCAAAGAGGTGGCTTTTTTTTTTACATTTGACGATTGGCCATGACTGAGTTGATCGTTGTTGCTGGTCTGTTTGTTGTTGAATATTGTCACAAAACTGAAAACGAATGTTTAATGAGGCGAACATGTGCCTGCAACTAACCAAAAATAACGACGCACATCCCGCGACTTCCTCGGAAGGTTGACTGCCCGATGTTGCCTGTCTCCGCTTCGTCTATACAAGCCGCATATACATGAATACGACTTCAGCGCATCGACTCCAATCGTCCTCCGAAGGAAGCCAACGTGGCAACGTTTACATGAGTGCACAACAAGCCCTACGCAAAGGTGGCGCCACGCTGTGTCAAAGCTGAAAGTTAAAGCTGCGTTTTCGGCGCTGGCCTCACCACGTGACCACATTTTCCGGTGCATCGCACATGAAGGCCTTTCGATGCTTTCGGCGCTCGTAAAGATCGTGCCCACTGTCTTCGATGTTGTGCAAGGAGTTACGAGACGGACGAAACATCAACACCCAAAAGTTTTCGGCTCCGGGTCGGGTTGCTGGGCCACTCTGGATCAGAGGCGACGTGCGTGCGCACAGCCTGGCGAGCAAGATTGTTTCCAACCGCTCTGAGGATGCCACCGCGCTTCGCCTCGCCATACCTTGCCAACCGCGACCGGACCCCAAGGCCGAAAGGCTCCAGCGCAATCATGCACAGCGCCGAGGTAGCAGCTGCTTGTTCTGCGCTACCATGCTGTGCTCGGAGCTCTCGGCGTCGTTCGTGCTTGCGCCGAAGCCTCTAGACACTCCATTGGACACGCAAGTCGTATTTCGCGATACTTGGACAGGGGTCGCCCTCTCCGAGCAGCTCGGTGATATTTCGCTCATTTATTTTGGCAATAAAAGCTCGCGTTTCTTCTCCGGAGAAACTGCGGGCGACCACACGGAACCGCTCTCCGCAGCCGCCAACAAAGTTGGCCGCCGCCATGTTCTCAGCCGTCCACTCGCTCCCCCAGAGAGCGTCTTCCCATAATCCTCTCTGTTTCAAAATGCGATGCGACCTCTGTTTACATGGGTTGAATGAATGCGTATTCGCCGTCTCAATCCACGTCTGTCTAGTGACTTGAATGCGATGCACTTCGCGAGCGCATTATGCCGTTTACATGACCGCATTGAATGCGACAACTGGATTCGATGCGACTAAGTCGCACTCATGTAAAGTCTGCTACAGACTGTGTAGTCTAGAACACTTTGAACAAGAACAAGCGGTGCTTTATGAGATTCTACTAGAAACTTCTAGAAGAGTCTCGACGGTGGGGTTTGAACCTCGTGCCTTTGCATGCGAGCCACGCGCGAAGCAAATTGGCCATGCACGCGGCACCATTCGGTTGAGGGTCTCCACTTGTCCCATTTAGTTCCTCGTGCAGTCTTCGTTCTTTGTGCGCCTTTTGCCCTTTTTAGCGTCGGATGGTAGCGAGGCATGCCTTATCGTGCAGGTGGACGACGAGAGCACCCTTGATGGCCACAACAAGACGTACATAGCAACGCAGGGCTGCCTGCAGAACACCATCAGCGACTTCTGGTCCATGGTGTGGCAGGGCAACACCAGAGTCATCGTCATGACCACCAAGGAGGTGGAGAGGGGAAAGGTGGGATTGGCCTCCCTGAAGGTTTTACGGTATTTGCAAGATGAAATCTACCCTACGCATTATAAGAAATGGTCGATTCTATCATTATTATAATTAGTTTTGAACCCACGGCGAAAGAATGGTGCATCAAATTTGGGAAATAAATGCGCAGGTTGGAAGTGTTTCCAGGGATGCCCGATAGATGGTGCCAGTTTGTTCGCTCGTAATCGGTCACGAGCAAGCATGGTGCGCTCCATCGCGCTCAAATGCAAGTGTGCGAACCAGTGCTCAGAGTTGGGGGAAAGGTACCTGTATTTCTGCGGGGCCCATCACGCGTAAACATTAACCCGCTCACTAAGGGCCACAAATGGCGTAACACATCTCGTACGAAAGAGAAGTTTATGACTGGTGTTTGAAGGCAGGTACACGGTACAATTAAAGCTTCCTATCCGGACAAATGTGGCAGGTCGATCACAAGGCAGTCTGTTATTATGCAACATTCTTTTAGTCCGATCAGTTCTTTTATTTGTATCTTTTGTTAGTTTGTTGGCAAGTTCCTGTTACAGTGAGATACATGAACTGCTTCTGTGCAAGTGTGCACCCCATTGTTCTTCGCAAATTTGTTTTTGTTTTTAGAGAATATACGTAGCCCTCTTTTTTATCCCCTTGGCATTGCGCGTTACAAAAATGCCCCACAACAGTGCTGAGTGCGAGTGCCTGAATCTCTGCATTTGGATCTGTCCCGGTGTGCAGCCCAAGTGTGTCCGGTACTGGCCGGATGAAGGGCAGACCAAGGAGTATGGCAAGTACAAGTTGCAGCACATCTCGGAGTCCTCAAATGCAGACTACACCCTCAGAGAGTTCTCCGTCACCAAGGAGGGAGAGGTGAGGCAAAGCAGGGCTGGAGTATATATTTTTTGTTTGCTTAGATTAAAACCTGGGTCTGCGCTCTGTCTTTTTGTTGCTTATTCTTTCCATTTAGAAATGAATCTTTTATACCCAGACACTTGTTACACATGTAGTATGATCAGTGTGTTGGTTTCGGTGCACATTTTTGGTTTACTTCGTGTTTATTCAAAACAGTTGGTACCTTGGTCTCGTGAAACATATTATCGAAGTTAGGGAATACCTACTGTCGGGAAAGGCCGCCTGTCTTTACAGGCAAAACTGATGCTGTGAAAATTTCGAACACTTGCTCTATAGGTTGTTGGAAAACATGGCAGTAGATTTAATAACTGAAGAAACGGAACGCTTGCTAAGAGTTTAGACAACCATTTTGTACAATTGTTGTTGTAAGGTTTCCATTTTTTTTAGAGCGCAGCTCTCAGGCTCCCATCCCCGCCTTGAGTGGCGTCGCCGTCACTGTCGCCGTCGGCGTAATTGCGCGGTACATTATGGGAAATGTCCCATAATGCAACGCGAGGAACTCGTGACGTCACGAGGTTCACGTGACCTCACGAGGTTCACGTGACCTCACGAGGTTCACGTGACCTCACGAGGTTCACGTGACCTCACGAGGTTCACGTCACGTCACGATGGTCACGTGACCTCACGTCACGTGTTGCATTATGGAAAACATCCCATGATGCAAAGCGGGGGAGGGGCAGGGGGATGAGGAGGGGAAGGGGCAGGGAGGGGAAGGGGAGGAGGAGGAGGAGAGAATACGGATAAGAAGGAAGGGCATACCTCTCCTCAGTACCCTTCCCTCCTCCTCCTCAAGAGCTGCACTCATATTCAGCATTGCAGGAACTTGTAAAAGTCTTTCATTTCTTTTATAGATGACCTTTGGAAATTCAGCCAGCTATTGTAATGTTTAGGCGCATGATGTTTCGGTTTTCTTTTTTTGTAATTTAATTTGTGTTTAGCCATAGATGTTGCAACAGCCCTTGGTTTGTTAGGCCCACCATTGAGAGGCTGCACACTATTGTGGTACAAGTTAAAAAAATAAGTGGAGCTTCCAAGTAAATACAGCATCTAGTGTGCTAAAAAATATTTGTATCAAACATCAGTGTGATTTCTGAAAAGATTGATTGGTGAAACCGGGGTCATATATCCACAGTATGCATCTGTGGTAACTGTGATACAGTCAAACGCCTTTATGACGAACTCCTCTAATACGAAAATGCCCGTTTAACGAAGTAAAATAAAGTACCGGCCAAGTTCCTATCTGTTTGATGTGTATCTCCGACTACTACAATGAATTCCTGTTAAACGAAACAATTTCGCGGCCCTACGAAGCAAACATGACCGGTATTACGAATTTTCTAGGAATCTAGGTGAAAAGTAATTGATGTCACATAAGTTGTCGCTCTCAAGCAACACGCGCAGAGTAGAGAAATACAGCAGCAGCGGTGGCGCTTGAAACCGCCTCTACTACCGCTGCGCCATGCGGCCGCACATTCTGGGTTTGGGTTTGAATAAATTGTTAATGTGCAACCTTGTGTCAAGACGGCGCTACGTGACTATGTTGCTGCATAGAAGGCCCGCATGCAGCAACGTACTCACTATTGTCACGTAGCGCCATCTAGACACAAGGTTGCACGCTAACAAATTAATTGGGACCCAAAACCGAGAATATGCGGCCAACAGCAAAGAAAGCAGCGTGACAGAGGTGACGCCGTGCCTTCGCCACATGCTACCACATGCGGTCAGGCATATTTTTGTTTTTGCTCATGCCGTAAAGTTTTTAACGTTTTGTTTGGGAAATGCGTGCACTAATTTTATTTTTTTGCTTGTGTGTCAGTGCATTTGAAAGGACCCGCGTGAACGAGAGTATATATAAAAAAATACTTTCATGGGCAGTTGCAACTTTTTTATGCTCTCTTGGCATTTGTTTGACCGACGCACCAATCTTTGTCAGGATCCAAGATTCCCAATCTTGCTTGATCGGAGTCCCAAATTGTTCTGCCTTGGAGCAATATTGTGTAGTCAAGGAAACGTGATCTGTGACTCTACGTGTGATTCCAAAGTCTAAGCGAAATCAGTAGGGCTGGACAGAAAGAAATGTGCCCCCCTTTCTCTGCCAGACAGATGTGAAAAGGAGCTCAGTCGGCTCGGTTGTGTGCCTCTCCCCATCCGCTGCTCTACGCGCTGCAGCTGTTGCGTGCCGAGTGCATGGCCGATTTTGCCATGCTGCCGTATGCTGCCACGCCCGCTCCTACACCATTCAGTGACTAAATGTGCAATTGAAGGCAGCGCAGTCTCTTCGAGAGCTTCCTCTGAATGACACATGGTGGTACAAGCCGCCGCCCAATTTCGGAAAGGCCAAACTTGCACAGTCGGCGAAGGCTTTCGCTGCGTGATCGAGGGTAGATGTTGATAGTTTGTTGCAATTCATATTTTGATAAGTCAGTTAAGGGAGGACACTACCTAAAAGCATCAACTTCTGAACCTTTGGCTTGATATGAATAAAATGAACAGTGTACTATACTGGCAGTTGTAAGGCAGAATGCAGTGCAAAGTTTCATCTGTGTACATGAATTGTGAAAGAAACTAGTAGTTTTAGAGCGCAGCTCTTAGGCGCCCGTTTCCGGCTTGAACACCGTCGCCGTCGGCGTAACTGGGCGGTGCATTATGGGACGTTTCCCGTGATGACGTCACACGTGACGTCACGAGGGTCACCAGTGATGTCATAGATGACGTCACCGCGCGTTGCATTATGGGTAAATTTCCCCGCTAAATCTAGCGAAAAAATTTCCCCGCTGAATTTAGCAGAAAACAAACTTTTCCCGCTCAATTTAGCGGAAAATTTTCCCCGCTAAATTTGGCGGAAAAATTTCCCCAGTAAATTAAGCGGAAAAATTTCCCGCTCAATTTAACGGAAAAATTCCCCGCTAAATTTGGCAAAAATATTTCCCCGCTGTATATGGCAGAAAATTCCCCCACTAAGTTTAGCGGGAAAAACTCCCCGCGAAATTTAGCGGAAAATTTTCCCTAAATGGGAGGCGAGCAGGAGAGGAGGAGGGGCATACCTCCTCTTTGTACCTTCCCCTCCTCCTCAAGAGCTGCACTCTAATTCGGCCTTACAGGGGATTTTACACATCTAATTTTTATCAGGAACACACTGATATTGTTCAGGAAAACTGTTGTTAGAAAACTAATGTAATAACCAACATTTGTCTTCAATAAATACGTAGCAGAATGCCTGAAGAAAGCAACTGTGAAAACAAAATTTCCAAAAAGAAATTTATTTTATGCTCACATCGTGCTGAACAATCAAACAAGTTTTTTGCCTTTTATGTTTCCAACAAAATATTAACTTAAAAGACATCCACAAACTAAAACAACAATGCCATAGTTGCATTGCGCTTTAAATTCCAGTTAGGAAAAACAATGAGTGAGCCTTTCCATTTGTCCTGCTACCAAACGATGGTTTTCCTAAAGTGAGATTTATGCGAAGTGGAACGAAGAAAACGGCGTTCAAAATGTTCGTAGCTCTACCTTTTCTTTAGCATCAAGGACCGAAAGGAGCGAAGCGCTGCCTGAGCCAAAATCTGGCAATCAACGAAATGTGACCGCCAAAAGAGACACGGTGCGACGTTTTAAAGCACAACACAACATGCAGAGTTTGCATCAAGTCAGTCTTCCTTACGAGTTTGAAAACACGCTCGTGCATGGCGAAGTCATGGGGCATTTCGAACTTTACGTTCCAATCGATGATGCGCACATTAAACCAAAACGTTGTGATGGCACCTGTGTATCCCATACATTCAGACATGTTTCGATAGACACTGTCGTTTCACATTTTTGCCACGACTCTGCGGTACGACTGGAAGGTCAAAGTGACCTTTTTAGGTTAAAACCGAATTTTAGAAAATGGATTCAGCGTACTTTTATCGGTTTAAACCGAAAATTCCGAACCCTAGTTTATAACGAAATAGCACCTACAGCGAAGCGATAACGATTTCCGATTCCCTTTTGCACTTCATTATAACCGAAGTCGGTTACAGCGAAATAGTGGATAAAGCGAAGTGATTTCCGATTCCCGTTGACTTCACTATAACCGGTCTTGAGAGTACTATATTTGGTGCTGCAGTAGAACATTGTTGATATGTCTTGAAAAAACCGCGAGAAAGAAAACATTGCCCGGTAAAACATACGATTCGAACTGACCATTTTCAAGTTCACACACACGCAAGAAAAGCAATACCTAGTTCAAAAACATGCAAAAACAAGCAGTTCTGTAATGGCGTCGTGAAAGCGACGTCATCGCTGAACGAAACGAGCCTACATGGCACAGCAGCAATGGCGAAATGGGGTGGTGCAGGCTGGGGGCAGAACGCGAAACCAAAGCTGCCAAAGCGTTGGCGAAACTTGATAAAGCAACCGGAGCTGAACCAACGTAGAGAAAAAAGCATGGAGTTATTATAATGAATGCCAGAGGTTCAACTAGCGCTAGTGTTTATGCGACTTCCAGGAGGCCAATTGAAGCAGACAGCAACCAGTCTACTTTTGTGGTGCTCCTGTACATTCCTATGGGAAAACGCACGTGCATTTTGTCTCTTCGCCGCAAAATAACATAGGACGCTATGGTTATTTGGGTCGTACCGAATAATATGTACCTTTATTAGCCCCTTAACTGGGGACTTTTTTTGATCAAAAATATCTGTAAAATGGGGAGTATTTTTTTGTGTGTGTTTTTAGTTCTTGAAGGTGTAACAATAGACTCAAAGCCTAAAACAAATTTATTTATATCAAGTTGGATGTGCACCTTGGCACTTCGTACAATCCGAAATGGATCTTTCACTGTGCTGGCGTCTTGCCAGGTTGCAGCAGACCCCGAAGTTGATGGTGTTTCCACAAACAATTCTTCCGCTGTGTCATCTTCAATTTTCGTGTCGGTTCCCGGGAAGCATTTCATCGAACTCGAGAAATCGACATTGCAGTCACTGTCCTTGCGAGTATTTTACAGCAGCTCACTGATTTCTTCGTTGGTCAAGGAACGCGCTGCCGTTTGCTGGACGCCATTTTCCAAACAAACAGTCAAAGGTGTCATACAGGAGTCTTCAACATTTTTTTGTGCTGCCATGTATGCATCATTTTTAAAATTAAAAATGTTTCCGATACACGAGGATAGATGGCACATCCTACCCACACGCTAAATTGAGCGAGCATTTAAAGACGCGCTTCTCAACAGCAAGGGAAGTGCAGCACGTCTATAGACGCGCCCCCCAATCTGCGGTCAAAATTGACGCGCGTCTAAAGACGCGCTCCCCAGTTAAGGGGTTAACATTGCGAAAGTGTAATTGCTTTAGTTACAGCAGTTTTCTTTAACACTGAACGATGTTAAACTTTGCTATATCTCAGGCCCAAACCTCTGTTACATGGCAGGTTTGCAAAAATGAGCAACGATTCTAAGCAAAATAACAATCCAAAAGAATATAGAGTGTGTTCAAGGTTCGCCAGCATTCCGGTGGTGCTTATATATTGCTTATATGGCCTTCCTGTCACTATACATAAAAATGACCCTGTCTTGCATCTTTACGAGCATTTGAAAAAAAAAATTTTCAAAACGTAGAGAATAAAGTATGTGGGCTGTGAAAGGTGTCTCTTTTTGTCATTTTCTATGCCAGACAGCTTTTATGATTCACTTGTTCTCAAAGATTTCGAGCATGCCGGTGATGTTTTGAACGTAGAACAAGCATTCGCAGAGCAGAGAGAATAAAGAAGTACTACTTACTTGTTGAAAATCGGACTGTATTACTTGGCCTTCAAGTTATTTTGATTGCACATAAACAGGGAGTTACTGATCCAGTGTTATTGCATAATTCTTGCCTATTAGTTTTCCAGATGTCCTTCGTTTGTTTGGCAGATATATCCCCCACGCTGAAAAGCGCCAATGCCGTGTTCGCGCTAGCAGTGTCCGACAGTGCACATAAATACATGTACAAAGCCATTTTAGCACCATTTTTAGTCCAATGAATTGGAAATAAAAATGCATAACGGACCAATTATTTCATCTGCCTGATTGAGAAATGTTCCAAGGTACCTAGTACGTATGAATTATTCAAGATATTTGCTCTTATAATCGAGCGCAAGGAGAAAATGCACTCACTTTTCCCCATCGAAATGCATTACCGGAGGTCAATTTTCGTCTGGTTGCTGTCTGCTTCAATTTGCCGCAGCACACTAGCGTCCGTTGAACCTCTAGCGTGCGCTATAATAACTATGGGAGGAAACAAAGAAATGCCATATTCATTCATTTATAATAACTCTATGGAAGAAAACAAAGAAATGCCATATTCGTTAATTTACTACTACCGCTACTACTCCCTTGTGCTGTCTTAGTCTAGAGGTACTCTCGTGCACTCTTGCAATCGGTGCTTTCAACCCTCCGAACAATGCCTCAAAGTGCTAGCCGGAGTTACCAAGGGTGACCCACAATCACGTGTCTACTTTGGAAACACTTAAAAAGGCGTAAGCAAACATACTGTTCCGGTGTTGACGACTGAAGTGAACATGCGCTTGCACGGGCACAGCTCGATTGGTGGACAGCCGTATGTGGGTTTCGGTTTTTACGCTGCTGCTTCGGTTGCTCGTTACGACAGCATTCGCGCCACTTTCGCCAGCGGTAGCGTTTGACGAGAGGAGAATAAATGACAGCATCAGATGGACACACTGTTGTTACGAGTGGTTAACACGCCGACGAAGCAGTGCGCACGCTAACCACCAGCGGCCGAGAACGCCGGTGAAGAGTGCCATGTTCTCGCCCAAACCGCCGAAGCTGCACTTGAAATGCGTAAAGTATGTACTTGGAATCCTTTGTTATTATTTCATGGGAAAGATTCTTTTACTAATCGAATAATGAGCTAAGACAGTAAAACCGCACTTTGTGTTCTGCAATTCCAATCAAAACGCCCTTGTGCACCTTGACGGCTCTCGGAAGTTGCAGAGAACAATAGACGTAGTGGCAGCGTTATCAGCAAGCAGACTGCTCTGCACACGCGCGCCGTGTCGTATGCCCTTGAGGACGGCTGCTCGGTGCTTGTTCGTCAAGACCAGATGTTTGGAGCTCCGAATATGCGAGTGCAACGTTGATTGCCAAGAAACATACAATCTAATTGACATTTGGCAGAATGTTGAGCATACTTTCCAGGGAATCGTGTTATCCGGGACTGTATGAACTGGAAAACAAAAACGGCGCAACTCTATGGGACGTTTCCCTGCCCTCACTCGTGAACGTATGAACCGGGAAATCATATGAACCGGGAATGTATCAACAAAATTCTACTGTATACTCTTTCCTAAAACACCCCCAATGTTGTGCTCAACTACTACAACGAAGCTACCTGTCCTTTAAAAAATCACTATTGCATGTACGTAGTTCCTCAGTTTTGGACACTGTCCAAAACGGACAGAGAAGCTCAATCTGTGGCCATGTTTTATGGTGTAGCATCAAGTTCAGGATTCAGAGTTGGCCAAGAACCACAGAGCTATTTCAGCCTACTGGAATACCTTGGTAACGAACAGCCGTCACATCCAATAAAGAGACTTCTTCATGGCAAACAATTGTCACACCCGTCATTGTCATGGGGTGCGTGAACGTGGCTCTCGACGAGTGGCTTGCGGCGCAGGCCGAACCGAGGAGCGTCTTCCACTACCACTTCACGGCCTGGCCGGACCACGGGGTGCCGTCCGATCCCGGCTGCGTGCTCAATTTCCTGCACGACGTCAACCAGCGCCAGGAGTCTATCCCGGACTCTGGGCCCATCGTGGTTCACTGCAGGTGACTGGATTCACCTGTTGCAGTAATTTTAAATCAATAGGTTGCTAACACTCCCCTGTCTCCCCCCCCTTTGCATAGTAGGGTAGAGACTGCGTATTGGTTGAACGGTCTAGTAGGCGTGGAGGCATTTCGTGGTTGGATTGTGTGTGCAGCGTGAGTTTTCTGAGAAGTTGATGCAGACCCCCAAAGAACAAGTAGTACAAGGACTGAGAAGGGGATAAGTTTTTTATATGTTTTACGATTTCTTTGACACATATCACATTGCATACCATTTCTATAGGAAGTACTGCTCGTTAGAAACTGCCATCAAGTGCTATCATTCTGTTTGGCAGAATGTATAAGCCAGGGAATTGTTTTGGCCTTGAGCTTTTATCTAATAGTTTTAGACCTCATTTATGGGTGTTACAGCGTGAAATTCGTTCATCCCACGGCTCATTGGCGAGCGGGTTTTTTTCCTGTACCAAGACAATTATTCTTTTGTCCCCATTCAGAATTGCGTGTTTGTTGCTGTATGCTCTCCTACAATTGAGGACATTCTGCATTCCAGTGCTGGCATAGGGAGGACCGGCACCTTCATTGTCATCGACATGATCGTGGACCTCATCAAGAAGCAGGGTGAGTCGCGCCCACACCGTGGTTCCATTTCCCACTCCATATTTGGCACGAGAATCGAAGATGGGATTTCCCGTGCTTTTGGGTGAATGCACACTGAGTTCTGGATGTCTGAGAGGGATCATTTCTTTCATCAGAATTGAACCTTGTTTTTCTACTCTCTTGGATTTCAGGCAGGAGGCAGGTATTCTGCCTGTGTTGGCAGACTTTTTTGGTGTTGCATGATCATATATAACACTCGCTGAAATATGTTTCTTTTGCATCATTGCTGTGGTCACCGACAGAACGACAATGGCAGGGCCTTTCTTTTGGATGCCTGGCTCCTTTCGTTGTGCATTGGCTGTGCGTACTTGTTCTAAGCTAGAAAACTTGTGCTGGAAGCGGTACATCCGAAAGACCTTACAGCCTTTTTCATTCTGTCAGTGACCATAGTACATACTAAATATAGAATGCACGAAACTGAGCGGTCCACTTTGATGCCTTAGAATGCCGAACAGTCACCCGTGCAAAGTGAGAAATTATTGTGACAACCTTGCTCATATAGTATAACGAAACGTTGAATGCTTTCATGCTCTGTAGTGCTGTTTACGTGACCGCAGTCCTTGTCCCCCCGTGCAGGGCTGGCCTGCGAGATCGACATCCAGCGGACGATCCAGATGGTGCGCACCCAGCGATCGGGCATGGTGCAGACGGAGGCCCAGTACAAGTTTGTCTACCTGGCCGTGGAGCACTACATAGAGACCCTGCAGCAGCGCATGCAAGCCGAGCAGGTACCACCACGCCCCTCGCCTCTCGCGTCGGTCTGGCACAGCACGTGTTGCCAATGAGCCAACCTCTTTCAGTAACGTTCGTTGGCAACGGAGAATCTTATCTGAATAATTAAACGGCGGAAGCCCATCGAAACTGCAAGAGAGCCATGCCTGAGAAATGAGAGCTCGTGTTGAGCTTGCCCTTGGATGACAGACTATAGGACAGCAGAGAACACAAGATTATAAATGTACAAGGTTGCAGTATGGCTTCTCCATGTATAGTTACTGTTGCTCGCGTTAACATTTATTATTCCTTTAATCGCTCGTTTTGCAGCTGGTTCTAATTGCAGCTTATTCATCGTTAGTTTGTGCTTTCTATGTTTTGCAGAGTGCCATAGAGTCCCATTTATCTGGGGACTTCATAGTTCTCTGCTGTAACCATCTAGACTATTAATGCTTCGGTCGATCGAGTCGCGGGGAGGTAGCGTGGAGCGGAACGACCCCCCTACTAACGCCGTCGGGTGGGGTGCAAATTAGACCTGCCACACAACGGATACGTTGCGCATCCGACGCTTGGTAAATTTCTGTGGCACGGGACGCGTTGCCGAGGCCAAACAGCCCCCCGTGGCTCTTTCTTGCAGAAGAGCATCATGCTCGGCCGGGAGTACACCAACATTAAGTACTCCGGGGAGGTGCCCACGGTGGCGGCCGTGGGGGTTCTGCCGGAGGCGGGCAGCCCCGTGCCGGCCATGCCCGTGCCCCTGGTGCCCACCCCCGTGCGGGCCACCCTGGCGGTGCCGCCTGTGCTCACCCCCACAGCCTCACCCACCCTGACCCCGGCCTCTTCGCCCCTGACCTTGGACTCGGCCGGGGCCAAGAAGCCCGCCGTGCTGCCCCGCACCTTCCTCACTGACTCCGGCTCCTGCGTGCCAAGGTACGGTGCCCCCTCCTTCACGGTCAGTCCCCGCCCCTCAGCGGGAACGACCAAAATCGTGTGAACTAACGCGTGAGAAAAGTCGGTACAAGCGTGTTGGAAGTTTAAAGGAGCTGTGCAACAATTTTAGGGCTTTGCTTAAATTATTGTGGAAGTTGATGCCCGACACTTCTGAAGTGAACTACAGAAAACAGATTTTGCCTGGATACCCTAGTTTTTATTTTAAAAAATGAAAAAGATCCAGGTTTTTGCCGCCTCTCAACTCGTACGTCGTCTTCCGAGTCACGTGCGCAGTGACGTTGAGGGGGTAGGCGCGGGGTTCCGGAAACGTTCTCTCTTTAGAGCCATCAGTGAGCAGCGAGAACTGATCCGCTCGTGACCGCGTGACCACGTGCTGGCGTGCACCGCGCAAACAATATGGTGAAAGGAGGAAAGTCTCATCCGGGTCCGGCCATACCCGTCCGACCCTGTCCCCCTCCCACTCCGGCTTCTGGCAGCTGTTCGCGGTAGCAGAGAGAGCTGGCGGTTCTAGGCACCTAGGATAGATGGCGCCACTAAAACTCCGTATAATATAAGTTTTGTCGATGATACCAGGTTTTTGACATTTATATATATGTTGGAACGACAAGATTTATAGAAAAGTTACCTTTTATCGAGCAGGTATTTGCACAACTTGCAGTCTTTCTACGTACAAGGTTCCCCATCGACGTCATGCCGTGTGTTTCTCATGGCCACCGCTCGCGGCTGCAGGTCGGGGAATATTCTAAGTTTTGCCTCGCTATTACGTGGCGGAATCGCAACATTCCGATGAAAGGAGGTGTGTTTTCTGTCATTTGTGGCAAGGTGAACAATTTCAAAAGCAGAAGATGCCAATTCTTTCAATGTTAAAATCGTTGCACAGCTCCTTTATTTGCACACTGAGGGAGGTAACGGCAAAAATTGAGCAGGCACGACCAAGCCGACAAATACAGGGAGCACAGAATATATCTTGCGCAAGCCACACACACTTTTATGTGTGTAATTTTATTTTGTATATTTTTTTTTATTTAGCGGAGAAATACTATTATTTTATTGGGCGGCGTTGGGTGGAACCACGACATCACACAACACTCAGCTCCTACTCAATTTAGCGGACCGCTACGTACACATGGGATCCTTCGCAAAAACCTCACCAAATAAAGGGACAAAAAGACTCAAGCTTGTGTCTGTTTGTCCCTTTGAAGTTTGTAGCGTTTATAGGCCCAGCTGTTGGTGCTTTCTTGTCTGTGCTTGAGACGTAGTCTGGATAGTAATGTTACACCGGTGACATCGCAGTATTCACGACAATCGGTATCCGACCGTGGCGCCAGAACTGCGGAAATTTCCAGGTCGAAACTTTTTACGCAACGCTGTGGTGTCGCGTCTCCCCGTGACGACATGGACGACCTCTAAATGCTACGCTTTTAGACTGCCTTTGGTTAGTTACCAGAAAAACGCCAGTTTTTTGTTACGTTGCTCTCTGTATGTATGCGAGGAAATATTTAATATTACGACATTTCTCCAAGAAACATCCAAAGACTGTAGAGAACCAAAATAGGTTGCCTTTCAACTTTAGAACTACACGTACGTAATCTCGCGGATCTCCAAGCAAAAAGCCGTTAGTTTGGAGTGTGGCATTCTCGTGCTACTTCCAAAGCCGCCCTATCTTAGCGTGTCAAGGGTCCCCTCATCACTGGAGATTGCCCGCTCTGTCCGCATGCAGGCCGCCCACCGAAACGCCGCGCCAAATCTACGAGAACATTCCCCTGAAGGACCGGAAGTCGCCGGTGTCGTGCACCAGCTTCCATGTTGGGCCGCCCCCAACGCCGGCACCCCCGCCACCGCCCAAGAAGTCGTGACAGGCCGACCCCTCCTCCTTCACCAGAGCCCCGCGCATGTTTGTCTCGGAGCTTCTCCACTAGGCCGTGCGAGTGCGCTTCCGAGCGCGTGTTCGAGCGTACGAGAAGAGGAGAGAGTGGCCACAGATTTGCACCACCCTTCCGACCCGGTGGCCGCACGGAAGCGAGGAAGGAGGGATGGCACCCAAGAGCGTCCCTTGCTGCGTTCCGACCATTTCCGTCGAGCTGTTGAATGACGTTTCTTGCGCTGTTGCGATGGCTTCGTTTTTCTTAGGTGTTCATACCGTCCTAGTGTCCTTTTGAACAAACATTTTGGCATCGTTCTAGATTGGGGCACAGGTGTGCAAAGTGAGCGACACCGGGCTCGCTTTTAAGCGTCACGTCTTGCTGGCCGGTTTCTATCGGTCGCTGCCGTTGCGGCGTAGCAGCTTGCGAGACGCATTGTCCATCCCGAAACAGGACCGGGTCTCATTGACTTGCTGGCTGCTCGCTTTCCGTCTACAGCTGTTTCATCGTTTTTGTTCAGATCGTCGCCCGGTGTAAAGTCATGCCTGTGGTGCTCCTTCCTGTATGGCTGGCACTAGTCTTTCTCCCTTTGCTTTCTTTTTTTTTTTTTCCAATGATTACATTGATGAATTGTGCATTTGCTGCTTCTTTGTTGTCTTAGCCGGGAACCTGGAACGTTTCAGATAACGCAAGAGTGGTGTTGACTGTTAATGGTGAAGGACAGTTTCCTCCACCGTATTTTAGGTAACAGTTGTGATACTTGAGTCTGGTTGCATTTCTGGCTCCTATGCCGCCCTATCGTAAATGGGCATAGGAAGGACTTGTTCAATTGTTGCACCACTTTGCCCTTGGATTCTATAAGTAGCCCTTTTCGGAGCACCAAACAGCTCGCAGCCCTTGAAGAGAGTGCGTCTGAGCAATGGTACTTTGCTTTTTATTCTGTTTTCTGCACATCCTGGCCCCATTGCCGAGTTAGGCGGTAGCTTCCTGCAAACAGGTGGACGCCACAGTTCACACACAGGGCACTTACCTCAAAGTTCGCCCCTCAAAGTTTGTGCATAGGCATTTGGTAAAACCTTCGACAACTAGTAGAAACTTAGCTGCCAGTTTTTAAGAGTTGTGGCCAGTTAGGCCACCACTACCTATGTATGTTAGTCTGGGCTGCCCCAGCATAGTTCATGCTGCAGAGTTTGTTAACTAGACAATTTAATACATAGTTGTAGACAAATGCAGTGTGTTGCCCATTTGTGGCATTGGAGCATCGTGCACATTTGTACCCGTGCTGGTAAGAGTGCATATTTTTCAAAACCTTACGAAATGTTGAAACAATGCATCTCTCTCTGGAATGCTCGCATTTCACCACTGACGTGACGTTTTGTAGGTATGTGTATAGATAGGACTCTGGACTCTTCAAATGCTACTCCTAGGATGCTGTTACCTCTCACTCAGTTGATTGTTGCAACGGCATTTTGTTTGCCGGTGGAAGCTCGTCCGCACGAAGGTGGATGCCAAAGAACGGGAAGTTTTTATGCCATGCAGGAGATCGCGACTAGAGTGCGAACCTGCACGCAAGCTGGAGCAGCACATATTTCTAGACAGCTAAGCTCATCTGTCGCTCCTCTTTCATTCTGAAATGCTCACAGCACTAGAAGGCTCGCAAGTAGCACAGCGCAAGAACGACTGTGCAAAACCTCCCGCAAGCTGCAGTTTCGAGGTGCCCTCTTCCTCCTTGCCCTTAAAACAAGGGACCTGCTTTCTTTGAAATCTAGAGATATACTGTCGCAGACAGCATAAACTGAAACGGTCCTTCGTGCTTTTCTGGCATATCTTTAAGTTTCAGAAAGAGCTGTTGTCTAAACTAGGGATGCAATGCAATGCAAAGTCAAGGTCCCATTCTTCAGGTTGTTTGACAAAATTGAGAAATGCCAGAGCTTGCAGGGAACCGCCGACTCAGAAAAAAGTTGGATTAGGTGTTTCAAGCTTATATTGTCTGCGGGGTAACGGTGCAGCTTTACTCTTCTATCTTTCCCGGAAAGCGTGTAGAGGCACTCTAGGGACCCGGAATAACAGATAGTAGTTATGACATCTCTCTCCCCCCCCCCCCCCCCCCTCCTCCTTCCCCTTGGCTTGTGCTGATGATCTCAAGATGCATGTCCCCTCTCCACCGATCGTTTGATGAGAGAGAGAGAAGCCTATCTTCAGCGTAGAAGGAAGGAGGCCTGCAATCGGCAGCATTCTGTGTAAAGTAATACTGAAACCGGAAGTGATAGCCGCTCCCCGTCTGCACTATCGCCCCAGCCGCAAGGTCCGCCGGTCTTCTGCGACCGGAGCACTCGGTGGAGGCGGCCTCTCTGTGCCAGGAGATACTCGCAGTAACAATAATGCGCTTACCTGTTCTCGGTGTCGCCGTGATGAAGTGCTCAGTTCACAGTGTACCTGTGCAGACCTTTGAGAAAGCTCTGGTGTTCTTGGGGGATTGACCTGTTTGTGTTTCTTTGTACTGTTTTAGCCCCAAAGAAATGATTTTTTTTTTTTCAGAGTATATTATATACTGTGATTGAAGTTGACAAAAAAAAAAGGTGTTCTATTGTATGTACAATAAATTTATTCTATTAAATAGACACCATGTATGTTATGGTTTGGATTTATTTTAGTGGCTGAATAATATGACTATTAATGCACAGAACATGTGGGTAATGCGGTGCAACGTATATATACGGACATGAGTCAAGGTACAGCTTTGAGAAAATACTCGTAAGTATGCTTTTATTGGGCGTTCAATATTTAACGTCTTGTAGCTACTGGTGGTAACAAAAGTCCAAGCCATGCATACTGGAAGAGTTTGTCTGGTCATCAGATGCCCCGTAGGATGTCGCAGACTTTGCCACAACACGAAGTCCAGCGCCCTTCTTATCTCGTCGGGAAACTGCAGTGTTCCTTTCGGCACCGATAACACAACTGTGGACAAGTTGTCAGACTCCCCGGCTGCTCGATTCGCAGGCCCAAGTTCATGGACTCTTGGCCTCTTCAAGGGAAATTAACCTGAGACTGGGGTAGAGAAGAAACATCAAAACATAGAAGAGACTGAAAATAGGATGACGTCTCAGGTTAATTCAACATGGTTAATATTCACCAGCTCGCCTGCACCCTTACGATTTTTTCTAGAACTACTGTACTCCACTTTGCACATCCGACGTTCCTAACTCTTCCCATCTTCCTAAACGTCGTTGTGTGTCGTAATACCAGAAACCGGCATTTTAAAGGTTAAAAACGCGAATATGGGACGCACACTTTCATGCCAAGCTGAAATTGAGTGATTCAAATAAAAAAAAAAAAAAAAAAAAAACATGCACATTTACAATATTGTTATCTCTTCTGGCGAAGGCCCAGCAACCGTTGCATTCGTTTTCGCGCACGAAACGGTGACTCCCAGAGAAAGTAAGAACGCAGTAGTTATTGCGTTCGTTTTAACAATGCACACACTTCCAGGTTTGCGCGAATGAGGCCTCAAAACCGAAACTCGTAGCGTGACTCATGATTGCGTCTGCTAACTACCCAACCTCGTTGTCACGCCACTTGTTCAAGAAGCAAATGTAAGATTGCCTGTAAACACACGAAATGACACCTATACAGTTATCTTGTAGAATATCACCTTATTTAGTAACAGCTGTGTCGATTTGCATTATATGTTGTATTTAAAGGGCAACTCCGCTCAATTCCGAAGATTTCGGGATAATGAGTGATTTCGAATTACAAATCCCTAGTAAAAGACACTACGTCGTTTGCTTCACGAAAAATTTGATATATATTTTTAAATCTAATTTTAAACACGAGTGGAAATCGAAACCGAAACTTCGGCTCCGTCCGGCAACATTAGCTTTGGGCCGCCAAGAGCCCGAAAGCTTACATTTAAATACCTACACACTGGTGATGGGGCTGAACAGACTACTTCAGTGAAAAAAGGGGTGAAAGAGGCAGAGAGGAAAATGTGGGAAGAAAGAATGCAGGATAAATCAGCTCTAACAGTGTACAGGTCACGAAAGCAGGACATAAGAAAGGAAAATGTGTTTGACAACTCAATAGGAGGTTCTTTGCTGTTCGAGGCGAGAACGGGGGCTTTGAGGACGAGGACGTATAGGGCTAAATTTCAGGAGATAGACACATTATGTGCTGCTTGCCATAATGAGAGTGAGACACTTGAGCACTTGGTATTAAAGTGCACGGGGCTTCGTCCTGCACTCCCTGAAGGGGTAACAGATCTGGCCGGGGCCCTGGGGTTTGCTGGCGACGATGGAGGGACGGAGGAGAAGAGGATTGCAGTCACAAAGAGGCGATTAGAAGATTGGTGGAAATTATCTAGGGAAAATTGAATGATACAGAACTAACTAGCACAGCTGGGGACAGGCGGGACAGAGGAAAATTGGGACTCCCTCCCGCGTGGCTCCGGCCCAAAGTCTCAACCCTGTCTCCCAGTGGGTCCGGTGCGGGGGTAACGCCGACAAGGTCTGACCAGAGGAAAATTGGCGACTCCCTCGCCGGGGGGAAGAGGCGGGGGTGATGTTTTTAGTTTTTTTGCCCGATCCCCCAAAGGTCATCCTGGTGATATGCCACACTACCTGGTGATAGTTAGGGGGTAGAAAATTGGCTTAGAAGGGCGCGGGAAATCAAATCAAATGTTTGTCTTTCTTAGACTTAGGCTAGGTGGCGCAAGCTACCACCCGCTACAAAGGGTATAGCCAGTAAAATTCATCCATCCATCCAGAACATGGCCGTCACGTGCTACGATATGTCACGTGATCTTCGGGCCAACGACGGGCGGGATTGGGGCGGGCGTGTGGCAGGGCGCGAGTGTCGTCTGCACTGCACTCTTCGCCACGTTTTGGTGTCTACGGCATTCGACGACGTCTGCACAACTAGTCTGCGCACGTGGTGTCTGTAATGTGAACGAAACTCCGAGAAACAAAAATCAGAAACGGTGAGAAAACGACGGTGGTTGTGACGCGGAAGACGGCGATAACGGCGGGCGGCCGGACGGTTCCCAAGAAGCGCGCGCCAATCACGTGGACACCGCCAGTCTTGGGAAGTAATTAGTTACTGGTAACGCGTTACCGGTAACTACTTACTTTTTTCGGTAACTTTTGCTTCTAACGCGTTACTCTTTAATACTGGTAACTTGTAACTGTAGCACTGTTACTTTTTATTGGGCAACTGTAATTGTTTAGGCCGTTACAGTTACTTTTTTTACCAGATAAATTAGAATCCACTGCCGCGGACATGAAAACATTTCCATCTTGAAGTATTTTTCTCCAAGCTCCTCGATGACAAAAAAAATAAAAAATAATAATAATAATAAAGAGAAGCGTGGTCTGGTTCAGCCCACGACCGAGAATGGACGAAGGACGAGTCAGCACGAAACTGAGAGATAAAGGAAGCGACTTTGGCTCAGTCTTCTTTCGTGGGGACTATCTGCAAGTGTCGGTGGTCGTGTGATATGTCTCCGAGTATTCCGTCTGGACTGTGTCCGTGCTGGCGTTTTTACACCCAGCCGTTCGCCGTTTCCTCTTCCCTTTAAGGAAGCCGTCCCCATATTGTGCAGAAAGCCGGCGCTTGTTTAACTTATTTGCTCTCTTCAGAGCCGCTCGAGTAAACACGACTTCTACAGTTGGCGTTTCGGACATAGGCGCCGGGGTGGTCGCCGTACACTCGTAAAGCACCAGAAGTTAATTGTCTCCTTTCCCCCTCTATTCTTTCGAAGCTGTTTGACCTGCTATATTTAGGTCTGCTTCCAAGTATATCCCATAAGGTAATTATGTGACTATATCTTTCCTCATTCGTTTCGGAGTGAAATATAAACCGAAACGTTCACTGACACGTGTCGATAACAATTTTGAAAAACGGTTGATTCTAGGTTATAACAATTATTGCAAATAAATTATGCACATCTAAATGCTGAAATGGCGAATGATGCAAAAAAAGAAAACGCCCTTCGGGTTTAAATTTTTTTAATATCTCAGTTTACCTTTCTTTTCACTATAGTGTAACAACTATAATATTGTTTTGGTTTGGGATTTCTTGTGTCCAATTTTCGTACTGTAACGACGTTACTGTTTTTGCAGTAACTGTAACACGTTACTTTTTGAAACCGGTAAGTGTAACTGTAACAGAGTTACTTTTTACCCATAGGTAACTGTAACACTGTTACTTTTTACTGGTAACGTGCCCATGACTGGACACCGCTGAGCACCGAGAGGCAACGTTGCTGACGTCAGGCGCTACGCTCACCCCAACGTTGGCTCACCCGGAGAAGTAAAAACAAGCAAAAGGGGGCCACGATGATGACGTTTAGCTTAATGTTGGCTCCGCGCATGCCGTAGCCTTGACTGCGCTGTTGGTTGAGCCGAATTCGCCCGCTCGAGTCAGCCGATTCCGGCAACTTGGCGAGTTGCAAAGTTTGCCGGACCGTTTAACCATTTAGACGGAACTGCGTCGTAATATGTGACGTGTGGTCTTCCTAGGCGATAGTGAAGAGGACTGCATTGTTTTTCAAAACCAAAAATGAAGCGGAGTTGCCCTGTAAGTTAAAAAAAAAAAAAAACATCACAAAAACTTTTTTCGACAGAAAAAAAAAATATCAACGTTAAGTTTCGCAACAATGCATTTTTGCCGAATTACGATAGACATATATGTCTGTATCGTCCCTTGTGTGTCTCCACCCTCTAAATGTTTAAAAAGCACCAACACGCTCAAATAGCACATCTTTAGCAAAGTTCAGCTTTGCCGAACTTTGCTATTCGGCGCTGAATTTTCGATTCGGCAAAAGTTCGGCCTATCACTAGTAGTTAGTAATGCTCCGCGAGAAGCAGCACTTTCTTTTTATTGCGGTTCTTGAGGTTCGCCGCTGAACTTTATGGTTTGCCGGGAGAGTGAAGAGGGAGAGAAAGGTTCTTGGAGAGGAGGAACCGGCGTCTTTACTTGCCTTTTCCTCGAGCTCGCATCACATTTTTTTTTCCTTTTGGTAGCGGATTTTTAGGCAGCGCGGAGAATTTCTTCTCACAACTGCAATAGCACGCTTTGACGACGAGTTTAAGGTCTCCAACTGGAATGTGCCAGACAAGCCAAATGTTAAGAAAGTTAGTAGACGGAATTTATAGGTTCTTAATTTGTACATTACCACTTTTCATTCGTACACCAAGAAAGGCAGAGCAGCGCATATCGTCGTCACGCAAGCCGTGGAGCCGGCGGGCGCACCGCGCCTGCGCACTGGGGCAGCGTGATGTCACCATCGGAGCGCCGTGTGCAAAAGACGTGGCGCGCTGCTTGTATAGACCTTTTCACCCTCCGCCGCATGGGCGCTGCCATCTTGGAATCACGTGATGCGGCCGCCATTAGGTTGCTTCAACTTGTTGCTCCGCTCTCCCGTCCGCGCCTTGGCGGATGCGTTGAATTCGTGTTTTTCGTCGCGTTTCACCGCGTCTCTTGCCTTACTCCGTAAAGTGCCGTCCGATACTTATGCTTACCATGCAATTGCATTACAA